ATTTAGAGTGTCTCCCAGAAAAGAAAAAGGCTAGAAAAAAGCCAAAAGTGTTAAAAATTTAGAGGATAGTACTCTTTTTTTGACCCTCAGAAGCTTTTGCGAGATCAGAAGAATTGGCAAAAAAACGCTAAATATGGAGGGCAATCGATCCTGGGGCCTTATTAGTGACAATTGAGGCCTATTTTTGGAAGATATAAGGCTAGGAAAAATAGCAAAAGTGTTAAACTTGCGGAGGATCCGATCCTGGGACCTTTTCCGTAGAGATTGAAGCCTAGTTAGGGAAGATAAAAGGTTAGAAAAAACGGCAAAAAAGGCTAAACATGGAGGGGAATCGATCTAGTGACCTTTTTACTGATAATAGACGCCAATTTTGGGAAGATATAAAGCTAGGGAAAATGGCAAAAATCTTAAACTTGCAGAGGATCCGATCCTGGGACCTTTTCGGTGGAGATGGAAGCCTGTTTCAGAGAGATATGACTAGGAACATAGGAAAAAATTTGAATTTTCCAAAGTGTGGAAAAAGGACCAAAAAGGTAAATATAGCCTACCGCGAAAGTCGCAGATGGTCGGGTGCAAATAAATCTTCCGACTTTTCGTGCAATTTCTCATTCTCCTCACTCATTTGAGATAGATGAATCCGGAAAAAAACGGAAGTTGATGCCTCTTTTCCAGTTCAGAGACGCAGAAACGTCGTTTGTGCTCGTTTTAACGCTCCTCCAGCTCTCTTTTATCTTTTTTGGTTCTTATTCCTTTTTTTTACACTTTAGTATTAAAAAAAAGTCTGGAGATTGACTTGAAATTCAGGAAAAATGAAGCTCTTTTGGGCAATCTTGAAGGAAATTTTCATAACAAAGTTCAAATTTTATCAATTTTCTGATTCCAAAACTTCTTTTTTTGATATTTTTTGTCCTTTAACTTCAATCTCCATGTTTCAAGCTCAAAATTCCCAAACTTTTCTCAGACGAAAAAAAAGAACGGAACCCCCACACGTACGAGTTACACAGCGAGCAAAGCTGAAACATCCTCTTTTTCTTTCTTTTTTTCCTCTGTTCCGATCAATTCCCATTCCGAGAATAGTTTTGAACAATCCCAATCAAATTTTCTTATCATTCGAGCCAAAAAATCCCCAAAAATCGATTCGAATTCCCAAGAAAACCCATAAAAAGTCGCCTTTCCTAGTGCAAACACGACATTGCGGTTTCGAATATCCGTGTTGTTCAATAAATATATGGGAAATGTCCTTGAAAAAGTTCAGCCGATTGTGAAATGGCGCCGCCTTCCCACTACAGGTGCCCATTAAAATGTTGATTTTCCTGTTTTTTCGTCGGAGTTTCCCGAGAAAATCGATTTTTACGAAGTTCAGCTTACTACTTTGCCGTTTTACCATCGTGAAAGAGGTCTCTGGATCGGTTCCTATTCGAAAATTTCTATTTTTGTCGTTTTCATATCTTCTTCCAACGCTTTTTGGCCTGGTTTTTAATATTGCAACTATTTAACAATTTTTAAATATCCAGGTGATCTTCTAATAATCATAAATTGGTAGAAAAAAGGTTGTTGGATCGGTCCCTTTCGAGAATTTTCGTTTTTTTTTTTTGCCATTTTGCCGCTTTCACACAGTACAGATCCTTTATAGATGGCAATTTCATCGATTTTTAGAAGCTCTCATGCTTTTTGACGGATTCCAGGCTACTGTCTTACAGTTTTAACGTGACAGAAGGTGTCTCTGAATCGGCTCCCCTCCAGGAGTTCGCCCATTTTTTGCCGGTAAAAATCGACTCTTCTTGTTGCGACTGATTTCGTCACCTGACTAAACTCGCAATCGTTATCAACTTTAAAATTCTTCAAATCTCAAATTCTAGAAGTTTCTTCAACCAGTTTACATACTCAAACGGATAGAAATCCACAAAAAAAAGCCATTGGATCGAATCCTCTACAAGTTTTCCTATTTTTGCCATTTTTTCTTGAACCTCTTTTCTCTGAAATCAGCTGTATTTATCAGCGAAAAGGCCAATTAACCGATTTTCCAGCAAGTTGAACAAATTTTGCAATTTTTCTAGCTGTATTTTCGCTCAATTTAGCCTAGTTTATCACCAAAAAGGTCACAGGATCAAATCCTCTCAAAGTTTGACTTTTTCGCCATTTTTTCTTGGGCCTCTTTTCTCTGAAATCAGCTGTATTTATCAGCAAAAATGTCGAGGGATCGATTACTCGGCAATTCGAACACATTTAGCAATTTTTAAGCTAAATTTACTCTCAAATTAGCTCTCATTATCACCATAAAGGTCATTGGATCAATTCCTCTTTTGATCCAATTGACTTTTTTGTCATTCATCTAGACCCATACCCTCTGAAATTAGCTTCAATTATCATCAAAAAGACCAGGGGATCAATTTATTTGCAAGTAAAACGCTTTTCACTATTGTTTCCCTAAACTCTATCATATCAGCTCGAATCATCACCAAAAAGGTCGTTGGATCAGATCCTCTCCAAGTTTGACTTTTTTGCCATTTTTTCTGACTCTCTCATCTCTGAAATCAGCTGCAATTATCATCAGAAAGATCAGGGGATCGATTTCTTCGCAAGTAAAACGCTTTTTGCTGTTTTTCTAGCTTTAAACTTTCTCAAATTAGCTCTCATTATCACCAAAAAGGTCACGGGATCAGATCCTTCAATATTTGACATTTTTGCGATTTTTCTAGACCCCTACTTTCTGAAATTAGCTTCAATTATTATCAGGATCGATTTCTCTGCAAGTTGGTCGTTTTTTGCAATGCTTTCTAGTCTTAAAATCAGCTCAAATCATCACCAAAAAGGTCGTTGGATCGACTCCAGCTCCCGTTTTTGCCAGCTTCCCAACGCAGAGTTTCGCAACGGGTGCGCGGCGGAAAAGGCGATTTCGGTCGGAATATTTGCCTCGTTTCCCCCTCGTCCAACGGCTCTTTTTTTCGCTTCCTTTGCGCCTTTTTTTTCTTGTCTTTCCCCGTTCCGAGGGAGGTTAAGGAGGCCACGAGAGGCGGCTGTTTTCTTCCAGTGTCCACGCCTTTTTTTCCTTCTTCTCTCGGAAAAGTGGGGTTTTCTTTCTCTATAAGTGTTTTATTCATAGTATGCTTTATTAGTATGTCTATTTCATCGGCTCTTGCAGGAAATATTGCCGTGAGAAGGAAAAAGTAACACTTTGATCATTTTAAACCACTTAAAGGGAGCCCTTGTAACAATGAAAGTTTTTGATTGACCTCTAAAAAAAATTTTTTTCTTTTTTTATAAGGGCTTCTGTAAAGAAAAATTAAGAGAAAAAAATGTTCTTGAAAAAGTTCAAAACCCCTTGAGGGAACCCTTGGAATAATAAATAAATATTTTTAGTTTGAAATTGACTTTTCTGCTGATTACCATTGGAAAATTATTTAATTTTTAAACATTTTTTTCAAATTTTGCGAAAAAAAGAAAAAAACTCGGAGTCATTCCTTCTAGTGATCACTTAGGGGTTTTTCACTTTTTTCACTTTTTTATCGACTTTTGTTAGAGAAATTTGCAGATGAAGAGAATAAGTACTGAAAAACTCGCAACCACTTAAGGGATCCCTTTCAAGAAATAAAAGATTAACTCATTTTTTTTTCCCTATTGATTACTGATCATCGAAATATTGATTTTTCAATTTTTGCATGGTATCTCTGGCATTTTATCGCACTCGAAATGATAAGAATTTGCTTGCCTTTGGTATAAATTCCTTGTTTCAAACCAATTATCGTTTTTCGGCTTATAAAAAGGTTTTCTCAAGTTTTTTTCATTTTTTAAAAATCTTGACGAGTTTCTGAGAGTTTTTATTATGTAACAACATACCATGGAAGTCGTTTTGAAGCTTTTTTTTGATATATTTCGTAGATTTCGCAACTTTCAAAAGGTTTTATATTCAATTTTTCGACGTCAATTTGCTTCTTTTTTTGAACTTTTTTTCGATTTCAAGTGTCAGAAGAAGTATTAAAAAAACGTGGACACGTTCTAAAAAAACAGGAAAAAGTTTCATTTCTAATTTCGAATAATTCTAAAAAAAGTTCCCAGATTTTTCCCTTTCCAACTTTTTTTACTTGTGAAATTTCAACTTTATAATTATTTTTTTGGTCTGATTTAAATAAAATTTGAAAAAAATTTTTCATTTATTTATTTTTTTGTCAAAAAAAAATTTTTTTCAACATTTTTTTCCAACTATTTTTCGTACTTTCTAGAATCTCATATTGCCGGAATAATTTGTATAAATCCCTTTTTTTAATGCTTGTTCCTATCCTTTTGCAACCCTCCCACTGCTATTTTTTTGATTTTTCAAAGATATTTTTAAATCGTAACACTTTGAAATTTGCATTTTTTTCCAACATTATTCAAGCTCTGTAATTTTTTTAATTCGAATCCTGGCTATTTTAGAAACGTTCCCTAGTAATTACTTGGCCATTGACAAGAAGCTCCTAAAAACTTCTCGAATGTTTCTTTCTTCATAAAATAGTTGTTTTATTCTCAAAAATCGACTCTTTCTCACTACAAATCCTCACATTTTTTTGCATTTTGCAACAATTTTTCTCTAATTTTTGAGTTTTTCGGAACTTTATTTTTTTCATGAATAAAGTGCTTAGAAACCTTTTGCACTGCTTTTATTCCTTTCAATTTTTTTGAACCTTTTGTTTTTTATGTGCTACATCATGTATCATGTAGTCTACATTAAGCCTTCAAAAACCTTATTTCACTGCTTTTATTTCTGAGTTTTGACTTTTTTTGAACCTTTTGAGTTTTATCTGCTACATGAAGCCTTCAACAACCTTTTTCATTGCCTTTTTCTTCACAATTTCGACTCTTATCAACTATTTAATCTATTTTCTCTTTCACAAGTTCAAAAGTTTCGGTTTTTCTTTTTCTGAACGAAAAGTTGACTACGAGCCAAGTTTCGAATGTTTGAAACTTAATTCACATTTTTGCATTTTCAGGTCCATATCACGACGAAAAAGCAGGAAAAGTGAATGGACGGCAACTGGCTGGCGCTGTTGCTCGAACGCAACAGCGCCGATCCGCTGGTCCGACTCAAATTGGGCGTTCTTCTCCAGGAGGAGCTCCGTCAAAGGGGCGTTCCTCTTCACAACAAGACCATCCACGAGTTTTGCGATGTCGTCTTTCAGTGGCTCGTCGCCAGCAACTTCAAGGTACCTCTTTAGGGGTTTTTTCGGAGATAGAACCTGAAAAAAGTACGTTTTTGATAATTTTCTAAGTTTACTAGGACTATAACGCAACTCTAACGCCCTCCGGAGGTTTTTTTTTTCTCGTTTGAACCGTCCCTTTCCCGATTTAGCAATGGAGCGCGAATGCCCTACCATGCCGCGGCTGTTTTTTCTTCACTACAGAAATTTTCAAAATCACCTTTTCTGTCAAATTTCAATCGATTTCGAAAAGAAAAAGCTTGAAAATAACTGAGGAAGGCCTTTGGAAAGCACAATATACAAAATTCTACAGGTCTCCCTGGTGGCTCTGGAAATCCTTCAAACGGGTCTCGACGTGTCTGGCGACGTCTTGGCGCCATACTACTTTGATCGATTGTCTTCCATAGTTGAACGGTTCGAATAATAACCAATTTTCATTGATTTTCCATCAATTTTAGACTTGGAGATTCGAAACAGCCGGTTCGCGACGCGGCAGTTTACGTGTTGCTCACGTTGGCTTATTTGGAAAACTCTTCCCCCAATGTTGGTTTTTTTTTCCGTTTGGTTAACAAAAAGTAGTTTTTCAATGAAAACAAAAATGAAAATCCGAGAAGTCGTACTTCTGGCAAAACTATAGAGGCTCGAGAGGACACTAAAGTGGCCACTGAACCCACCTCTATAGTGGCCACTATCTTCCGTTTTAGTGGTCACTATAGAGGCTCTCTATTTAGTGGCCACTTCAGTGATTTTTCATCCAGTATTCCTTCCAGTCTGATAATTTTAAAACAAACAGATTGGACCAGTTATGTTGATCCATTGACCCCTAAAGTGGCCACTAAAATTTTTAGTGGTTTAGTAGGAGCACTTAGACCTCTATAGTGGCCACTAACTTTTAACCTCTTAAGAGACCACTAATTTTACTACTATAGTGGCCTCTAAATTTTAACCCCTTAAGTGGTCCCTAATTTGATTACTTTAGTGGCCACTAAAAGGTCAAAACCCTAGACTGGCTACTTAAAATTTTTCCACTTGCTGAGATGCGTCAGAGTGGTCCTTAGAAGGATAAGGGGAAAAACCCCTAAAGGGATGACATTTAGGTGGTCCTTATAGAGGTGTAGGCTCTCACCCCCAAATCCCTGAAGCTCAATTGGTCCCTATAGTTTTTTCTTACCATTTTTGTTATGATTTGAAGGACAAAAGGTGTTTAAAAACGTAATATGCTTCCCTAGAGTGGTCACTTTTGCAAGCTTTAGTGACCCCTTGAGGGGAAACTTCAAAGGGTCCAAGTAAGCCCTCTAGGGATCACTCTGACGTTTTTGAGTGCCTCCGATTTGCCACGTTATATCAAAATATCTTTTATAAGTCGAATGAAAAATGCTGGGACAGTACTTATTTAGGAGCGATTTGAAGGATTTTGAGACAGATTTCAAATTTTTGTGGTGTTTTTCGAAAATATTACTCTGTTTTTTCGTCTCCTTTCAATATCGTTTTCTGCAAATTTTGAAGTTTACGGCTCTTTTTATTTGAATTTCATTGAAAAGTCTCCATTTTCTGTCTTTTATTTCCATTGAAAGGGCTCAAATTACATGTTCAGATTCTCATGGACCGACTGATGGCGGGAAACAACGGGTTCAGCCACAAGCAATGGCTGGTCAAAGTCGGCTGCCTGCACATCTTACGCGAATTTTTGAGCTCAAGGTCCATTTTTTCTTCTTCAGAGCTTTTAAACTTGATTTTTCAGTTATTTCTCGATAGCTGGACAAGTTAACGCGTTGATTCCAAGGATTTGCCAAATGACCAGCGATTCCAATTCGGAAGTGAGAATTTTTTTTCTTGAATAAGAAAATTTATTTTTTCGCGTTGAGAAATGTCAACAGAAAGGGTTTTTTTGGAGTTTGAAGCACACATTTTTTCTTTTTAAATGTCCAAAAGTTCATAAAAACTTCCCCGATTTGATATGAACTTAAATAATATATTTTTCTTGCCGCCTCGACTTTCCACGGCCGCATTTGGAATGGCTAAAGGTGTTCTTGTCGTTTTTAAGATGCTCCCGACCAAAAATGACTTGCGCTTAAAGTCAACAAAGGTCATTAGAAGAAGCTACAAGGTTTCAGTTTTGAACCTCGACGCTGTGAGCCATTCCAAATGCGACCATATGAGGTTCAAATAAATGCCTTGAAGAACAATTTTCACTGTGGTTTTTTTTTAAGTTTCCGTTCTTGTTTAAAATTTTACGTAAACGACAAAAATGGAAAGGAAATGAATCCATTTTTCCATGTTGTTAAACAAAAAATGATCCAAGAATTGCAATTTTTCCTTCGGATTCCAGGTAAGAGACGCGGCGACAAACACGCTAGTGGATATTATGGTCGCCGGAGGGCCGGCTACCGTCGAAATGATCCAAAATTCGCGGCTCGTTCCTGACCAAAAGTTGGTTTTTACTGTTTTTTTCAGGTTTTATTGATTTTTTCAAATCTTTGAAGAAATCTTGATTTTTCTTCTATGGCGGCTCTGGCCAAGCTTCTCCCAGAGCTTGATTTTTCGAACCTTCATTCATTAATTTCAGCAAATTTTTCTTTAATTCCTTCTTTTTAAGTTTTAAAAACTGTTTATTGCATCTTCAATGTAACAATACATGGGCAATCGACTTTCATTGGTTGAACTGTGTTTAAACGGCGGCAGAAGCTGTGTGGCTTAGGTAGAGAAGTTGTGGATCGGAAACTATTAAAAAAGTAGTTTTTTATCAAAATATCACCCAAAAACGTCTCGATTTTCCAATTTTTTTTTAGTTATACACTTATTTTTAAGCCGATTCATTCCAAATGATAAAAATTATTGGCAGTCCAGAGCTTATATTAACTGTCTGAAAGTGTTGGAAATTAGCTTTCTAACTAATTTGAAACGTATTTAATGGGAGAATCAGCGGGCTGGATAAGAAAGAAATGAATATAATTTTCGAAAGAAAAAAACGTCCTCCACACGTGATCTTTTCATTATGGGGAGAACATATATTTTTAAAAAACGGTTTTTTTTTCCTACATAGAGAGATTATGAAAAATGAAAAGATTGAATTTAAAAAAAAACCGTTTATAGCATTTTCAATGTGAGAATACATGTGCAATCGACAACTATGTTTAAACGGCGGCAGGAGCTGTGGCTTAGGCAGAGAAGTTGTGAATTTCGCTCGTAGAACATCAGGTACAAGAGAGGTCGTAGGAAGAGTTACGGTGCCGGCTTTCCAAAGGCCGAGGGCAGAGATTGAGCCTTTTCGCTGCATGCAGCTCCCAATTTTATCTACCCCGGAGGGATGGAAGGCTTGGTCGACCTCGGGGGAACTCGAACCTACGACCTTGCGGACGTTAGAAATGAGTCTTACCAGCTGAGCTATAACCCCCTTTTTTTCTTTTTGAGTGTTTTCTGCAAATTTCGTAACGGCCTAGGTATCTTGAAAAATCTATAGACCCTTATTATATTTATTAATAACAAGGGGATTTCTTATCTTTCAAAAATTGAAAATAAATCTCTGTTTGGTATAAATTTTTCAAAAATATCTTAATTTAAACTTCATTGACTAGTTTCCCAATTTGGAAGTCTAAAGCTGAAAAATCGGTTGAATTATATGATTTTTTTACACGATCACGTTATCAAAACACTTTTTCTGGTTAAAAAAAAATTGATTTTTTTGATTTTTTTCAAAACTCTGTACTGATTTTTTAAATTTTTTCTCATTTTCCTTTAATAGGTGCTTTTTTTTAGAACTGAAATTTTTTCCTTAGATTTTTGATTTTTTGAACATTTTTTCTGATTTTTGATTTTTTCAACACTATTTACTGATTTTTTTCGACTAATCTTTCTAATTTTTCCCGTGTTAGGAGCTCTCTTTAAACTGAAGTTTTCCAGTTTCGTAGAAAATAACTTCATATTTTTTTCAGATTTTTAGATAATTTCAATGACAGTTTGGCCCATTTTGAGCTTCTCCTACGTTGCCTAGTTTTGTTTTCGAGATCCCAGTTTCTTTCTGAAAATTCACCAGCTAAAAATAACAGAGTTCATCCTAAAATCACAACCGAAAACCATACGTGTTCCTACGAAAACCGTCCGCACTTTCGAGACCTATGCAAATGAGGCGAAGGTCATCCTGCCCACGAGAGACAACTGCATTAATCCTCGCTCTCTTCTTCTTACGCTCCAATTAATCAAAACCCACGTTTTATGTGTATTTCATCGTTTGTACAGTTCCCAGGTGGATCTTAATAAGTTTCTTGATTTTCAATTTTCCAGTAGACTCCTCTTTTTTTTAAGTTCATACTCATGGAAATTAGCCTCAAGGTTTATGAGTACCTTGTGAAACGGGTAGAATTTGGGGCTCTTTAACAATTTTTTCTTGATTTCCAGTTTTTCAGAGAAAAGAGAATTTTTCAATACTTTGGCTAATGGAAAATTGTTTCAAAAGTAGTCTTAATTTTTAACTAAACTTTCTGAAACGGGAAGAATTTGAAACTCTGTAACATTTTTTTAAGAGGACCACATTTTTTGGTTGATCCAATTTCATCATCAGTTTATTCATTTTACAGTAAATTTTAACTTGAAAATCCCTTCAAAATGTGTTTTCAGTCCTATTTAGGTTCGATTCTGGAAGCTTAGAATCAGCGAACAGCTTAAAGAGTAGGGATTCGTTTCGAAAATTTCTTTGAGACGTTCATCCCTCTTTGGAATAAACTGGCTACATTGGGAAACCTCAATGTTTCTCCAGATCGTTTCAGGTCTTTGTTACTATCCCTCGATAACAATTTCCTTTTTGGATCTATTCCCAGCAGACTCCGTTGAACCAGGCACCCGTGCTTCAGCCCTACTCTTATCCATCTTATGCGCGTCTATATCATTACAAACAATTCAATTCCCCATTCACCTGTGCTACACTGTGTCATAACTTATAATGCTTTCTTTTCTATTCACTTTTTTTACCTTTGTGCAATCCTTACCTCTTATTCCTTCATTACTGGCTCAGAGGCTCGTGAGGGCCTCAAGTGCCTTTTATTTATTTATTTCAGGCTTAATGCCAAATTTTTCTCCTTTTTTCTCTACGTGTTATTTTTGTTCTGCCTGTAAATAAATAATATTATTAAAAGAACACTTTTTTTCAAAAAAATATCCACTGAAATTCATTTTTTTCAAAAACTTTATCGACTTTTAACCCACTAAAACCTTCAAATACGCTCCGAAAAAAACAGCTTTGTTAGATTACAAATTCTACAAAAAAAGCAATTTTTTTATCATTTAATTTTTTTTTAGTTTTTGTCTGCTCAGAGATTTCTGAATTTCAAAACACCCTCCAAAAAAGACGCCGCTCTGACGCACAAGTAAATTAGTCGAAAAATTTGAACTTTAGCTTCTTGACTGTTCTCAATTTTCTCGAATCTCAAAACACGCTCTAAAGAAGACGCCCTGACGCACTACTGCAAATTATTTGGTTAATCAACTTTCTTTTGCTTCCAACGACTTATTTTTGCTTTTTCAACAACTTTTTTTGGGTTAAAAATTCGGAATCAACGTGAAAATCTGCTTGGAACATGGAAGATTTCATTCAGAACGGAGTGTTAGTGTACCTGTACCTGTCCCAAGAGCTGAAAATCTCTTTAGAAATTATGACTTTTTCCAGAATGACAGTGCTCCTACAGCGATACGAAGCGGCTGAGAAGGACTTGCCGCCGAGAAATGGAGCTGATCCAGCTCCGATAGCTCCCCAACGGAGCATCATGGCCAGAAGATCTCTGAGGGCGCCAATGAAAATCAACTTTCCGACGAGGCTTTCGACGCCTCCGAATTCCGTGGTTCGATCTACGAATGGTGATTTTTCTTTTTTTCAAGTTTCTGAGAGTCATTTTTTGACTGATATATGTGATACCTCGTATGTCGTACCTTTCACTATGAAAATTCGGTTTCTGCGCACTGAAATTTCAATTTTTTGGGAAAATTTTTAGTGGCCACTTTAGGGTTTTGAAGATTTACTGGCCACTATAGTAGTCGAATTAGTGGCCACTTAAGTGACTGAAATTGGGTGGCCGTTTTAGCCACTCAGACGCAAAATAAAGGCTTCTATTCAGGGGGTTTGAGTGGCCACTTCAGTGCCTTCTGCAAGTGGTCCTTGAGGAACCCCTTAAATGTCCACTAGAGTTTTTCCAGTTAACACAAGAAGTTCGCTTGAAAACCTTGATTTGACGGAAATTTAATCAATTGATTATACCTTCAATTAAATAAATAATGAAACTATATTACAAAAATGCTATAAATATACCGTAAAATATTTCTTAAATAATCTGGAAAAGTCAAATATTTGTATTTCAAGCCTCAACCCCATTTTAAAATTGTAGTTCAATCGAACTTATTGGGAAAAGTTGAAAGGTCAGGGATCTCTGAAGAAAAATGGGCCTTGAAAAAGATAATAATGAGCGAAATTAAGATATTTTTTTACGAGAGAAAAAGTTTTGAAATCTAAAAAAACATTGAACTTTCCCGATTTTCTCAATTTTTGAGCGTTTTTCTCAAGTTTCTTACCTTTCTTCTTTCGAAATATCAATTTCAATGCATCTCAGAAAGTTTTAAATCAGTTTTCTTCAATTTTACGTGTATTTTCAACTGAACTATAATTGTTTTATACAATAAAACTCAATAAAATAGTAACCACAACCACTTTTTCCATCAAAAACCAACCATTCTTGCCATTTTTCATTGTTTGTTACAACGGACACGAATTTGCCCACCTGTCGTCGCTTTGTTTGATCCAAATAGGACAAATTCCCTGTAAAACATCCAACTAGACAGCCACTTGGCAAGTCCTTTCGCAGTAGGGCGCGATTGTGATTTGCGCGGCAAATTAAAGACGTTTGAAATTTGCGTAATTTCTGAATCATCATTTTACGTTTTTTTTTCTGTTTTCTTTTGGATTTTGCGCTTTTTTACTGTTTTCCGTTGGACTAGAGTTTTATTCGAAGTAAACAAGGGTGGGACGAGTATTAAAAATCAGTTTTTCACAAAATTTTTGTGAAAGGAGGTTGGTTATTTGTTTATTTATTTTCATTTGTAATCTGTTGTTCAAGAATTATTGCTCGGATGATTGAAGGTCTCGGAGAACCTGAAAAAGCACTGGAAACTGTTTTTCGCTCCGAATATTTCTTTGAAAGTCGGCTATGCTCCTTTAATCACCCATCAATCCTTTTTTCAATATAGGATTCTTGGACAAATTTTTCGAAAATTGTGATTTTTCAAAGATAATTCGGGACCGTTTCATTACGGCTCCAGTTGAAAAATTTTGAAAAGGGAACAGTTTTTGAAAAAATATCACAAAAAGTGTTTTAAAAGAGTTTTTTTCTAGAACCTCTCAACTTTTAATTTTCAAGCCATTGCAATGAATCAAATTCCTGACACTACCATAAAAGGGCAATAGTTGGCGGGAAAGTAATCGAAAAATGGCGGGAAGAATTGCCCCGTCGGGCTGCCTTCCAGTATAATTGGGCTTTTCTATCGATTCTTCCATTCCGACGCATCTTCCTTCCAGTTTTTTTTTGGGCTCTTTTTTATGTTTCGGATGTTTTTTGAGCTCTTTTTTTCGTGTTATGGAATAATTTTTAGGCTAGGAGACAGAAAAAAATTCGTATCTCTGAACGAGAAAATGTTTCGGAAAGAGAACGATTTTTTTAGAAAAAAAACTTTTAAAAAAATTAATTTTTGCTCTTTTTTTCTCGAAATCATTTGAAAATTGGTTCATAACTTAACTTCAAGCTTTTTTTATAGTTTTTTTACCGTTTTTCAAGCTTCTATTATATTTTTTTCTTCATCAACTGTCTAATTTCATTTTACCTACTGGAATCAATATTTCATCAATTCCTCACAAAAAAATCCCCGGTAAATCAACTCAAAACTTAATTCCCAATCCAATTTCACGTCTCCCAGTGCGTGACGGTCGAATCTCAATGCCATCGACAGAATATCTTGAGAGAAAAAAGGTCCCCGCCGCCACCGGCCAACCCAACACATATTGACTTATCTATCGTTCCTCTTTTCTTCCTATCGATTTCTTCTGTTCTTGGGTTTTGAGTTTGAAAGTTATATGAGGAATATTGATGTTCATTGTTTAATCTTGCAGTAGAAAATGAGAAAAATTGTTGTTTTTTGAAGTTTTTTAGTGGGAAAAATGAGAGATAACGTATGAAAGCTCCCAGTTTCATTGAAATCCAAGTCGAATCGAATTTTCAAACGATATATTTCTGCAATTATAGATTTTTAGTATTAGATACGGAATATATTATAGAAATTCAGTTTTTTTTTGTGTTTCCAAACAAATTTAGATATATTGATCGATAAGTCGAGGTAAATTGACTTTTTCTACGATTTTCATTGGGTCTTTTATGTTTTTTTATAATGGATTTTTTTAGTGTTAAAAAAATCAGGCATATATTAGATTATATGTGTCCTTCTTACATGCTTAAAGTAAAATTTATATTACTCGATTTTAAAAAAATGTCTTCTTTTTAAAGATTTATTCAAATTCTTTCAACATTTTTTTAAAAATTTTTCTAAAACCCTTTCTGGTGGTATGAAAAACACCAGCGAAAATTCAAACGGCGACTTTTTCCGATTTTTTTCATATCGCTAGGTAACTTTCCGACGGCCACCTTTCCGACGAATCTTTTTTTCCGACTTTTTTTCTCGATAAAATCTTCGTTTTAAATCTTCCAATATAAAGTAGGTAGTTGTTTCATGATTAAAAACACAAAGAAATAGGAAAAATGTTTATAGATGTTTTATAAACCGGAAAACTTGAGGGAAAAAAGTCGGAAAAAGATTCGTCGGAAAGGTGGCCGTCGGAAAGTTCCCTAGCGATACGAAAAAATCGGAAAAGTCGCCGTTTGAATTTTCGCTGGTCTTTTTTTCATACCACCCCCTTTCTGATCGTTTTCTCGTTTCTCCTGTTTCTTTTAAACTTGCTCAAGTGTTTAATTTGATTATAATCGCAAATGTGAATCAGAAATTTATATGAAACCAGTTTTTTTATTATATTGCGAAACAACGGGATCACCTATAAATACAGATCAACTTTTTCCTTTTAGCGATTTTTGTGCAGGTTTCGGAGTTGATTACGTATAGTTTGGTACTCAAAACCCTAATTTTCACGATGATTTCCTTATTTTTCTCTTTTGAAAGTCTCATTAAAGTTCAGTTTCAAGTGCAATTTTATTTAGACTCCATTAAAATAATTGAAAAAAGGAAAAAAAAACTGAAATTTTTGACTTTGAAAACTATTTTTGGCGCGAAAAGGAATATATGCTCCATTGAGAAGGCCGGCCGCCACTCGGATCTTTTTTTTTACTTTTTTTCTTTTTTTCGTCGTTTTTTGCGTTTTTGATGTTTTTGGTCGGTTCTTTTCATATGTGACGAACAATTTGTATAATTTTGAAGCAAGGAAAATGATCTTGGTGGTGGAATAATTGAAAATAAAAATAAATCTTGTTTGTTTTTTAAATATTTTTTTTTCTATCATCTTATCCTTTATATTTTGGTTTATCATTCCAACGTAGAGGTTTTTGAGGAATCCCTATTTTTTGATGCGATAATAGATGGTTTAAGGCTATTTTTTTCGGAATAATCTCATATTTTCAATTTTTTTAATCAACTTTTTGACAGTTTTTCTTGAGAAGATATTTTTTCGGCAAAAGTCTATAGAGACGAAGGATCAAATTCCAGAAAATAGACTATAAAGAAGCTTTGACTACTGAAAATTTCAATCCGAAAAGTTTTCCGAATGATATATTCCCGAGGGGAATGAAGCGGTGTCCGTCATTCGCCGACTTTTTTTCATTTCTTTGTTTCCATCGATCTTTCTTCCATGTTTTAAAGCTTATAATTTGTGAAATTGGGAAGTTTCTTTTCTCGTAATTAGCCTTTGAAGGGTTTTGAATCGATTTGTTCGTGGAAGTGGAGAGAGACCGATATGTAAACAAATGAGCGGCCCTCACAAGTTTTGCCGAGTTCCTTGAGCTTTTTGGAACTTTTCTTCTGTCTGTTGCTAGTTTTTGTAGGGAGTCCATGAGCACATAGGGAAGAGAGAAACATTAGATTGAAAAATTTTGAACTAAATAATCATCAAATGATACAGAGAAGTGAGTCTTTAGATTCAAAAAAGCAGAAAATCTAAGGGTACTCATGATTTTACTAGTGATCGGAGGAGTATAAAATCGAGAAAAAGAAAAAAATTTTTTGATTAGATAAACTTCATTTTTTTCAAGTTCAAAGTTGAAAGCTGAAATTTGTATTTTATTCAGAAAATCAACACAAAATGAATATTTTTCCCTTTTTTCGAATTTTTTTTTTGGTTTTTTTAGTCCAGCTATGACTCAATAGTGTCTCACATGAAAAGTAACCGATAAAGTTTATTTTGAAATTTTTTTTTTTTTTTGTAACAGATATTTGATATAATTTTTGCAAATTATCGATGATAGAATCAATTTTTTTCTGTTCCACTGCACACAAAAATAGTTGAATTTTTCACTGAAATGAGTTTTTTTGAGATTTTTTTCAAGCGTTTAGTTGATTATAAACAGGTTTCTTTCCAATTCATCATCAGTATTTTTTTAAAGTTTTTTTCAAAGAAGCAATTCGAAAAAAATTTAGTTTTTTTGAGGCTCTTGAAGTATTCAGTTCATTATCAACAGCTTCCTTCTTGATTTTTTTAATAAATTAAGAGGTTTAATTTGACTTTTTCTAGCCTTTTCTAAGAATCAAATGGAGATTCTTGTACTCAAAAATGCGATAAAAGTTGTCAACTTGATATTTTTCCACCCTCCAATGTTTACTATTATTTTGGCGTTCGTTTTCGCTATCGTCGCAAAAAAAAGAACTTTTTTATCTCACGCATGCATTGGATTGCATTGCGTGACGGCCCACAAAAGGCTCTTTTCTTCCCTTTTTTTTTACTTTTTCGGTATGACGCATCCCGTTTTTTGGGGGATTTTGGGACTGTTGGGAAAGTTTTGGGAGTGTAGATTTTCAAGTTTGGTCCTTTTTTGAACAGGTTTTGATTTTTTGGTAAGCTGATTATTTATCACTCTTCTGTTTTCATTTATAATTTTTTTTTTGATTCGAAGCCGGCGGATAGTTGCGAAATTAACAGCAAATCTCTGTTAAAAATATTTTTTTAAAGAAAAAACACATTTTTTTAATTAAAAAAAGTTCTGAAAAAAAAGCTGATTAAAGAAGTGAATGGATTCCTAAATTTCTATTTTTTTCATAAAATTTATGGAAAAAAAATGGGCCGGAAGACGAGTTTTTCTATATGATTTTGTAGTCATTAAGCGTTTTTTTTTCCAGCTATTTTAAATTTTTTCTTGTAAATTTCAAATTTTTTTTTAAATTTGGCGATCTGAACTGTACGTTTTAATCAAGGTAGAAACTGGTCCCTTATAGGGGCAACCTTGAACGCTCCCCTCAAGGGACCACTAAAGCTTGAAAAAGTGGCCCCTGTAGTGGACATGATAATCGATTATTGAGAAGCATTTTCATGCGGAAAAAATTAATAAATCAGCGTTCATAAAAAAAGTGAAGGATTGTTTAAGCAAGTTTGTCTTTTTTTAATATTAAAACTTGAGCTAAATTTAGAAAAAATCCTTTAGGGACCACTTGAGCTTCATAGCCTTATCAGTAAAACCCTCAACCCCTATAAAGGCCCCTTTTTTTGTCCCGTAGAATGATTTTTCTCCCGGATCCCTCTAGGGATCACTCTGACGCTCCTGAGTAGATTTGAAAATATTTTTTTAACTTTGTACTTTTTTTTTTTTAAAAGTGATAGGCTTTTTTGTGCCCCTCCAGTACACTTTCCTCGCTTTTTTTCATCTTTTCCAATTTTTCCCCATCAGAAAAGACGATTTCCAGGCGGTCTCCACTCGCCGTCGCCTCAATCGAACCTCACCGAGCCGAACTCGCCGCTCTCGTTGAGCATCGCCAGCTCGAACAGCAGCCGAAGCCGATCGTTTGGCCTCACCTCCGAGGAGTCCAACTCCGTCCGCAGAAGCATGTCGTCAGTGAGGCGACCCACGCCTGCCAAACCTTCTGGTTCGGGTTTTTTAAAGTGTTTTTGATGATTTTTATTGATAGGATGTAAATATTTCAAATAAAAATAGAAGAAAAAGTTTTTTTTCGCAACCTTAGGTATCGAAAACTCGGAACAAAAAGCAGGGAGTACAAAATTTTAACTTTTGAAATGTTAAACTTTGATTTTTTACGCTCCTGTTTTGATTTTTTTAATGATAAATTGATTATATTCTTATTGAAATTAACGGAAGATTTTTTTAATTTAGAAGCCATTGGTGCGATATTTTTGGTTGGAAAATCCAGGCAATCTAGTTTTAAATATAAAAACTTGAAACTTTGACCTTTTTGCTAGGTTTTTTTACAAATAAAACATGAAGATTTTTGATGAAAAAGTATGGAAAGAAAATTTTCAATTTCGAAGCTTCAGGTGTCATTTTTTTGTTATAATTTTTTTGAAGAGTGAAAATCGGAATGTTTTTTTGAATCTTTTAACCCCATATGTGAATTTCCATTTTAAAAACTGTTTTTTCTACTTATTCATAATTTTTTCAAAATACTGTAGCTTCAAATTTAAAGAAGGTTTATTTGAGCTTTTTAGAATATTTTTGAGTTTGTTTTTTTGTTTGTGGAAATCTACAATATTTGAAGGATAATTTGAAAACTTCCGATTTAAAGTACATTTTTCCAAAAAAGATGGCTGCATTTTTAAGTGCCCTCGAAAAAATACGTAAATTTACTAATTTGTAACCTTATTTCGCAACTTTCGGTGAACTTCCCCTAAAAGTTTGAAATTAACCCGTTTGATAACCTCATTAACCGATAAATTGCCGTGTTAGGCCTCCCTCAACCGATTTCCAAACGACGCTCCAGCACAGGTACAGTTTTCTGACGTGTTCATTTGGGCATTTTTGAACTTTTCCCTTGATTGAAACAAAAAATATAAATTTTCTTCAAGGGAAAAGCTCAAAAATCATCACGGGCCTTTTTTTAACCACAGTTTGGAGTGTTTTTTTTTCCGTACACTTTTGGTTTTTCATTATCGAAACTAACATTTTTCTTAAGATTTTTGTGAAACAAACGTTTTTCAACTTATGAGGTGATTTTTGTATGTATGAACTAATATTTTTCATTGATTTTTATCAGATTTCCGATGCACTTTTTGACCATAAATTGGATTTTTATTGAAACTAGTTTCTCACTCTATGCCAATGAGTGCATTATTTTTCAGTGAATACTGCAAATTAACATTAAATTGCCTAACTTTAACTATTTTTTTGAGGAGAAAATGAAAAAAATAGAAAAAAATTTTTCAGCTTTTTCTGTCTTAAAGTGTGATTTCTTAGTTTTCTTTTTTCTGAATAGACTTTTTATCGATAATTTTTATTATTTTTCAAGCTCAAAAATTCGTTTCGTTTCAGATTTTGCCTCGGGGTCGTTTGAGTATTCATTAAAAATTATCATTTTTTTAAGTTTCCCCTTTAGTTTCAAAGCTGAAAGCTTTCCATTTTATTTTTTTATTATAGTTTTTTTCACTTGGTTTTTCAGTATCATTGAAAAAAATAAAAGATATGTTTCATTTTTTTCTAAAATATCTTCGGAAGAAGAAAAATTTATAACTTTTTTCCAGGTACGGTCGGTGCAGTAAATGAGGACGACTTTAAAAAGGCGTTCAGTCAGGTCCCGAAATGCCAGGTTTTTTTAAAATTTTATTATTTAAGGTTCAAGGTTTCCACAGGTTTACGTGGAGAATGAATAGATTTTTTTTTACGAATTTAGTATTTTAAAATCTGAAGTTGGTATTTTTTTGACTTTTATAAGCTCATTTTTTTCACGTTTCTTATCTGTTTTTCTTGTAGATTAATATTATTTTTTTGTGTAAAATTTAAGATTTTTTTAAAATCTGTTTTTTTGAGCAATTTCACATGATCGAAGAGCTTTTTTTCGTACTCCCAGGAAATTTTTTTCAGTTTAACCTTTTTGAATTTTTAGCGTGATTAAGTATGTTATTCAGCGTTTGTATCTTATTTTAAGGAGTGTGGCGTGGTCAAAGCGATTTATATAGACGTTTTTTTTTTTGCGTATCTAATCAACTTTTGAGGAGCTTAACATGGATAGTAGGATTTTGTGAGGCTTATTTCACGTTTTGAAACTTATTTTTAGGTTTTAAGATGATAAAGTGACTTTTTGCGAATTTTAGCAGAATTCATATTTTGTATTGAGAACTCTAACATGATTAAAAATATCTTTTGAGGCATTTTTTTTGCATTTTCAAATTTTTTTTTTCGGATTTGAACATGTTAAAATGTTTTTCCTTATGTTTTTGAAGGATTAATAAGAGTTTTTTCTCCCTAAAAATATAATTTTCTAGGTTTTTTCACCCCAAGACGTCGTACAACATTGTGAATCGGCGCGGGCGATTCTGGAAAAAACGGACGAAGACTGGTCGAAACGGGTCAATGCTGTCAGTTCCATTGGAAAATCATCTCAAAGACAAAAAATCGATCGATTTCAGCTGAAACTCGTCCGAGCCGTCGTCCTGAACGGAGGAAAAGAGCACGAGAAACAGCTGATCTCGTCCCTGTTGCTCCTGTGCGACGCCATGGAAGTCTCCATCAAAGACCTGAGATCCCAAGTCTGTCGTGAAGCTTGCATCACTTGTTGGTGAGTTGGGGGAATCGTGGGGGTTAAATTTCAACGGAAAATGTTAGGATTTTATCGGATTTAGTGGAAAATGAAGTGGTTTCATGGGTTTTTGTTGTATTTCCTGCGAAAAATGATCATTTTTTGAGCGTTTTGAGGCCTCCTGGAAAGTTTTAAGAATCCAAATTATATATATATATATATATATATGGGGGAATCGTATGAGTATAATTTCAACGAAAAATGTTAGGATTTTATCGGATTTTAGTGGAAAATCAAGTAGTATCATGGATTTTTATCGTATTTCTTGCGAGAAATCGGGTTAGAAGTTGGAATTTTGATTTTTGAATATGAAAATGAGGTGATTTTGGGCTTTTAAGGGGTCGTAGGAGTCAAGTTTGAACGAAATTAGTAGGGATTCCATTCGTTTTTGTTGAAAAAAAAAATTAGTTTTTTGGATTTTCTCTGTATTCCTTGAAAGAGCTTATAATTTTTTGAATGTTCTGAAGTTTTTATAGCTTTTGAGAGATTGTAAGAAGTAATCGTGAACCGAAAAAGAGAGATTTTTCGTGGCATATTTTGAGCATTTTGAAGCCTTGACACCTTTTCTCAAGCAAAGTCGGAATTGTGGATAATGGCCGCTAAAAGGGAGAGGCTCAAAAAAGGCCGCAGAAAGGCAGCAAAAAAGTCCATTTATCCAGCCTCCCCTTTTTTTGGGCTTTTAAAGGCTCAAAAAATGGTGAGATAGTCTTTTATTGTATTTCTTGCAAGGATAAGTCATTTGTTGAAACCTTCGGAGTTTCGAAAGCTTCTGGGAAACCGTATAAGTCAAGCTTCAACGCAAAAAAAAAAATCGGACTTTAAATGCTGAAACTGAAAAATGAGGCAGCTTCTTGGGTTTTCCTTAGTATTTCTCGTGAAAATTAATCTTTTTTTAAATTTTTGAAATTTTGAGCTTTGAAAAATGAGATGAAAAAGGACTTTCAAAAAAATGAAAACTTCATGGTTTTTCGGCCGATTTTGAGATGGTCGATTTTCAATTTGAAACAGTATTTTTGAAATTTTCAGAACGAAAGATTTTTAGAAAGTTTATTTTTGTTATCTTTTTTTCGATAACATTTGAAATTTTTGCATTTGCAGCTACCTCCTGGAAGAGTTCGGAATGTCTCTGTCCCGATTGGGCGAGGCCGTCCTGCCCCAAGCTCTGGCCCAAGTTCCCGTTTCAACCAAAATCATGTCCACTTCGGGAGCCACTCTGGCGCAATTCGTTGTTCGGGTTCGTTTCGGGAAATGATGAGAAAAAAAAAGAGTTATAAACAAAGAAATTTTTTCATTTCGATAGTGTGACGTTTAAATCAGGAACTGATGATGATATACAGATTTTACAAAAAAGGATAATTTTTGGATAATTTTAAAGATCTGTACAGTACGGGCGGTTGTGAACTGGAAAAATATTTAGTGGTCACTATAGGATTCTGAGGTTTTAGTGGCCACTTAAGGGGTCGATGGATCAACATAACTGGTCCAATCTGTTTGTTTTAAAAATATCAGAGTTACTGGATGAAAACTACTGAAGTGGCCACTAAAAAGAAAACCTCTATAGTGGCCACTAAAACAAAAAATAGTGGCCACTATAGAGGTGAGTTTGGTGGCCACTTTAGTGTCCTCTCCAAGTACTCCTTGTCGAGCCTCTATAGTGGCCACTAAAAATTTTCCCAGAGTCTAAAATTTTGAAAATGCCTTTAAAAACTTTTCTAAACCGAAAAAAGCTTCATTTTCACTAGGAATTTACAAATTCTTTTAAAAAATAACAAAAGACTTTAATCTGATTTTTTCCAAATTTTAAATCTTTGAACACGAAATTCCTTTTCAGAACGTCCAAACCAAGCAAATCTACCAGACTGTCGTCAATTCTAGCTCCTCCAAGGCCAAGGAACTCAGAAAGTTTGAAAATTGAATACAAAAAAAAAAAAAATTGAAAAATGCTTTTTCTAGGCAAGTTGCCAGCTTGGTTCTTTTGATGCTGACGACCTGGGACCAGACGATTTTGCAACGTCATATGCAGTCGTTGATCGTCCTTGTCAAGGTGAATTCCACCTTCGGAAAAAAATCGGGAGGAATCAATGGAAATTTTGGCTTGTTTTCGAAAGACTACGGAACTTAAAAGGACTGAAATTGAAGAATTGGGGCTTTTCAGGCACCTGCAGTTAAAAAAAAAAAAATCCCAAGTGCGTAGGGGATATGAGAAAATGATATTTTAGGCAGTTTTTGAACGGTAAAAAAATCAAAAAAAAAATTTTTTTTTTCGATTACAGTCAACGAATAAGCTGTCCATATATTTCTACTGACTCATGAGAATATTTTCCATCTCGAAAAATAGCCTATACAGATCCTATGGTAGCGAAAAATTAACCAAATTTCAACTTTTTAAGTTCAATAAAACTTTCGAAGCGAAATTTCTTGATTAATTGTCTGAAAAATTGGTAGATTTCTTGACAGGGAACAACAGAAAAAAAGCTAGAACCGGAGGAATATGAAGAGAAAAATAAGTAAAAAAATAAGGATTTTTTGTTCTTGGCGGGAAAATTGGTTCAGTTTGGAAATTTTTAACTTTTTTTTTTTTGAATTCGTGTAGTCATATTTCTTCAAAAGTTTGTAAAAGCAGACGATTTCAAAGGTTTTTAGTTTTTCTATCATCATTTTTCCATGAATGAATGAATGTTTATTTCGCTCACAGACAGATCTGTGGCGTGGAGGAAGAGAACCATGAAAGTTATATTTGCCTCCACTTCGATAAAGTTCCACTTAAATCTAAAAAAATATTTTTAGGTCGAAATCGAAGAGAATCAAAAAAAGAAAAAGTAATCTATAAACGAGTTGAATCATTATGTGAAATTTGCAGCTTCCTTATCAAAAACCAATTTTTCAAACAACTTTTAAATCTTCTTTGGTCATCCTCAAAAACCATAACTCTGTTTAAGCCGTTCCAGTATTTATACACGCGTTGCGTAATAAAGTTATAGTGAACATGATGGATTGGTGGTGGTTCGAGTTTAAGGCCGTTGCCTCTCAGTTGGTTTCGTCTATTTGATATCGTTTGTAATTTGAATGGAGATGGACACCAATAATAGCCATATATGAACTTATGTGTAATTATGATATCTTTTTCGCAGACGCCTTGTCCATAGAGTGTCTAGAGAAAGGGATTTTTAGTCTTACAGCATAGGTTTCTTTTTGGGAGAAGCCGTTTGTTGAATTTTTCTTTTGAACCGATTCTAGCCTGTTTCATGTCAGATTGGGTCAGTGGAGAGAATATCTCCGATCCATACTCTAAAAATTGGTGAGAATTTTTGGCTTTATAACAGTTCATAAAGTTTTTTTAACGGAAAAAAAGTGAAGCAACGGAAAAAGATTATTGATTATACGAATGCTTTTTTTGACTATTATGTCGATATGATGATGCATTTTCAGATCGGAACTGAAATTAACTCCTAAATCTCTAATCACCTCTTGTTTGGGGATGGATTCCTCTCCTATTCTATAGTCGTTCCAGATTCCCCTTCTCTTACCATACCGCACATAGACGCTTTTAGAACTAGAAATAGATAGTTGCCTTTCTAAAAGCCAGTATCTTATCGAGTTAATATCGGATTGCAGCTTGAGGTTATAATTATCAGTTTCTGAGCTTATGAATAATTTTACGTCATCTGCATAAATGAGCATTTTGCTATGTTTTACGACACTAGTTATATCATTTATGTATATCAAGAAAAACAACGGTCCTAAGCAGCTTCCTTGTGGAACCCCAGACAACACCTCGGTTTCGTTGGATACCTCATCATTAAGGCGGACAAATTGAGTTCTATTTGTTAAGTACTGTGAAAACCATTTGTGTAAGCGACCTACACACCCATAAGCTTTTAACATTTTAATGAGCCTCCTATGCGTGACTGAATCGAAAGCTTTACTAATATCTAAATAAACAACGTCCACATTCTGATTTCTACTGGCGCACTCGATTAAAAACTTCTGTTTTTGAAGAAGTTGCGTCGTTGTATTTCTATTGTTGAGAAAGCCGTACTGTGAATCAGAGAGTATATTGTTGCTCCATAAGTGATTTCTTAAACTTCGGACAGTAATAGATTCGAAGACACGACATGGAACGCATGTTAGGCTCACAGGTCTGTAGTTTTCCGCTTTTTGAGGGTTTTTTTTTTTGAAATTTAGTCTAACTATTGATTTCTTCCAAAGAGAAGGCAATATTGAGGTATCCAATGACTTCTGGAATATTAATGATAAAGGCAACGCTAGGGGAAGGGCAAGTTTTTTACATAAAATTGATGATAAGTTATCTGGTCCGGATGAGTAAAGAGGTTTTAATTTTTTCAGTGCTTCATATACAACATGAGGTTCTACCATCTGTTTTTCTATTGAGATTTTTTTTCGAAAAAGATTATTATCCCGTGATTTTTTGCGAGTTTCGAAATTTTCACTGATTTTCTTAAATTTCGTTTTCTTTTTCATTCTTTGACGGTAATTTTGGGGCTCGGAAAGCTTCCTGGAACACGGCTTTGGTATAGAAATAAATAGTATTTGGACGTGATTTGTTTCATTCCTTCAAATCGCTTCTTTTTCGAACTTTTTTGAAGCAGTTTTTATCCAAAGGCAATTTTCAGAGTGGAATTTGTGACGCGGACCCGGACACGAGGCAAATCGGCAGAAATTGCTATCACAGGATGGAGGAAGTCTTCCCGCAACAGGCTAAGGACCTCTTTGCGGTCGGTTTTCGGAACTTTTTTCGAGAAAAAATGGATGTTTACTGATGTTTAACTATACTCAGGGATTCTAGAGTGGTCCCTATAGGGGTTAGGGGTTGAAAAAGTGGCCCTTATAGGGGTAAAATTAAGGTGATCCCTATAGGGGTTTAGGGCCTCACTTTTTAGTCCCTAAAACTTAAGTGGTCCCTATAAGGTTGTCTCATTTTTATTTAAAAAAACGCTTATTCATTCATTTTTTTTCATAGAAAGGCTTCTTTTAGAGTTCACTTGCTGAAACCTCTATAGGGACCACTTTTTGCAAGCTTTAGTGGCCCCTAGGTCGATCAAGTGTTCCCTAGAGGGGTCCCTCCAAAGGCCTCTAATGTTGCCCCTATAGGAACCACTCTGGAGTTCCTAAGAAATTTTAGAGGTCAATTAGGTAAATGCGAAGACGGAAAGATTGAAAATGAGGAGTTTTAGCTTAGGAGCTCCAAAAATCATTTCTGAACCTTATTTAAAAAATAGCCTTCAAAATTATACCGCCAGAGCAAATTTTCAATACAGAACTTTTCTCCTTTTCTTGTTTTTCACTGTTTTTTCACAAGACTTTTCGAATTTTGGCAAGTTAACTTGGATTTTGAATTTTTCCTCGTTCAGTCGCTGGAGCCGATGCGACAGAAGCAACTCGGCGGCAACGCGTCCGCGGCATCGTCCTCGCAGTCGTTGAACAGCGACCGGGGTGCCATGCCTTTGAACAACCGCCTCGGAACTCTCGGCGTCAGGAATAATGGTGATTTTTAGGGATTTTAGGGATTCGAGCTGAATTCCCTGTTTCAGCGTTCCTGAACCAAAGATCCTCGTCGGCGATCGACCCGAAGAGCGTCCGGATGGGAATGACGCCGCTCCGAGGGGCCCTCAATAGACCCAGGCCTGGATTCCCGGCCACTTCCTTCGATAGATCTCCTGGCGGAAGTTCGTCTTTTGTAATTATTCAAAGAATCATATGCATTCAACCTAAGTGACTATATCGCAGCGGGCTGCAGGCGATATAGCTAAGGCTTTTTTCTGCGATATCGCTAAAGTCTCGCCGCGAAATTGGTAAAGTATCGCTGCGATATCGTCAAAGTCTTGTCAAAGACTTGCTGCGACATCGTCGAAGTCTCGCTGCAATATTTTTAAAGACTCGCCGCGATATCGTGAGAGTCTTGCTGCGATATCTTCAAAGTATCCGTGCTATTTTGTCAGAGTCTCGACGCGATATCGTCAAAATATCGCTGCGATATCGCTTTTTCTCAGAAATTTTAAATCAAGAAGACAAACGTTCGCTTTATTTTTAAGTTTTATGATGAAATAAATCAAATTAAAAAAAACTTTTTCAAAGAGCGTTATAGCGCAAGAAAATTGCAAGGTCGCACAGGCGAGCGATATCGCTCGCGGCATAACATTACTCTCGCTGCGACGCATTTCATAATTAGGAGCGTAACTTTCAAAAATCGAAAAAATAAAACCACTTTCCGGCTTCAAACTGAGAAAAATTGATGGTTAATGGAATCCCTTGCTGTTTCATCAGCGTTGTAGTCTGTAGTGCGATTCATTTTGAAATATACAGCATTTTTTTGGAATATTGTCTAATAAGAGGGCTTTTAAGAGTTGAACACGTATATTAAGAGAAAAAAATAATCAGAACCGGATTTTTCCTTTCTAAAAATTTATTTTTTTCTGGTTATTTCTGACTTTTTATCAGATAATAGGATCAGACGTATTTGAAAAACGTAAAGGTTTTTTTGGAGCATAATTTTCTTTAAACTCTTTTTCGAGATCCACTCAAACATAGATTTCCAATTGCCGAAACTATATATTTATTCTGAAAAAAAATTTGCTTCCAAGTATAAATTTCAATTATTAGCCAAGTGAGTCTTTTTTTGCTAGAAGTGAAGGATTCTAAAGAGTATGCTCCGAAACCTCCCGAATTTCAGCCCAATTCGCTCGTCCCGGAATTGGAATCCCTTCGAGAGGCGTCGCCGGGGCCGCGAGACCCGTCGCCACGCCGACCAAAAAGAGTTCCACTTCTTCACAACGTCAGATTTCAAAGAAATTTGAGAAGTTTCAGCTAGAAAAAGTTCTAAAATGCGTTGGATCATCAGAAATTTAAAAAAAATCTTGAGCTTGATGAATCTTTGACACGATTTTGGGGCTTCAAGTGGGCACTTGAGAGGTGCTACTGGACTCTCAAGGGGTGCTCACATCCCTTAAGTGATCACTAAAAGTAATTTCGTCAAGTTATGGCCCTCCTTGATTTTTTCGCTAAAAAAAATGATGAAATCGAAAAAATCAAAGCTTAACAAGGTTTTGAAACGATTTTGGTGCTTCAAGTGTACACTTAAAAAGCGCTCATAACCCTTAAGGGATCCCTTTTTACGGAAAAAAAACTGAAGCTTCACGAGGTTTTGAAAAGATAAGGCGCTTCAAGTGGGCACTTAAGGGAAATTCGTCGATTTGTGGTCGATTTCTAATTTTTATCTTGTAATAATTTTTGATAAACACATTTTTCTTTCTTTATCGTAATTTGAGTCGTAAAAGTAAAATAAAATCGAAATTGAACCTAAAATGTCAGTCAAGTGGTCACTAAATTGGTTTATTAAACGGAGAATATTTAAATTTTTTTGTTAGATTTTTCCTATCAAGGAAAAATTGTTATTAATTTTTTTAGGTAACTTCCCTTAGAAAAAAATTGTATTTCAATAAAGTTGCTCCACTTTTTTTTTGATTTTTTTGAATTATTTTCTCCTTTTTTTAGCCGGATCTCGGAACGGTTCGCCGCCAAGGAGTGCCGAGCACACGAATGGATCCAGCAGAGTCCCCAGGACTTCTTACGGTTTTTCTATTTTTATATCTCTGTTTCAATGGGAGATTTAGTATTTTTTTCAGTGTTGTGTTGTCAATTTCGTCCAGTCTTTTACATGATAATAAGCCTTAAATTTTCAAGATGTTTTCTCCTCTAAGTGATTTATACCAATGCAAAGGAATTTTATAGATTTATTTATTGATTTAAAGATCGAAAAAAATCTTTCAAATCCAGTTTCAGAGTAAAAATATTATTTTACGATTAATTTTTTTCCTTTTTTTCTGTGAGAGAGAAAAAGTTAGCGCTGATACTGCAGTAGCTTCTTAAAAAAGTAATAGAATTTTCGTTTTTTCTTGGTGGATTAGGGAAAATCGGTATTTTTTTCACCTTATCATTGAGATAAAATCAGTTTCAAAATTATTTTTTTAAATTTTTTTCGGAACCAGGGAAATTTCGCAGTTTTTTTGACTAAACCGTGATTCTTTTAATGCCTTTCTCGATTTAGAGGAGCTTTTTGGAGCTTCAAATTGTCTTAAATTTCTTGAAATTGCGTTTTGACTAGGGATGTACTGATAAGAAAATCAGGGAATAAAAAAATGACAAAATAACTTCAATAAGTGTTTAGGAAACGATAGAAGGTCGGGCAGCGGTTTGGCGGCTTCGACCTTTGGAAGCTCCGCTTTTGATACAAACAAAATGGTTCGGGCCCTCAGTGAATTGGTAATCATTCATTTGAATCTTAGTTCAAGCGAAAATTCCATAACTTCTCCCCCCAAAAAAAAAAAATTGCAAAAAGTTGAAGCAAAAGTACCGTCTTTCTTTTTTTTTAAATCAGGGTTGTATGGAAATTGAATATTGTATTTGGATTAGGCTGAATGAAAAAAACTGGTTTTTTTCAGAATCAAAATGCGGACGACGACTTCTTGTTGCCGGTCAGGGAGCAGGAATTCAAGTGAGTTTGGAGACCAAAAAAAAATTTTTTTACCGACTTTTTTAAAGATAAACGCTGAAAAGTAGCCGCTTTTTCAAAATTTTGAGGATTTCGAACCAGAAAAGGTCGAAGAAAACTCGTTTTTCAGGATCGAATTTTGAAATTTTTGAATTTGAAGCTCCAATTTAGCATCAAAAATCATATGAGTTGGGAATTTTTTTAAATTCAGAGTTTCTATGAATTTATTTCTAGTTAAAAAAATTTGCATTGATAATTCCAATTTTTTTTTTTTGTGAATTTTTTTCAAAGCCTTTTCATAACTTTTTGGCATTATATTCAAGCCGACTTTTTTCAAAAAATACAATAGTCAATTTTTGAAAAATTTCAAATTTTTTTTGCCCGATTCAGGTTAATTTTCTCAGTATTTGATTTATAAATTCAAAGAAATCATCAACTTTTGCCCGATTCAGAATCGAATCGGCCCGATTGGAAAGCGCCTTGAGGTCAACGGTGGCGACGGCCTCGATCAACGACAGGAAAGAAAGTCTCCGGGTACTCTCCACCATTGTGACGTGAGTTTGGAAAGTACGCTCTGTTGAGAATCCGCTCAGAAAATCATCGAAAATAGTAAATTTTTCGTAAAATATTAAGAAGAGTTTTTTCCAATGAAATTTGAGGACTTTTGGTCAAAAATTATATTTTTCTCAAAAGGGATAAATTTTTTATTTGTGTATCTTCAGAGATCCGACGTTGCCCGAGCCAGACGTAAGAAAAATTGGCGAAGCTCTGGACAAATTGGTCGCCGAGGGAAATGTTCATGTGAGTTTGAGAGGCGCAGAGAAAATGAGAGATTTATGACATCAATTAAAAAAAAAAAATTGAAATCAAGGGTTCTAGAAGGTCATTTTTTATAGTTCTATCGTTGAAATGACGTCAGTAACATATGGTCTTTTCAAGTGACGTCATAGCTCTCGAATGATACGACGTCATTTAAAATATCTCTCTGGAGTTGTAGTCTTCTGATTGGCTTGTCACGTAATTAGGGGGCGGAGCCTAAAGAATACCTTGAAATTCGAAGTATTCAGGAGGACATTTGGTGACGTCATAGTTGTCCAAAGAAATGACGTCATTTTCCTTGAGGTTCCTGATTTTTAAGAATGACGTCATAGATAGGAATAAGAAAAGGCGTATTTAAAAAAAAAGGTAAAGAAAAACTTTGAATGTTCAAATTTGCATCAGAAATAGTTTCAATGACGTCATTGGACACTTTGGTGACGTCATCATTATCTTTGTCAAATAAAACATTGAGCTCCTGTTCATACGCTTTCCGTTGTATTAGGTATATCTATTGGAAATGAAAATTTAAAAGTCTTCGGAAAGCCTATGATGACGTCATAATAACCTTCATAAAGTTGATTGTTCAGCTCCTGGTCATACGGTTTCCCTTTTATTAATTATATCTATTGGAAATGGACTTCAAAAAGTCTTCTAAAACTTTATAATGACGTCATGAAAGGATTTGATGAAGTATGACGATAATGACGTCATAATAACCTTAAAAAGCTTAATTGTTCAGCTCCTGGTTCAAGCCCTCGAAGCGACGGCGTCTTTCGTAAGAGTCCACCATTCAAAGCTTTCTTCCTGGCTCCCCATGTTCCTGGGACGCCTGGTCACCAAAATGAGCAACATGATGTTGCCTCACTTCAAAGTGACCTCTCAAGAGGCCAGGAAAACTCTAAAGGGACCATTTGCAGACGCAGTACGCGACGACGAAAACGGCGATTTTGTCGTCGTTCGACCCGCAGCAGCAGCTCACCGCCGTGTGTAAATACATCACCGAGCCGACGAATATGTTGGCGCCGAAGGTAAAGGGTAAAAAAAAATGAAACAGCTTGAAAAATTGAACTGAGAATGAGAATAAAAAAACGGATTAAATGAGCTAAAATAGGTTTATGTGAGCTCAAAATGAGGCAAAATGTGCCCAGTTGAGCTTCAAAAAAGAAAATTGAGGTCTTGAAAGTTTTAAATTTCAATAGTTTGTCAAGTGAGCTCAAAATGAGACAAATCATGTTCAGTTGCGTTTTAAAAAAAGAAAATGTTAGTTTTCAAAGTGTTGGTCATGAAAAGTTTGCATAAAACTGATTAAAGAAGCTCAAAATCAGTCAAACTAAATCAAAAGGTGCTCAGTTGAACCTCAATTAAAAAAATAGCCATTTTATAAGTTTTAAATGGGGAAAGTTTGACAAAAAGCGGCTTATATGAGCTAAACTTGGTTTTTGTGAGCTCAAAATGATGCAAAATGTGCCAAATTGCGTTTCAATTGAATATACTTTGATTTTTAAAGCTCTAGATGGGAAAGTTTTGCTTAATAGCTGTTCAAACGAGCTAAAATATGTTAAATCGAGCTCCAAGTCAGTTAAATTAAGCCAAGATAATTCTAGCTACGCTTTAAAAAATTTATTGAATGAAACATTTTTTAAAGTTTCAAGTGGGAAAGTTTTGCTTGAATGGATTGAAATTCTAAGTCTTGGTTGAATTAGGCTCATTTGCGCTCCATTGAGAATATTTCAGCTCCAAAATACCGGTTGAACATAGTAAGCCTTTAAAAGATCATTTTTGATCGAGAATTGAACGGACAAATTTAAAAAGGTTAAAAAAGGGACATTTGATAGTTACTGTGCCATCTACAGATAAAATTAGAACGCTCCAAACACATTTTTCCAGGCGAAGGCGACGATCCTGCAGTATCTGGACGACTTGCTGAAGACCTACATGGAGCACGGAGCTTCCTATAATTCTCGAGAAGTTCAAGGAACCGTCAAGAAGATCTTCCAGTGGCTTGACGATCAGAGAAGCGCCGTGGCTCATCCGGTGAGGATAGGATAATATTTTTATCCGTGGAATATTGTTCCTTTGGAGCTATTTTTACATGATTTTTGAGAGTTTTGAGCTAAAACGCGCTAAAAAAAAAGAGTTACCTTAGAATTTGCTGAAAATTAGATGAGAGGTACTTTAGAGCGTCCAGATTCTCACTGAAATGAAATTTAGAAGATTTTCGTTTTTTTTTCGATTTATTAAGCTCCAAAGATTTGGAAACCGATATCTTAACTGTAAAGCTTGACTAGAAATCGGAGACTGTGAACTTTTTTTTTTTTTTGGATTCGGTGGCCTAGGACTTCTCTCAAGAAAGATATTATTTTTTGTGAAAATCTAAGGCTTTTTCTTTTTTTATGAGCTCGTGAAGCTGAATACTGTTCTTCAAACTCACCAAAGCCAGATTTTTATTCAATTTTTCTCACAGCTCTGCGAAGAAGTCCTCTGCGACCTGTTCGCCGTGAACGCGGCCGACTTCTCGATGATGTTCACCTCCTTCGACCCACAATATCGCGACCTGGCCTACAATATCCTGCAACGCCACGGCCACAGTGAACACAGCGCCACGTCCTCGGCAGCTCATCATATGTGAGTTTGAAAAAAGAGGATAAAAGACGAAAAATATCCCTTTATATTGGGGAGAGCTTTGAAACGTCATATCTGCGCTCCAAAATATTTTCCTTGAAAATTATTGGTTTTCTGTGACCAAGAGGTCAAGATCTACATACCCTCAAAAAATGAGCTCCATCGGAGACACTGAAATTTCCAACTTTTGAGGGCTTTTTTCTAACTTTTTTCACAGACGTATTGGGCAATTTTTGATACCAGATTTGGAATCAGCATGAAAAACTACATCTAGAATATGTGGTCTCATTCAGAAGCCCCACTGCTTCCAAAGACCATTCTCTAGTCGGAAAATGTCTCTGAAATTACTTGTTATCAGTTTTTCCCGAAGGAATCACGTGAATCACTTCCGTCTATGAGAAAATGAAGCGAATCTGGTGAAATACGTCCAAAAATGCGTTCAAAGTAGTTCCTGAATATTGATATTCCTGTTTTGAATTTATTCCCAATATTGCGATTGAGTTCGAAGAAATAAAATCAAAACGATGAGAAGCCGAAAAAATCGTTTAAAGATCCTGAAAATCAAAAAAATATTATTTAGAAAATGATTCTCGAAAATCGCGTCACCTAGAGGAATATGCGCTCCAACGCTAAAATACGAGATTTTTTGGTTTTTCGGGATATTTGGCGATCAAAAGGTCAAGATGGAGAATTACAATTGTTATGGGACGCCTCAGATTGTTATCAAAGCGATCCAGCTTTTCTTGTTCTTGAAATAATTTTTTAAATTTTTCTTGGATAAAATAAGAGTTCATTCCTCTCCGTGAAAATCGCGTTTTTCTATTTTTTGAGAGGCTCTCAACTTCAGAATAATTTGTGGTGTTTCAAAATTTGAAACACTTTTCGCCTTAATGCATTTCCTGTTGGCAGCTTTAATGAAATTACTAAAAATATTTGAGTTATTCAAATTTGACTTCAGTTTGTTTATTAAAACTCAAATTATTTTACCATTTTCTTTCAAAAGCCTCAGAACTCTAGTCAAGCGGTTAGATTTGAGAAAAATGAAATACTGGAGGGATATATCAGAATCCGTATCAAAAAAAAAAGAAAAGTTTTCCTCCCATTTGAAGATGCCTCCCCAATGCATTTCCTATGTGCAGCTTCTCCCCTGAGGCATCTTTGCCCTCACTTTTCTTCCCTTTTTGAACGGCTTATCCACTCCTCGACGCCTTTTTTCGTTTGTTTTTAAGCTTATAAGGAAGTTCCGATTGATTCTTGGCCCGTTGAAATGTATAGTCGCACGTTTTGATAGTTTTTAGGGTCTTGAGAGGAATTTTTTAATGGAATTTAGTGGTTTTCGAAATGTTTACAAGTTTCAGGGAGTGAGTCATTTTGATTTGTTGGAAATTTGGAAGCTTTGAATTTTTTTTACTTTTAAATTTTTTTTTTTCAATTATTCCAATATTTTTTGCCATTTGCATTTTTCGAACTGCATTTTCAGGACTCGTTTCTTTTTTTCTGCTTTCAAATCTTCTCTTTTTTTTTGTTTCTTCTTAGAAGGAAAAAGAGCACCTGAACAAGGATAAATCAACTCGTCAACGAACAGTAAATGGAGAGAAAAACGGCTGTTATTTATAGATTTCTAGTCTTTTTTATTTCCTCAAGCCGAAAGGACGTTGGTGGCACTCGACGACTTCGACCTCGACACGTAGACTTGGATTATATGTTTCTGGAAATCCATAAATTGTTGAAATGACCCGAAACTTGGTTTCCTTCATTCAGAAGAAAGATAAGCCGATACATTTTTTTTTAAGCTTTCGATTTTGAATTGATTTGTTTTTCTTTCAAATTAAGAACGAAAGTGTCAAATTCCGGAAAACTAAAGTACTTTTTCGAACAAAAATGAAAAACTGTAGGTGGATTCAAGGCCTTAAAAGAGAAAATCTTGAGAAATTCAGGCGTCTTAAAGTTCCAGCTGACTAGGACGCAGAAAGAACAGATAATTTATTTTTAAAAAAATTCTAAAAAACAAAATTTTGGCCACTTATTCTCGTAATTATGACAATTTGTCAGAAATCTAGCCTCAGTTTTCCTTTTTTGTGATTATTTTTCTCCAGAAAAATGTTCTTAACATTTTCCAACAACCCAGCGCGCAAGTCGTTTTCGGTCGGTTGAAACAGTTCAATTTATTTTTCCCGAAGTTTTTTTGGATTCAAAGCAAGCAGCTCTGTTTTTAAGGTTCAAATTTTTAAATATATATTCAAAAAAATTGCGCCCGACTTTTTACCTACTTTTCTATTTCCTATTCAAACTTGAGCTCATGATTTTTTTTTTCACGGGGTGCCTTGACAGTTTTTCAGGTTAGATGTGGAAAAATTATTTCTTCGTCCTATTTTCAGTCACATTTTCAATGCAAGACCTTCCAATAACGAGCCGAAAAAGAAAAATCATTAAAACCCCATTTTTCCAGGGGACCTTCCTCGGTGGAGAACGAGTGCGTTCGGACGTCGATCAGCTCGACTTCGGCCCAAATAACGGATTTCGTCGGCCAAACGGCGCACCGACTCGGAAACGTCCTCGGAACCTCCTCGCCGGCCCCGATCTCCAACGGAGGCTTCCATCAGAACCCCTCTCTGGGATCTGTCAACGCTACCTATAGTTCGTTTGCGACCAGGACTCGGAAAACGTCCGGCTTTTCCAGATAGCTCGCCGAAAGCCTCCGCCCTGAGCAACGTCTCCGACTGCGGCGACATGCAGAACTATCTGAACAGCAGCAATGGGTCTCATGATATGGTAGGTTGTAATTTTGTAAGGGCTGGTTGATCTAGGACTATCAATTCAAGAGTAGGAGCCAAGGATTATCTGTCAGGCGACAGTCCGCAATATGCCGTCGCGTGTATGCACACTCCGGATACTTTTTCTCGCAAGCATGAGCATATATCCGTTTAGAGATCATGGTAAACTCGGAGATAACTGAATCCTACTCTTCATGTTCCCTTTGTACTGACCTGCCAATCCAACAGAAAACAGGCCTTAGACATTGTGTAGAACGAGGAGAGTACCAGTCTCTCCAAGTACCGTGCTCTCTAACCGTTTATTTTTATCTCTTTTCATATCATTTTTCATCAGCTCTCTCGTCCATAAATATGTTAAAAACGCCAGAGTGGTCCCTGTAGGGGCTAGGGAGAGAAACTGCACCTCTAGGGGACGAAAAAGTGTTGATATTTATCCCTCAAAAACGCTATCCATTAAGTTTTTCGACATTCTTCTCCTCAGTCCATAAGCATGCCCTCTAAGAGCCAAGTAAACCTTAAAAAAGAGATGAAGTGGTCTCTAGAGGGGAACCTCCAAGCTTTCTCCTATAGGGGCCTTTCTGTAGTTCGTAAAGAAACTTTTTTCAAGTTAGTCTTCGAAAAAGATCGAATCCCTGTTATTTTGTGAGATCCTATGGTAAGATTCATGAAAATTGGACTTTTTTCAGCGTTTGAAAAAGAAAAAAAAACAAGTAAGTAAAATCGTATATAAATCCATATTTTTCCAAGGTATTCGAAAATACGATCCATTTGGCGCACGATATCGAAAGTCAACATGCCTACGTCCAGAATCTTTTCGAGAGCTTCAACGATTTGAGCAGGTTTTTGAGAAGAAAGTTGGAAAATTGATGGAATTTTTCAGAGAGGAAGACGTGAAAAAATCCCTGCTATCTCTTCACAATATGATGTCTGAAGGATCTTTCACCACTTGGGACACTTATTTCCCCCGTCTTTTTGTTGATCATTTTTTTGAGGTAAAACAATAGTAGAATTTTAGGGGGAAGCTTGAAATTTTGAAAAAGTATTTTGACTGGGAGGATTTTGTTTCAGTTTTAAGCTTTTTTTGCCTTTTCAAATCGAAATTTCATTTAAAATAATTCTCAAACTAAAACTTGAATCCAGGAAAAAGCCGCGAAAACTGAAAATCTATAACGTTCTGTTGCTAACTCTCGAATTTTTGAGTTTCACCGAAGAAAAGGTGAAAAAATAGCTTTAAGAGGTTCTAGAAACAAAAAAGTGATATTTTGTAAGTTCACTGCTTATAGGGTACATAAGATGAGTCGTTCTGATCTTGAAAAAAGAAAGTTTTGAAGAACCTTTAGGTAAAATAGCTTTATTCAGAGTAAAGAAGAAAATTGAGATTTTAGAAACTTTTTGAAAGGAGAATGTATATTAGAAATACATAAAGACTATTTCTATCGAAATTTTGACGCTCAGCTACTAATTTTAAAGTTCTAAATCTATTCGAAAAAGAAGATAGCCTGAAAACAGCTATAGATGGTTCACTGTCGAAAAAAAGGGTCCTGACACGATTTTTCAAAAAGAGGATGCTTGGTTGGTGGAGAGCGCAGACGGGCCACGCCCCTTTTCCTCGCAAACTCTCGATAACTCGTTAACACGAGTCTGATGTTTCTGAGCAGTTCAAGGAAACACTTAAGAGAGCTCACGCCACTAAAGTGGTCACTAGGAATGCTCTGAAAGTCCGTTACCAAGGTTAGAGCTATCCGGAATCGGCTATAAAACAAAATAGCCTTCAAATTCGATATTTGATGTTCCATTGATAATTTTGATCTCTCATGTCTTTTTCGAAAATTGGGAAGTTCTGTGATTAAAAGTGACCCAGGCCTTCTTGATACCAAGAAAAAAAACTTTTATACTCATTTGAAAAAAAGCTCAAAAAAAGATCCTTCTAGGTACTTGTAAAATGCGGACCTTCCGTGAAAAAGCCGGCTCTCCGAGTCCTGATCAAAATGTGCCACGCCCAAGCCTCCCGCTTGTTTGACAGCACCGAAATGGCGATCTGCAAGGTCCTCGACGCGACCGTCGACGTCAGCGATGGAACTGTAATCAATAGATCGATTGGAAAAATCAATAATCACTCGATTAAGCTTCTCGTCGTGGCCGAAGATTGTCTCAGAACTCTGGCCACCCATTTGCCGCTTTCGAAGGTGATCAACTGCGCCTACGCGAATTTGAACAAGGAGAATGTGGTGGGTCTAGGCTGTTTTCATAGGGAAAGTTAGCTCTGTTGATAAGAAGCTTTTTTACTTGAACTCAAAAGCTAGAAAAGTGAAATTTATGAGTTGATGTACTTTATAAAGTGTTCAACGGATAAAAGGTGATTATAAAAAGTTTTTCAAGACTGAAAAGATTTTTGAACGAAAAATGCGCTCTATTGAGAAAATTTTGATTTTTGGGAGGATATAGGCTTGGAAGTTAAGGTTTTCACTGAAAATCGTTTCCAAAAGGCGAGAGAAACTTTTTTTGAATCATATTTGCTCCATTGATAAAACTTTGATTATTGAAGGATCTAGATTTCTCTCCTCGAAGTTTGCTGCATGTTTAGATTGGAATTTTGATATTTAGGTTGATATAGTTGATCCGAAGGATTCGGTTAGAAAATAGGAAAATAGAGCTTGATTTTATAGTCTGTTGCGCCCTAATGATAATATCCCATTTTATATTTTTTTTTTCTTGGTTGATCAGCTTAGAAATAAATCATTTTTGAGGAACTGTTCTTTTTTAAAATTGCAACTTTTTCCAGGAAGATTCTCGGGTGATGTTAACTCTGAAGATGCTGACGAGGTTGTTCGAATCGACGCCCGCCGACGAGTTGGCCCCGATTCTTGACGAAATTGCGCCCTCCGTTGTTAAGGTGAGAAGAAATGGAACAGTTGAGGTTGAGAAATGGATATTTTGGAGGTAAAAAAGTTGGATCATTCAGATTTATAAATTGGATCCCTTGAAAAAAGGTCCTAAGGTCAGAAAATGTACCCCTTAAGGTACAAAGGTTAAGGCCTCAAGATTAAAAAAAAAAATAGGGTCTTTAGGGTTTAACGTGGTACTCTAAAGTTGAACAGGGTCCTCTAAGGTTAAACTGGGTTCTCTAAGGTTGAACTGGGTCTTTTAAGGTTGAACTGGGTCTTCTAAAATTAAACTGGATCCTCTAAAATTATACTGGGTCCTTTGAAGTTCAACTGGGGCCTTTAAAGTTCAACTGGGTCTTCTAAGGTCAAACTAGGCCTTATAAGGTTAAACTGGGTCCTCTAAAATTGAACTGGGTCCTCTAAGGTACTCTAAGTTTAAAAAAATAGGCCCTTCAAGTTTATTTTCCTTTGGATCTTTTAGCTTTTAGGGTTAAAAAATTGGATCAATTGAAGTTTTAAAAAAAACTGGGTCCTTTAAGGTTTAAGAAAATAGATCCTTCAAGAAAATATCTTACAGGTTTCCAGTGATATCATTCATTTCACTCACAAAAATAACTGGAAATTTGAAGTGAACTGAAAAATCATCTTTTCCTGTTTTCGAATCGAGGACGTCGTCTGGAATCCACCAATAATAAAAATATTAATTTCATTCACTAAAAATAACCAGGACTAATAGAAAAAAGAGAAAGAAAAAGGATAAAACCGAATTTTTGGCCCCCTCTCACCTCCTAGTACAAATAATCGATATTTGATATATTTCAAAAAGACGATTTCAGAGCTACGACGCTCCAACTTCCGTGGTCCGAAAGTGTTCCGTCTTCTGTCTCGTTTCGATGGTGAACAAACTCGGAAATGCACCGCTGCAGCCCTACCTCGCCGAACTCTCTCACCACAAGGTAATTTGCAAAATCTGTTGAAAATAGTCATGGATACGAGATAAAAATGATCAAAAAAGTGAAATTATCGTCGTGGGTTTTTCCGATTTTGAAGAATAGGTGTTTCTACTAGGATGACTTGAGTGTGAGGCAGTTGGTGAAAATTGTTTCAACCGACCAAAAACGACTTGCGCGCCGGGTTATCAGGAATGGTTAAGGGAGTGTTTTGAAGGACAATAATCAAAAGTAAAAATGTTCGCTCAGAACTTTTCAAATTCGCTTTTTTGGTTATTAGTGAGCCCATCTGGAATGGCTTAATTGTGATGCGGTTGAAAAAAATTGCTTCACCAGACCGAATACGACTTGCGCGTTAGGTTATCAGGATTTCCGACAACAGTTATAGTTATAAGTATCCGCGGCCAAACGACCAGAATTTGGTTTTTTAGTTTTTTCTTTCATAGATTTTTTTCCGACCTTCTAGCCAGCTGGAACTTTGAGACGCCTGAATTTCGAAGTTTTCCAAGATTTTCTCATATTAGGCATCCTAGGAGGTTTTTTAAAAGCCTTTTTTATCTCGAAAAATATTTTTTGACAATTTTCGAGTTTTCTAGAGGTTTATCCGGAAAATTAGAAATCCTTTTTTTAATTGAATAACTATCTTTCCAAAAAAAAATTGAGCCCACTCACAGTTTTTTTCATTTTTTTGTTCAAAAAAATAATTTTTAGTTTTTTTCCGGAATTTGACACTTTCGTTCTTAATTTTGAAAGAAAAAAACAAATCAATTCAAAATCGAAAGCTTAAAAAAAAATGTATCGGCTTATCTTTCTTCTGAATGAAGGAAACCAAGTTTCGGGTCATTTCAACAATTTATGGATTTCCAGAAACATATAATCCAAGTCTACGTGTCGAGGTCGAAGTCGTCGAGTGCCACCAACGTCCTTTCGGCTTGAGGAAACAAAAAGACTAGAAATCTATAAATAACAGCCGTTTTTCTCTCCATTTACTGTTCGTTGACGAGTTGATTCATCCTTGTTCAGTTGCTCTTTTTCCTTCTGAGGAGAAACAAAAAAAAAGAAGATTTGAAAGCAGAAAAAAAGAAACGAGTCCTGAAAATGCAGTTCCTCCTTTGTGTGCTTTTGGGTTGAGATTTTGCCGACTCTCATTATTTTCTTTCTTATTAATTTAAAATCTTACCCCGAGCTTTTCCCCTATAACAGTTGTAAACTGATCCCTCGGTTCGTTTTCTTTATTATTATCGTGTATAATATATTTCTGAGCTTCATCATTTTTTTCGGTTTGTATGAGACTGTATAAGATTAGATTTGAAAAAAAAAATCGTTTTTCGGCTCATTTTCTAATCTATTATTGTCATTATTTTAATTGAAAATGAAGTTTTTATGATTAGGATTGGTGCGAAATTTCGTATTTCTTCCAGAAAATTGGAGAATTCCAGCATTTCCTTTGTTTTTTTCGTGTCCTTTTTTATTATTATTTAAAGAACAATTCCGAAGCTAAAAATATGAGAAAAGTTGATTTTTTTTCAAGAAATTGAAGAAATTGGATGATGCGATGGCGTCATGGTGTTGAGGACTTTGTCGAGCCACTGAAAATTATTTTTTTATCTTCTTTAAAAAATCAAGTGTAGTTTATACCAGATTTTTAAATATATATATTTAAATTTTGATGACGGCCTGGTTTTACAAATCCTTTTGAAGCTCGCAACACTCTTCAGGAAGTATTCAGAAAGAAAGAATGAAGGCCTAGTTTTTCCAAATATTTCTCCGTTTTTTTCAGAAATACTAAATGAGAAATCGAAACATTGAAAAACTAAGATTTTTTTGATCACCAAACTGAAAAAAAAGAGCACGGCCTAGTTTTTACAAATCCTTTTTAAAGCTCGCAGAAAGTTCTTAGAAACACGAAGAAAAAAAGCGGAGGACCAGTTTTACAAATCTTTTTTTGCTTAAATCAAGAGGTGGCCTAGTTTTTCCGAAATATTATGGACCCCTAAGAACTTTTTAAAACCATGAAGAAAAAAGCGGAGGCCTAGTTTTCCAAATCTTTCTGCTGCTTTTTCAAATTTTTTAAGAGAGTTGAGCGCTTGTAAAATTGGAAAAAAATGATTGCGAGAAAAAAAAGACCACGGCCTAGTTTTACAAACCCTTTTAAAGCTAGCAGAAAGTTCTTAGAAACATAAAGAAAAAAAGCTAGTGGCCTAGTTTTTACAAATGTGTTTTTCGTTATTTCATGCGGGTTTTGAATGCTTTTTTTCTAGAAACATGAAAAACGGGCGAGGCCTAGTTTTCCAAACCTTCCTTCTTTTACAGAATTTGGAGATTTGAAAAAGGAACTTTAATCATTAACTGGAAATTATCCGCTTATTTTTTTAAAGAAGAAAAAAATGATAAAATATCAAGTTACCACTAAAGGGGCGTGAAGATGGATTTCGATCCAACATGGCGTCGAGGTGACGTCCTGGAAAGGGCCAAAAATCAGGAATTTTTTGAAAGATCAAAAAAAAGTTATTATACGAAACGTGGCCTTCTTCCAGACGGCCTAGTTTTCGCAATCGGATTCGGAATTCCCGTACCTGTCGCTGATATTCGGCGCCCCAGCCTTTGACGAACGACATCCGGATGAACGACATTTTGGTCAGTTCAAAGGAAGAATCGAATCCTCGTCGAGAACTTTCTTCCAGTAGCTGGAATTTCGAATTTTCTAACGAAAACTAGATTTGGTTTCTCTGAACCCTCTCATTTTCCTGTGCTATTTCGGAAAAAAAAATAGATTTTTGGGCCTGAACATGAAAAAATTGATTTCCCTGAACTCTCTTATCTTCCAGTGCTATTTTCACTTTCCTCTGAGCTTTCGGTGAGAGAGAAGAGAGCACAGACAGGTTAGATCAACTAGACTTTATATTAGATTTGAAAAATAACTTTATTATTTCTATTGAACCTTAATATTGGTTTTTTTTTAATTTATCACTTTTTGAATATCAAATTTTATGAAAAAAAATATTTCATTGGTTTTTAATGGTTTTCAAGGATCTTTTCGAATTTAAATCAAGTGAGCCCTTTAGGGGTTTTTCCACTGGGAAAATTTTTAGTGGCTACTAAAGAGGCCCGTCAAGGACTACTTGGAGAGGACACTAAAGTGGCCCCTAAACCCACCTCTATAGTGGCCACTATCTTCCGTTTTAGTGGCCACTATAGAGTTTCTCTATTTAGTGGCCCCTTCAGTAGTTTTTCATCCAGTATTCCTTCCAGTCTGATCATTTTAAAACAAACATATTGGACCAGTTATGTTGATCCATTGACCCCTTAAGTGGCCACTACATTTTTAGTAGTCTAGTAGTAGCACTTAGACCTCTATAGTGGCCACTAAGTTTTAACTCCCTTTAGTGGCCACTAATTTGACCACTACAGTGGCCACTAAAAATTTTCCCAGAACTCATTTTTCCGAACCAAATCCAATGAAACGAACCTCTCTGAACCGGCCAGTGTCGAAAATCTTCAAAGAGCACTTGTTAGCGATTCGGACGACGGTGGTCGGATGGAAGTTGTGAACGTAGTTGCAATTGCGGGACTGGACGAAAACCGCCGAATCGCTTTCACATTCGGCGAAAAGTGTGCCTTGGTGACGGACGTAGGTTAATTTGACGCCTGGAAATTAAGGAAATCTCGAAGGATTTTGGTGATTTTACAGTTTCAGAGAGATTTCTTAAATCAAAAGAATCCTTTTCCGTACTATGAACTCTTCAAAAGGCATTTTATTTTTGAAAATTCGCATTTTCTGCTCAAAAAGTCTAGAAAGCAGAAGATTTTTCACATAGCGAAAAAAATGGGAGAAATATTGAAGAATTTCGATGATTTTACAGTTTCAGAGAGATTTTTTTGAATCATAAAAAAAGCCTTTCTTCGTACTAAAACAAAAAAACAATGAGAGTATTTTATTTCAATTTTTAAAAAAATGGAAGCTTCCGTATTTTTTTAAGCGTTAAATTCGACGATGAGGAGATCTGCAGAGTTTTCGATGAGTTTGCCATTTCAAAGTGTGTTTTTGAATCGAAAAAGAAGCCCTCTTCATGCTATAATGGCTTCAAAACGAATTTTACGCTTGAAAATTAGCATTTTCTGCTCAAAAAAAGACTAGAAATATTGAAATCGGAAAAATGGGAAAATATTGAAGGATTTTGATGAGTTTACAGTTTCGAAGACTCAAAAAAGCTCCCATGAGTAGTGTACAGCATTTATGTTTAGCAACTACTTTTTCAGAACATAAAGTTAAATTTTCCAAAGTATTTTCGTACTACACGCTTAAAAATTTGTAATTTTCTCCCCAAAACGCTAAAAATAAGGAGACTTTTACAAGCGGATTCCGAAATTTTTGCTTTTTACAAAAAAAAAGTTTCTTATTGATGGAGCACAAGTGCTACCATCTGCACGGCTTTTTTTTTCGCATCCCATTTTTGAAGTTATTAATATAGTTTATTAGGCGTTAATCCTAATTGAAGCTTTTCGCTGGGCTTCTATTGAAAGGATCTCAGAAAAACACTTTTTTCAGTTTTTTCACCAATTTCTCCCGAATTTCTCACCATTCCCAATGTGTCTCCTGGTATTCTCGATCGTAGCGTTGCGATTTACGTTAGAAAAGAGTCCCAGACTGATTTTGCTACCATTACTCGTCGGATCCGTGTACCCGTCTATCGTGATTGTCGGCGCCGAGACCTGGGACATTTTTATGACTCTTTACTGTTTTAAGAAATCTTTAAGAGTAATGTTCATATTCCGGCTTTGATCATTTCTTTTCTTAGTTTGAAAGAATAAGCAAATAAAAAAAGAGTTCGATTTTTCCTTATAAATATGAAAAATAAGGCATTCTGGAAAAGTCGGTCGGTCGGTTTGGAAAACTAGGCCACGCCGCAATTTTTCTCCATGGAACACTTTGAACTTCAATCTTTTTCTTCACTGAATTTTTTTTCTTTTTTTTTTTAATTTTATCAAAAAGGTTTTCGCTTTTTTCCATTCAATTCTATCGTTCTTGCGAGTAAAATACGATGGCTACTACATTCAAAAATTATAAAATGATTCAATTTTTTTGAAAGTTCTTATTAATTTTTTTGTATCCAAAATAACTTCTTATAAACAAATGAGCGCAATTAAAAATCATAAGTGATCTGAAAATAAGATAATGTGTGAAATACACACAAAAAAAGGCAAGAAACAAAATTCCTCCAACAAAAAGTAAAGCATAACCTAGGGAGACAATTATAAACAAGGAACAGCTTATTTTGAAGAGAGGAGCATGTGTTCCCATATCCTAGAAAACTGATAAAATGAAAGAAAAATATAGAAAAAGAAAAAAAGTCTGAATTTCGATTTTCCATGGAGCAAATTTACGGCGTGGCCTAGTTTTCCAAATCGACCGACCGACCGACTTTTCCAGCATGCCAATAAAAAGAGTTTAATGTTTCCTAACAAATATGAAAAAGAATTGTTTTTCAAAGTTTTCAATCCACCGTTTTTACACAGGCAAAGTCGGAAGGACCCTCCGAGGCTGCTAGAAAATTCCATAGAAATTGTGAAAAAGGCTCCCTTTTTGCTGCCTTTTTGCTCCATTTTCTCAGCCTCTATGCACCAATTTTGCTGTTTCCCCCTTTCTCTACCATTTCTTGAGCCTTTGGAATCTCAGAAAAATTGAAGGCTCGATGAAGGGAGTCCCTTTACCGATGTTGCCTCTCTGCTGCCTTTTTTGAGCCTTTTTTTGCGGCTTTTTTTGAGCCCTTCCCTTTTAGCTGCCATTTTCCACCATTCCGACTTTGCCCGAGTTTCTACGAACAAATCTATAGATCTGGGAAACTAGAAAAAAAGAAAAACTTTTTTTAAATATCTTTTTTTCTCTGTTTCAAAGCTTTTTGAAAAAGTATTCTGAGTCCCGAGTCACACCGAAAAAGGTAAATATTGATATTTTTTTGGTCTTTAAGAGAAATAATTCAGAAATTGAGGAGGTCAATTAGACACCATAACTGTCTGGGTCTCTCTGAATTTCACATGATCTCTAATTTTCAGCAGCTGTCAGTAACAGCTAACACCACAGTTTAATGTTTCACAATGAGTATCAATATAATTATTTTTTTGTTGTTTTTTTAATTTTTTTCGACCATCATTCCTAACACATCTATAGATCATTGCGAGAAATTCCTCTTTTTTTGAATTTTTTCATTTTATTTAAAAAAACTTAAATGTTAAGATTCACCTTAATCTGCTCTCCAACCCGTGTATTCAGTTCATAATAGCTGATGGTGGCCCAGTGCTCCTCGTCCATATAATGTACCTGGAAATTGATGTATTCCTTCTGGGAAAACTATTAGTGGCCACTATAGGGTTTTGACGTTTTAATGGCCACTGTAGTAGTCAATTTATTGACCACTATAGAGGTCTAAGTGCTACTACCAGACCACTAAAAATTTTAGTGGCTACTTTAAGGGTCAATGGATCAACATAACTGGTCCAATATGTTTGTTTTAAAATGACCAGTTACTGAAAGGAATACTGGAAGAAAAACTACTGCCACTGTAGAGATGGGTCTAGTGGCCACTTTAGTGTCCTGTCCAAGTAGTCTTTGGCTAGCCTCTATAGTGGCCACTAAACAATTTTGAGTTCATTTGAAAAGCTGACAACTTTTCTAGTGGCCACTTTAGGGTTTTTACGTGATATTCGCCACTATAGTAGTCAAATTAGTGGCCACTCAAGTGGCTAAAACTTAGTGGCCTCTTCAAAACCCAAATTGGTACTTTTAAACCATTGTAGGGACCACTAGGACGCAAAATAGTGGCTACTATAGAGGTGGTTTTAGTGTCCTGTCCATTTAGTTTTTAAGGTCACTTAAGTGGCCACTGAGCTTTCTCCCAAAACTGACTTTACTTTCCTGATTTTTCTTCGATACTTGTAGCTTTTTATAGTAACCCTATATTTTTGAATAAATAGTGTTATTGGCCTCATTTGGAATGGCTTAAAATTTAAAAAACTTCGAAAAAAAAAATTGGAATTTAAATTTTTTCATTTGAGAAAGAAAAAATTTTGGAGGTCGTTTTTGCTCAGATTTCCTATGAAACTTGACTATATATTTTTTTAAAGAACCGAATTTACTTAAATGTATACCGGTACTGTAGGAATTCCTGGCGGTATTGTATAAGGTGAAGATGAAGTGTCCATTTGTTCGAATGGCTGCTGTTCTGGCATCCTGGAATTTTCTGGAAGTCAGCCAAAAACGAGAAAAAAATCATGATTTTTTAAAACTTGTGATCTTTTTTCCAAAAGTCAGAAGACTTTTTGATGAACCAGAAAATTATCCTGAAAGTCTCAACCTGCTAAAATTTTCATTTTTCAAAAAAACGACGCCTCAAAGTTAAGGAAAACCATCAAAATCCGTGAAAAATGGTATTTTTAGAGCCTTTAGCTATTATTTTTCGAAAACTAGGAAATTTTTCAATGTTAAGACTTCCACAATATTCTCCTAGTACATCAAAGAGTATCCTAGCCAATTTTCAAGAAAATCCCAATCCCTGGAAAAACTTGACAATTTTTCACTATTTTCAAGAAGAAAAAACCCAAAAGCACCCACGTGAAGACGTTGTTGTTCATCTCGACGTTCTGCGGCATTCTGGAGCCGCTGGCTTCCAAAGCCTGAAGACGTGCCAAGGCTGGAGGAATGTCCGGCTCCGGCCTTTCCGACCATCTGTAGGAAAAAAAAGACGTTTTTAAAATGCGGACACCGAGGAAATCCCTTGTTTTTGACGGCTTCAATGTTTCAATAAAGTCGTAAATTATCTTGATAATTTTTCGATACTGGTTGAGACTCTGCACAAGACGGTATCAGCTAAATCTTTTTTTTTCGTCGATTGATTTGGAGATTGATGACGTCATAATGCTTATATCCGGCTGACCTCTCCAGCATGTCCAAAAAACCAGAAAAGTTTTTTTTTTTCCCGAATTTTACCACTTTGACTAGATTCCATGTCAAAAATCAAACCTCGGGACCAAAACGGGCGGCAAAACGCCCGCCGAGTGAATTCGAATGTAGTGATACGGATTGATACAGATCTCCTTTTGGCCCGATTCGTAACAATACCTGGGAATTATCGACTTTTGAAAATGATTATTGAGTTTATTTGATATCATCGAGGATCATTTTGAGGTCAAAAAAAAAAACTTTTTTTGACACAGATTCCTGTTTCTTGCCAATTTGAAAATAACACAATTTTTATGAAAAATCGTTGGAACAGTTTAGGCGACTTCACGCAAGCCAACTGATGTAAAAAAAAAAACAACGCGACGCGACGCACCCGCGCACTCGTCTCCATGGGGCGCGCTTGCTATATTTCGCATTTTTTGATTCTAATTTGGCTTGGAAACATTTTTTTTGGTTATTTTTTTAAATATCGCTCCATAAAAAAGTAGAGAACTCACTTATGTTTCAATTGCTACCGAGCATGTATTTTTCAGTTTCAGTTAGAAAACGATGATGTGAAATAGATGGAAATGGAATTTTCAGTATCAAAAAATAGAAAGAAAAAAATTTTTGTTCACAATTTTTTCCTATGGAGCTTTTGTGATTTTCTGATACCGGGATTTTTCCGCAAGCTGAAATTTCATCAGAGTGTTGCAAATAATAGTCGTAATAACTCCAAAAAGTTCCGTAAAGATTAAAGTTCATACAAGAAATTTTCGATCAAAAAATAGTCATTTCGGATTTTTTCTGTAGGAACGGTAGTACATTTCGCAGTACATATTTTTAATCTCTAATTTTCAAAAAAAATTTTAAGTTTGAAATTTATGATTTTTCGATATGTTGAACCTGCAATCTTCCATCGCCTTCAGTTCATGATGAGATTGTAAATCGGGCCAACGATAAACCCGGCAGTAGATCACGTGTGGAAGTGCCTGGAAATTTGATGAAATTCTGTGAAAGTTGAGGTTAGAATAGTCCAAAGTTCGGCCCCGCTTGAGGTTGAGAACTTTTTGCCATTTTTTTTTTTTGAATTTTGAAATTTTTTCTCAATTTTGAACGGAAAAGCTCGACTTAGAACTGTAAGTCGGAGTATGAAAAAACGTTTGATTAGGTTTTTCAGTTGATAAAATCAATTTTTGAATGGAAATTTCTCGTTATAAGACGAAAATTTAATAAAATTGTAGAAGTTGAGGTCACATGACTCGAAAGTTCGGCCCCTCTCGAGGTTGAAAAGTTTTTTGTCAATTTTATTTTGAAGTTTTATAAAAAAAAGAACGTCCCAAGTTGGTTATTTTACTATTTTTTTCATTATAGGAAAAAGCTTGACTTTAAATCAGAAATTATTGTAATGAAGAAAAAACAGGTTTAAAAAATGGCAAAAATGTTTTGTCCGGTGAGGGGATCGAACCTGCGACCTATTGACCCTCTTTGAAGACTCCTCTGCATTCAAGACTTTGAAAAACTTTTCCGGAGCTTGAATTTATCAATTTTTTCTGTCGTAAACTAGGTTTTTCAGTAAATAAATACAAATTTGAATGCAAAACCCTCACTTTTCGGTGGGAAATTTGCAACCGACCATCCAAAGACCGCGGAATCGTCACACAGTCCGTTTTTTGACTTCCTTGGCACTGAAAATTAAATTTTCTCGGTTATGAAATAACATTTTGGCTGACTAAGATCAGACTTTTAAACTGTCCGCATTTTCAAGATTTTTTATCTTCGAGATTTTCGACCGAAGTTTTGGAATAACAGTAGTTTTATCAAAAAAAAAGAGCCAAAACCGGTAATTATCATTTCCTAGCACGTTCACGGACACGTTGGGAAGTTCCAAAACTGTGCTTCAGAAAAATATTTCATTGAAAAGGGGCGTGGCTAGCCAATGAGGCATTTAGTTCAATAGAGCGCGCTTGCGACACCAAAAAAGCCGTTATAAGCAGCTAATTTACTGAAAAGGGTCTTGGCTAGCCAATAGGAGATCTAGTACATTAGAGCGCACTTTTGCCACCAAGAAGAGCCTTTTTTAATTGAAACTATTTTCACCTGCAAGGCGAACTCCAAATTTGCCAGAGCTTGTTTATTGTGCTTCAGAAGCTTCTTCATCAGATTATCGATTGCCTTTTTCGACCAATTTTCGTCCTCATCTCCTTTAAATTGATTATTTTTGATAGAAAAAATAATGAAAAGAACCTTGTTTCCAGCCGAGACGCTTCGTAATGTTACTTTTGAAGCCATCGAGGTGTCCAATCTAAAATATTTTTCTTTGATTTTACGATAATTTGTTTTGAGTTCAGAGTGAGAAAAAAATGAAATTTTTCGTCATTAGTTTGAGCCATAATTTTTCTTACCATTAGAGAAAAAAAGTTATTTATTGCTTAAATTAAACCATTGAAACAGGGAAGAGCTGCAAAAAGACCTACAAGTGCGCTCTGTCGAACTAGTTCATTCTCGCCTCCGTAACGCTCCTCAGACATTCCTAGTGGCCACTTTAGCGGCATCAGCACTCTTAAGTGACCCCTAGAATTGCTCAGAAACTTCCGCGCGCTTCCGGTTTCCGTTAGGAAGGTCCAAGCGTTTTAAGTAAGAAAATTTCGTTAGAACGAACTTGCTGTAGTTTAAAATGTTAACGTTAAGTTATAACGCGTAGGATGATCTTTTTTTTAAATATTGAATAAAAGCTATAATTGTTCAACAAGTGCGCTCCATCGGACTAGGCTACACTCGATTTTCACGTCTCGGAGATCTGCTCCAGACGTTTCTTAGCACTTCTAGGGACACTTAAGAGTTCTGAGGCTACTAAAGGGGTCACTAGAAATGACCCGACATGTCCGATTCCAAGGTCAAAAGCTAAAATTTAGAAGATCTCGATAGAGCGCACTTGTTATAACTCATATTATGAAATTAATTTTAAACGATAGATACAACCCTGCTCCGAAGAACTATAAACTAAGTTTTCAATTGGCTGGCCACGCCCCTTCTTTTTTGGACTTTGAAGCCATAAAGTTCGTTAGAGCGCATTTGTTCGGTTTCGTCAGAGCTGATCGATTTTATATTTATTCCTGAGTTTTGTGGTTGCGAGCAATTGATTACCGTCGAAAAGCTAGTCGATTTATACTTTCTTATTAAAACGTATTTCAACTTGCAGTCATTTCAAGATGTGTAATCAAAAGTTACTTTTGGTGGAAAACTTTCCCGATTTTTTCGGTTTTTAAGGTCAAAGGGACTCGAAAATCGAATAGTTCTTATTTATCACTGCTAGGAACGGCTAGAACTGATAAGATGACGTTAAGAAAGTATGAGTCATATTTTATCGAATTATTTGAAAAAAATAGGGTGTTTTTTTCAATTTTTCTCGTTTTTTTATCGTCTTTTTAGGCTCCCTACTCATATAGTCTTTTTCAAAAGAATTAGAGTTCAATTTCAAGAAATTTAGACTCAAAAATAAATTTTGAAAACTTTAATTTCCTTTTACAAGTTACATATTCAATAATTCCATTTTTCTATAACTTTAAACAAGAGCTTGTTGAATGAAAAACGAACCATGATAAATTTGAAGTCAGTAAGTAATAAGCCGGCGTAGAAAACAGTTCTTCTGCGCGCCGAGGAGAACCGAAGAAAGCGAGAGATGAGAGACGGCAGAGAGGCCAGGGCGGCGAGATAGTGTTGATTGGGCGGAGGGCGCCAGACAGTCGGATGCGACTGACTGGAGCCGGTGAAACGCGCTTCAGACGGTCGATTTTTGATGGGTTTTTCGCTTTTCAACGTCTTTCCTACTGGTCTCTTTGTTGTTGGCAAAGAAATTGACCGTGAAAATTAGTGGAGATCGATTGCGAATTCGAAAAAATGGCTAGAACTTGAAGAAATTCCTGATTTTTGAATTTTAGAGCTCGAAAGAATGCTGAAAACGGGATGGAAAACAATATAGATGAGACAGAATCTTGGAAAAAAATGAAGTGTTCAGAAGCTTGCAATATTGTAAATTTCAAAAATATTCATCTTCTCAATTTTTTCATTCTCCTTATCTCATTTACAAATACTCGAAAATAAAGAAAAATGAATTAAACGAAGTTTTATTACATTTTTCGAGTTGAGAGTTACTGTAGTCGATTTCGGTGCATTTGTGCACTGTTGCGTAACGGTGTGTTCCCGCGAAATACGCAGCTCCGCGCCATTTTTTTTCTCCATTTTTCAATGTTTATAGTTCCCCGCGAAATGCAAATAGTCAGAGAAAAATAACCAAATTGTAATCAATTGGCGTTTCGCGGAAACTTTGAACTGTTTCAAGCTAACTTTTTCCTTTCAGGTTGTCTGAAGAGTATGAGTCGTTCAACTAGGAGTTGCAAATTCAGATCGCCTAAACTTATCCCAGAAGGTATTTTCTTTTATACCAATAATGATAGATTTTTGACACTTTGAACCGATTTTAAAGCTGATTTTCAGAATGTATCGCCACAGAGGAGAAAAACGGTCGACTGGGCGGAAAATATTGTAATTTTTCTGTTTTTTGTTGCTAATAATTGAATTTTCTTGTTTTTAAGTTTTATACATTTTTTTTTGTAAATTGTTTATTTTCAGCACTCGAAGAAGATGCGGGAAAAAAAGTGATAAGTAAGTTTGTTTTTTAAACCCAAAAAATTGTTGTTTTTCTTGTTTTCGTTTACAAACGCTTTTTAAGTTATTGTGAAAAAAACCTTGAATAAAAATAAGGAATATTCTTTATTCTGACTCTATTTTGAAGCTTTTATGGAATTATAAAAATACACCTTCAAAACCAACATATATGGTCGTAAGAACAAATTTTTGACCTTCTCTTTTAATTTTCGAATCGATAATGCTACTGCTCTATTGTATTAGAATTTTTTTAAGTTTTATTTTTTTCAATTAAAATGTGCTTTAATGAGATTTTTGACCGCACACGAAAAACTCAGCTAAAATAGGCAGTGATTATCTATTTTTCCGGTTTTTTAGGTTCGAGTGGTTTTTGCTGGTGATCATTAAAAAAACAGGTCATTTTAATCATTAAGTAGAGTTTTAACCGTATTTGGAATGGCTCACAAAGTTTCCAAATTCAAAAAAAAAATCGGTTGACGTTCCCAATTTTTTTGAACTGAGCTTTTCACTAGACTTACTATTCGAATGATTGATTAGTTGATATAAAATGAGTTTATGTCATTTTCGTGAAATGTATTTAGATTTAAGAAAACGTGAGGGATTTTTACCTTTTGGAATTAAACACGTTTTAATGGATAATTTCATTAAAAAAATTTTTTTCGATATGTGAACTCACTTTTTTTAAACCGGGTTCTCATTGAAAATTCACAGAAAAAAATCTGAAAAACTTTTTTTTTCAGGTTTTTTTCCCAAAAAATAATATTTTTTTCTGTTTCAAAATTCTTTCTCGAGATTTCAGAGGCGCAGAAGTCTTGCCTAGCTTGGGGCATTATTGAAAAAAGCTTTTATTTTCAATGTTTCAACTTTTTTGCTTCAAATTTACATTTTTCAACAGTTTTTGACGTCGTAGTGCTTATAAAATTCCACAGGGTTTCTGTAAGAACTTCGGTCTCGATTAAAAAAAAAATTAACAGCTCATCCTTTCAGAGGGCTTATTCCACTGCTCGGGGTGCGGGAAGACTTTTTTTTCGAGGTCTGGCCGGGCGAGACATGTGAAGAAGAACCACGGGGCAGCCTTGAGTCCCAAACGGACTACAGTCCCAAGCAAGAAAGAAAACAAAAGGAACTTGGGCCAGAAAGACGGGCCAACGTGCACGGACTGCGGAGAGACCCTCCGCTCCCAGGTGCAGCTCGTCGAGCACATTAACCAAGATCACGACGGCTCATTTCGGATCATCGAACGGAATTTCGAGACCTCTGAGGCGGCTGAGGTGATTAATATCAACCTTTTTAGGAAGTTTTGAGTTTTTAAGGCTTATTTATCCTTATGAAGATTTTTAGAGGTTTATAAGAGGGTTAGGAAAAGTCGTAAACTTGTTTTAAGCTCAGGAAAACTTTGAATTTTCGTTCTGACTACTGAGAAGGTTTTTAGGAATTTTTCAGGTGCTAGGATCTATGGGAAAATTATTTTGGAATCTTCCTAGATTTTTCGAAGGTTTGAATAGATGTAAATTTGACCTTTTCTCAGGACTTTTCGAGAAAATAAAATATTATTTATCGTTTTTTAAGCGTTTTAGGTAATAATTTCGTTAAGGGATTCCGGGGAAGCTTTTAGGGGCTCAGAGAATTTTTCCTAGACATTATTCAGTATTAGACTAGGTTGGGAATATCCTATAAATATTTCAAATTGAAAAAAAATTGTTTTTCAAGTTTTTCCAATTGAGAAAAAAACGTTTTGAAGATTTTTTTAGATTACTGTTAAGATTTTTTTAAGATTTTTTTGAGAACCTTTTTAAGATTTTTTTATTACATTTTTTTAAAGTTTTTAAAGGTCAGCATAGATATTTTGAAACTTTGAGACTTTTGAGATATTTTCAGCCATTTTTCGATTTATTTGAATTTTTATAGTGTCTCTAAAGGTTTCCATGAAACTTTTGTAGTTTTTTAAGACTTTGTGACTTTTTGCCTGGATATTTTGCAAAGATTTTTAGTCTTGGGCACATAGTAAAGTTATACAGTAATAATCAGTCTCTTTAAAAATGAAAATAATAATTTTAATCCATTCACATAGAAAAATTTTCCTTGAGAAATCGGAAGATAATACATTTTTTTTTCTCAGGCTTGGCTCGCCGAAATGTGTGAAGCAACTGGATCCCGATTTTTCAAAACTCACGTCTCTTCTGAGGGATCTTTCCGTGTTGTGTATAATAAGTACAATTCCCAAGAAATGAAGAAAAAAACGATTTTTTAGATGTATTCGCGTCGAAAGATACATGAGCAGAAAGAAGCGCAACAGACGGAAATCGTCGATGAACTCCTTTGATAGCTGTACGGCTTTCTCTATGGTGATTTTCGGTTTTTTTTAAAGGTTTCTTAAGCACTAGACGGTCCCTTTTCAAAAGAAAAGCTGAAAAAAGCTACCGTAACAGCTTTCCGCAAAAAAACATAGGTCTAGAAGCGAAATTGGTAAAAGTTGGCTTGCGGTAACTTTGGCAGAGAAAAAACGTGACAAGCAGGCGCGGAATGAGCCATATACACAAGAAAAGTCCAAAAAGGTTTGAAAAAGAACTTTCGAAAAAAAGGCCTCAAAAACGGCTTTTTTGTGGACCTTATTCTGAAAAGGACCTTTTAAGGAAGACTGGAAAAATAAGGCGGAAAAATGGTGGAATAAAGGAGATTCCGAAAAACTTTTGACACCTTTTTAGGAACTCAAAAAGTATCTTCAGGTTCATCTTTTCAAGGTCTTTTGGACTCAGTTATAAAGGCGCGGCTGTTTTTGATCTTACGACTTTTAGGATCTGGATTTGATATTTTCAGCTTACATTTTCAAAAAATAAGATTTTTCGAACAAAAGGACATTTCTTTCAGACACTTTTAAGGATTGAATAGTTTTCTGCATTGTTGATTTTTTTTTTCCGAAACTTTCCGTAGAACTCCATTGACAGGCCTATGCATTGAGAAACACAATTAGACTTGGGAAAAAAATTTTTGCCGCCTTCCTCTGTTTTTAAAGATTATTTTCGATTTTCAAAGATTCACGTCAAGTTTTCATTATTGAAAAATGATTTTCCCTCGTAGAGCTGAATGTTCCTGGGTTTACGACAAAAAAAAGTCAAATTGGGTCATTCATTATTATTTTGTCGGTTCATTTCACTTGGAATTTGAAGTTCTTTAACTGTTTTTTTTAAAGATACAAATTTTCAGATCAAGACCTACAAACCGGGATTTGTACACGTCAGAGCTTGTTTCGATCATTCCTCTCATGAACCTGACAAAATCGAACAAGTCGACAAAGTGGGACACGAAATCGGAATTCCTCCTTTGGATGGAGTTACTCAAGATGTCCTCGGTTTGAAGCTGGAAAATGAAGAGAATCGAGAGAAACCGATCAAACAAGAGATCGAAGACTACGAAGAGGAAGTAGAGATGGAGAGATATCGAGAAGAATGGGTCAAGGAAGAGACGGAAGACTACGAAGAAAGACAGGAGGAATATCAAGAAAAACTAATCAAAGACGAAGTGATGGAAGAAAACGAAATGGAAGAATTGACCAAAATCGAGGAGCCGGAAACGATGGAGTGAGCGGTTTTTTGATAAATTGGAATAAAAATCGAAGTAAAAATAGTTTCATAAAATCAATTTCAGTATTTCTTTAGTGTTTCGAAACCCGAAAACGTTTGAAAAATCAGGAAAAGTTCAAAAAAAAGGAGAATTTTTTTCAGACTTTTTCTTTTTTAATATTCACCGTCGAGTTTTTGAGTCTTTTTCATGTCCATTTTTGAATTTTTTTGAGGACATCCTTGTTATTCTGAAAGTGTTTTCAATCGCAAAAAACGTTCGAAAAAGAGAAAAATGCTTTAAAAAAAAGAAAAAGGTTTTCTTTTAAATCAGGTTTTGCTTAATAATTTTTCATGGAAAGGTTTCTTTCACCGTGGGTTTTGGACTATTATTCGAAGAGACACGAATTTTTTTCTTTTTCCAATTTTTTTCCGAGCTAATTGAAGTAGCGCCTTATGATTCAGATTATTGTTTTCCTCTCTGATTTTTTTTAGATTCTTGCTTTCAATTTTTGAGTATTTTTCGTTCGAATTCTGTCACAAAATGGCCAGATTAATTCATTAAAAAAATTTTGTTTCATTTATTGATTAAAACTTCAACGGTCATAAAAGCTGGAAAAAATTTGTTTTTGAAGATTGCCGGAAGAACCAAGCGGAAGTATGCGAGCCGAACGGAGGATCGTCGATTCCGAGTGAGGAAAATGAAAAATGTTTTTGGAAAAATGCTCATTTTCCAGTCACGATTATTGTTCATTCCAAGGTTCTTCGAAGCCAATGCCGATTATCGATCCACTCTGGCAGATGCCCAAAGTTGATCAATCATTCGTTTTGGATCGAAGAAATCGGGTAAATCAGCGGTTTTATTGTCCTTGGAGCGCACTAGGCTGAATAAATGCGATTTTTCGTGCCTCAGGCGGAGCGGCCTGGCCCCGGGATCCTGGTCACATTTGTTGAGTTAAATTCTGCGCGGAAATGGGCCAGCTCAGTCTTAGAGAATAATTTCCTTTAAAATCAAAATTTTCAACAATTTTGATTTTCATTCTCGTTGAATTTTAGTTAAAAAAAAAGAGCCAAAAACGGAATTTAGTCATAAGAAAGTTTGAGATTTTTGGCCCCAATTTTTCAAATTTAAGTTTGCGCGCGCTTGGGCTTACCCAGGTTAAAGAATATTCTGATCCTAACTCAAAATGTTCAACAATTTTTATTTTTATTCTCCTTGAATCTTAGTTTCTGTTGAATCTTAGTGGAAAAAGAGCCAAAAAAGGGATTTTTGTCTTAAGAAAGTTTGAGCTTTTTGGGCCCGGGTCAGGTCGGGGCGGTTCGGGCTTAGAAAATTCTCGGGAGTCTGACGGGCCGGCCCTCCCACAAGCCTCATTTCATTCAAAATCTGCTTTGAAAGTGATCACTACCGTTTTGACAACGATTCCCGCTTAGTGGCCACTTTAGGGTTCTGAAGTAGTCCCAAAAACCCAAAAAAATAATACTGGATGAAAATACTATAGTGGCCACTCAGACGCGAAATTTTACCTTTTGTAGAGGTCGTTATAGAGGCCACTTTAGTGTCCTATCCGAATAGTTTTTGAGGAACCTCTTAAGCGGCCACTTAATTGTTTTTTCTCCAGGAAGCTTAATTTTTTCCAAGGTTGAAATATTGATTATTGGAAGTGTTAACTGACACTTGAAGAAGGATTTCCCCTTGTATTTTCTTAGAGAATTTGTTGATTCAACTAAAATTGACCTAGAAATTCAGTTTCTATCATTTATAGATTATTCAAGCTTTTTATTAATCTTTTTTTCCTGAGCTTTTTTTTCACTGCAACCTATTTTTCCACCCGAATAATAGCTTTGGGGAATTTTTTTAAAATCAATTATTAGATTTTCGGAAATTAGAAAAAAATAAAACAATAATTTCTACTTTTAATCGTTTTACTATCATCGTGAACCGTGTCTTTCACTGCTACACTTATCAATTTCCGTCCTTTTTCATTCTTCATTTCATTTTTCATTTTCATTCATTTCAAGTGTTTATTCGCCATTCCGCAATCAGCACGACAAATACAAAAAAAATAAAACATCAAAACAATCAAATAGCTATCTTATATAGACTGGAATTATCGTTTCAGCACTTGCTCAACGGTTGAGGCCATGTATGATGTCTTCATAAAAATGAATCCAAAAATCTATAACAAAATATGTCCCTAATAAAGTCTTTCATACCGAAAAGAAACCTCAGTGGATTTTGAGACTTAAACGAAAATGTGAGAGGGACTATGTTTGATACCGTAAACAAAACTCAGAAGAAAATAAAGTGCGATATTCACTCTCGTAAAAAAAGTACACCCAGGCTCTGAAATCTCATTCGATTTACTTAGAAAATCTGGCACTAGGAGAAAATAAATCCACGAAAGCTTTCTGGCAATACGTTCGCAAAAAATCAACAAGTCCCAATGAAATACCAGACCTAATTGTAGAAAATGCAGTTATTAAAGATAGCATGGAGAAATCCAATCATTTCAATAAATTCTTTTCGACGGTATTCACAGATGATAATAGTTTGCCTTTCAACATAGCTACTAAAACAAGCAGGAATCTAATGGACGTTGATGTTGCACCTCATGTGGTGTACGAGTGCCTTAGAAGGATTAAAAACGTAAATTCAGCAGGTCCTGATGGTTTACCTAGTTCAATTTGCAGAGGTCTAGCTATATCGATAGCTCTCCCTTTATCACTGATATACAGGAAAAGTTTAGATTCGGGCAAGTTGCCTAGTTTTTGGAAAAAAACAATCGTAGTTCCTATATACAAAAAAGGGGATCCAAACGACGTAGGTAATTATAGACCAGTTAGTTTGACATCAGTTCCGTGTAGAGTTTTAGAATCTTTGATGGTGAGAGCTTTGAGAAACCACATGTGGCAATCTTCGCTCATCTCTGATAGCCAGCATGGATTTTTAAATCATTTAAATCATAAATCATTTCTAAAATGTTTTTTTTTCAAGTTTTGAATTTTTCAGGTGGTGAATGGATACGGTAATTTGAGAATTACCCACATCGACTTGCAAAATCAAAAATTGAGACGATTGCATGGGCTTTGCCCGGTCGAAGGGTGCGCCCGAAGCTGTCCCGTTTTTAGGGTCCATCGCAACCCGATGGGCATTTTGGTGAGTTAGAAGGATGGTAGGTTAGAATTGAAGAAAAAAAATTAGAAAAAAATAATTGGAAAAAGGAAAAAAATTGAAGGAGAAATGGTTAAGAATGATGAAATTTAGGGCTTCTTATGATTTTTAATGCGCTCTACGGAGAATATGCGAATAGTTTTCAAATAATTAAGATACGAAAAATTCAGTTTTTTCATCCGGCTTGTCAAAAGAAGAAGAAAAATAAGGGAGTTAGGTGTGAATTGAGGAAAAACCGGTTAAAAATCCAGGTGAGAATAAATATCCGTTTTATGATTTTGAATGCGCTCCAAAGAGAAAATATTCGAAATTTTAAAATTAAAATTTTGAATTTTGAATGAGTCTCCTACTTAGAAAATTACTAAAAAAAACAGCACTTTTTTTATAAAAAATTTTTGAAAAATGACTTTTTTTCGGACGAGTTTGAGGCTCTGAGGGGTCACTCAAGGGGTTTTCCTTAGTCTTAAGTGGTCACTTGTAGATTCATAACTTTTTTGTCATTAGATTGTGAGTCTTTTCCAAAGCGTTTTTGAGTATACATTGATTTTTTAAAAATTGTCATGGATGAAATTTACCTTTCCGTTACTTTTAAAATTTGAATTTTGATAAGGTATAATCTAGTTAATTTCAAAGATTTTATCGAAAGGTTAGATTTAAAAATAAATTTGAACTTACAGGTCATTCGCAGATGTCCCCGCTCGCACCGGACCGTTTGGAGGAGCTATAAATAATTTTTTTTTGTCTTTTCTTCCATTTTACTGTTGCTTTTTGAGGTTATAAAGGTTTTACAAACATTTTAACTTGTTGATTTCAATCGTATGTTGAAAAATCCCCAATTTCAATTCTTTTGGCGTCATGAAACAGGTTTCAGTGAGTTTTGTAGCCTTTTTTGGATGACTCTGTCAATTTCTTTTGGATTTTGTTTGTTAAGTAGTTTTTTTTCAAGGCTCAAGAAGTCCAAATTCATAAAAATCCGTTCAAGCGACTTTTTCTCGAATTTTGAGTTTATTTTGGAATATGGATAAAAAAATGGCCCTATCCTCTTGAAGTAACATTTGAACTAAGTTTACAACCAAATTAAAGTTTTGAAATCTATTTTTGTTAATTTATCCATAGAGCGAAGAGTCTCGATAAAATAAGGCTTTTGAGCTTCTGAAAAAGTAATTTTGGGTATAACTGAAGTAATTATTTTGGTTTTTTTTTCGCTTTTTTCGCTCTAAGCTTAAAAGTTAGACTTCCTGAACTTAATTAAGCTTGAAATAAGAAAACTACCTTGAAAAGTGGTTTCCCCGGCTTGGTTTATATGTAATTTTTGAAAGAGTCGAGAATTTCATCTGTTTCCAACGAACAAAATGCTGATTCCTTCGGTCAAAAACGGTCAGCCAGAAAATTCAAAACGCCTGCACAAAAACCCATAAAAATTGCCGCAACTCATCCCATTAACACGGCCGGGATTCGCCTGTCGGGACACCTTTTTTTCTTTTCTGGGAAGAATTTGAACATTTCTTTTTTTTCGTCGTGCTGGACTGCTGTGGCTGGAGTGGTACTCAAATATTCCATTTTTTCGCTTTTTTTGGACATTTCAATATTGAAAAGTAGTTTCTGAGCTTCTTCAAAGAGCCTTTTAATATAACACCTTGATAGTAAGGTCTATTCTTTTTTTCTGAGTTGAAATTAAATTTTTTGAGCTTAAAAACGGCATGTTTTCTTGAAATCTTTTTCAAAAAATCATAGTTTTTTGTTTAATGCGACTTAATTTTTATCACTCAGCTTTCAATCTAAACTACAATTTCCGTCGAGTTACGTCGATTTTCAGCAAGAAATCGCACTCTTTCAGAGTTTTTTTCAAAGGGTTACTGTAACTTGAATTTCTTCCTTTTGTGCACTACTGCGTCGCAGTGTGTGTTGTTGGAATGCCAAAAATCCGCATTTTTCACTTTTTAAAATGTACTTTTTGAATTTCTTAATGTGTTTATTAAAAGTTGATGCGGTTAATATTGTTTTTCAAGGTGTTTTTACGGATTTGAACGAATTTAATTCTGCCAAATGAATGATCCGGATGTGGAAGAGATCTTTGCGCATGAAAGTTTTGATGGGGGTTAGTTTTGAAGTTTTTTGAAAGTAATGCTTTTGAATCTCGGAAATGAAGAAAAAATTGGTGAAATCAAAGTTTCAAAGCTATTTTTTTGCATCCTAGGGTAGTTCAAAGTGAAGTGCGTGAGTTTTTTCAAATTTTTTTTTATTCATTTTCTTTGATTTTTTTTTTTGATTTGTATAGGTTTGTTGTTACATAACTTCATATTTTGAGTAGTTTGATGGTTCGAATTGTTCTATTTACTTTTTCCAGTTTATTTCTATAGTTTTTCTTTTTCAAGTGAGTTTTAAGAAAGTTTTAATAAATTTACGAAAATTGATTATTTCGCAAAATTTCCTTTCAGTTTAAAAAAGTTTTTTGTAACTTTTAGATGGTTCATTTTCATATTTTTTTCCCTAGGCTAATTCTCAACAACTTCTTGAAGTTTTTATAAAATATATGTTTTTTTGAAGAAAAAAATTCCTGACCTGTCCGGTTTGTCTACGACGAGTGGTGAAGAGTTTTTTTATCGCAACACCTTTCAAGATCTCATCGATTTACCCCTGAGGAAGTTGCCGAATATTTTGAGCGCAACAATTTGAATATACCTGGTGAGTAGTGGCTGAGAAAAAAATCTATTTTTTTCGATTTTCAAATTTTTTTAAAATCTTTTTTTGAAACCGAAATTTTTTTGAAACGGGAGACTCACAGTATTCTCATTTTGATCTTCGAGGAAGATTCTGGCCGATTTTTCATGAAATTTAAAAATTAAAAAGTTGGAAAAACCTTCCCACTGTAGTAAAAAGCTTTCAATTGATGAATTACTACCCTTCATCATGATTATAGACACACCCCCATTTTTGTCGTTTTCAAAAATTCTGTAGAACTTTTTGTGATGAAATTCCTTTTATGATGAGTTTAATTGAATTGGAAAGGAAATTACGGAAACTTTAATACTAAAAATTTTCAAAATCCGTCAAAAAAAGTCGACCGGGGCAATATTTTTAGACGCGCTCTGGGTCATCTCTCATTTTTCATTTGTGTTAAAGCTTTTCCGTTTCTTTCCAATTGTCTAGTATCTTTTAAGGCACAAGTTTAAAAAAAAATGAAGGATAAAAAAACTCGTGCCAAGAACCGCGTACGCACACGCTACGCGTCCCTTTCAACTCGTGAAAAATAGACTATATTTTTTGTTACAGTCGGCGCGTACGACTGTTCCATGTGTAGTGCGAATTTCATGACGAGATGCGGTATGTCGAAACACATGAAAAAGGCCCACGGCTGTTCTGTCAAAGTTTATTTTTCGTCCTTTTTCTGTCTTTTTTTGAAAAATTTATCTTTCATTCTTGTTCCTTATTTTCTCACGTGAGTTCAGGAGGTACAGTTCTTTCAAAATCTTGCTGGAGATCTGTGGAAAAATAATTTTAGAAAATTTATGGTTGGGGTTGTTTCCGAACAGAGCTCGCTCCACGAAAATTTTATTTTAGAATTATTTTCAAATGAGTCTATTTTTTCACTTAATCAAGGGTTCTTGAATTTTTTTATGAATGTTACCAAATTTTTGAAAGGCAAAGTCGGAAGGACCCTTCAGGGGCCCCTTGGAACGCCCATTATGGTTGCAAAGGTTTCCATAAATTGTTCCAAAACGGTTTCCCTTTTACAGCCTTTTTTCTTCCTTTCATCGGCCTTTATGCACCCTTTTTGAACCCTTTTGTGAAGCACCAAATTTTTCAAATTGAGAATAATATTTACCAGAGGCTGTGTATGAACCAAAATGTGCTACAGGGATAAAATCGGTAATTTTTTATGGCCGAGACTTTCAGCTCCTTTTTCACCCTTTTTGAGCCCACCAAGAAAGAAAGGCTCAATAAAGGCCGCAAAACGGAACCCTTTTAGCGGCCATTTTGCACCCGTTTTCCGCACTTCCGACTTTGGCAGCCTCTAAAAATTTCCGTTGAGAAGTAGAATAATAATTTTTTGAATCAATTTCCAAGAAGTAGAAAAATTGTTGAGTCAAATTTTTAAAAGGGAATTTCGTTTTTAGATGAATTTCATAACAAATTTACGCTGAAACGCCTTCAATTCGTAGAAAAATTCACATTTTCCAGAGCTTGTTCGGGGCAAAATCCGGACCGATTTGCTCGGACTGCGGAGAATTCCTCCGCTCTCATCTGGAGCTCTCTGAGCACATGAATCTGGCTCATGGTGGTGCTTTTCGCGTCGTTGAGCGCGATTTCGAAACGGTTTCTGAGTCGGAGGTACAGGCGGAATTTTAAAAAAGAAAGTTATAATTTTTCCTCTCATCGGCTGGATCCCACCCCAACCTTTTAAGCGCAAAAAAAAATTGAAGATTTTTATTTTGAGCGAAAAATCTCTGAAAATTGGCTGGAATCATTTTTTCGGTTCACGTCCTGAAGGTTTAAACCTGAAAAAATTCCTGATTTTTAATAGAAAGTCAAAGAAACTATCAAAATTTGTTGAAATGGTTCATTTTGAAGCTTCTTGCCCTTAATTGAAAAATCAGGATATTTTTGTATTATGAGATTTTTTTGTCAAACGACCTAAGACACCTTCGAAAAAAGCCATGAAAGAAATTAGAAAAAAAAAATGAATTTGAACTATTAACCTTACAAGGAGCTGAATTTGATTTTTAATTTTTTTGAGAAAAAAAGGTCAAAAAAAAAGTTGCAGAAAACTATTCAAACATTTTTCAAACGCGTCGTTTTGAGGCTTTTTGCCCTTACTTTTCGAAAAGTGGGAAGTTTTGCAGGTTGATACTCCCAAAACAATCCGAGATTTTAGTGTAAACCCATTTTTAATTTCAGGATTGGCTTGAAAAAAAGTGTATGGAAACGGACTCAAAGTTCTACAAAACCACCGTCAATTTGGAGAGCGATCACAAGATCGTCTACAGGAAGTTCACAAACTATTAAAAAAAGTTTAAAATGAACAGGAATTTTTTAAAGATGCTGTTTGGTCGGGAGATACGCGAATAAGCCGAGAAGGAACAATAGGCCGAAAGCGTGCGACAGCTGCACGGCTTACGTTAAGGTAAAATGAGAAAATCACTTAGAAAAATGCTTTAAAAAAATCTATTGGGAAAACCCTTCCCTAGTGTGAAAAATTATTTAAACCCTGGGAAAATTTTTAATGGCTACTATAGTAGCTCGCCAAGGACTCTGAAATCTACTGAATCCAGCTGTATAGTGGCCACTATCTTTCGTTTTAGTGGCCACTTCAGTAGTTTTTTATCCAGTATTTCTTTCATCCAGTAAATCTGATAATTTTGAAACAAACAGATTGGACCAGTTATGTTGATCCATTGACTCCTAAAGTGGCCACTAAATGTATTATTGGTCTAGTAGTAGCACTTAGACCTCTATAGTGGCCACTAATTTTTAACCCCTTGAGTGGCCACTAATTATACTACTATAGTGGCCACTCAAACGTCAAAACCCTATGGTGGCCACTAAAAATTTTCACAGTCAGCTAAAATTTATAATTTGAATAAAAACTCGTTTGAAAGATTATTTCTTATCCCTTTAATAATGGAAGGGGGAACAGGATGAAAAGGAGATTCTGTGAAACTTTTGACATCTTTTCAGCAACTCAAAAAGAAGCTTCAGATCCTTTTGTTTTCCTTTTGGACTTTGTCAGCAGTGATTATAAAGAATAATATGTGCCAATTTAACTTAAACTGCTTTTTTATAATAAAAACTTCTCGAAAAAAAGATTCAGAAGAAGAAAAACTCGTTGACTCGAGCCTTATTAGCGCAAAAACAAAATCCGGACGTGTCGGAGCACTTCTAGTGACCTTTTTAGCGGCGTCAGAGCTCTTGAATGATCCCTAGAATTGCTCAGAAACGACCGGTTTCTGTCACGAATGTCCGAGAATCCCAATTTAGCCTTAGGGCGCTTTCAACTGAAAATAAATACTCAAAAATCTTACCTAATGTCTTTTTAACAATATTGACGCTTTTCAAATAATTTGAAAGCGGGATTTTTTTTTTAAATCAAGTCCGTTTTTGTCCATTTATAACACAAATCTCAACACTCGTGTTGAAAGTGATACGAAATTCGAAACTCTCCAAAATTCAGTTATCTTTTCTGTCGGCTATTTTGGATTTCGCTTCTTTGAACATGACATGAAAGAATAAAATTCTTACTTTTTCCCAGATGAAAATCTTCAATTCGGGTTCCGTACACCTCGAGGCGTGTTTCGACCATTCTTCCCACAGATTGGGCCTGAGTGAAGACACCGCAGAACTCCTGGAAGAAATCCAAACCGCCGGAGTCCCCACCGTAGTCGACATCAACGTGGGATCCGATCCCGATTGGGAAAAGAAGGAGCAAGAGATGGTGGAAAATCGAGAGAAACAGACGGGAAAAGAAGAAGATGAAGAAGAGACGGAGTGGTTCCAGAAGGATCCAGAAGTGATCGAGATTGATGATTCGGGAGAGGAAGAAGAGAAGTTATTGCGTTCCGAGGAGCCGGAAGTGATCGTGTAAGGGTTTTTCCACAAAATAGAGCTTGAAAAATAAATTTATCTGGTTAAAAAATATTTTGGGGATCTTGAAGGTGTAAAAAACCTGAAATAGTACTGAAAATAGTGATTTTTTTACAAAAAAATAAGCTTTAATTTTTGATTTTCGAGGCGTTCTTTTTGATAAAATTTGGAAAAAAAGGCTGGAAATTTTTCAAAATTACTTTTTTTACAAAGGTTTATATTGGATCAAATTGTCAAAATTCTCACTTAACTTAAAAATAAACCCCGTTTTTCATTCCAATTGATATTCTATACAGAAATTAATTTTTTAGGCTTTTTCCGGTTTTTCAAGATTACAAGTAAAATAGACCTTTTTTCGAAATAGTTCTATTTTTTTTTGTTCCAGACTGGATAGCGATTCCAGTGATAGTGAGCCAGACAAGCTGGGACCCGCCAATTTGGAGTTAGTCCCCAAAATCAATAAATTATTTTTGAATCGATTTCAGACACGACTATTGTTGTTCGAAAGCGTCTCCGAAACTCGAAACATATGGCCTATCAGGCGCGAAAGTTCCCACAGTTTGAGAATCCACACGGTTGGAATCAGAACAACGAGGTTGGTTTTTGAGAGAGCTGCTGAGGGCTCGCCCGTTTGGAATAAACTCCGGGAAGACCGGAGAAAGAGGGAAAATTAGAAAATGATGGAAAATAAACCGGTGAAAAAATTTAAAAAAAAAATAATAATAACTCTTCCGACAATGGAACCACTTTGGTAGAAAATGAATGAAAATTCAGGGTCGATTTGGCTGGGGACTCCTATCACCAGATCAGATCTTTGGGTATGCATTTAGTAGACATGTTCTCCAAGAAAAATCTAACTTTCTATGACTTTTTGCCTCAACTTCCTGATTTTCGTATTCAGCCATGAAGCAAGCAAAAAATTTTTCTCACAAAAATTTTAAAAGACGTTTGAAGCTTATATTTTAAAAAATGTCCATTTTTTCCGATTTATTCGGTCTAGGACGTTTTAAGGTGCTTCTAGAACTTTTTATTCGATTCTTGACTTAAATCCGTTTTATTTTTCTCTTGTAAAACATCGTTTTTTTATTTCTTTTTTTCTGCCCTCGTTTTCTAGAAACCTTTCAGGTTTCCAAATTTAATGTCCGCTCGTCAGTTGCTTGCACGGAAGACGATCATGAAAAGAACTCGGAATACCGCCAATGGATCGAGAAATTGAGAGTTTGTCCGGTGGACGGATGCACCAATCGTTGTACTCTTTTCCGTATTCTCCCTTCTAAAAAGGGCATTTCGGTGCGTTTTAGAGTTTTTTTCGAAGAAATAATAGTGGAAAAAAACGGATTTTTTTACTTCTACCTGCGAAAAATCACTCAAAAAAAATAGTTTTTTTCCTATTTTTTTCAAATCAATTTTTAGCTTTATCGTCTAAAATTCACTCAAGCAGGGGCCATCAAACTCGAATATACAACAAAGAACTCAAAAAAACTCAAAAAAAGAAACTCGAATTTTTCCAGATTATCCGGAAATGCACCCGGTTCCCACTGCACCATCTGGAAAAAGCTATTGAAAAATTTTTTTCTATTGATGATGCTGTTGTTTTTTTCGAATATAAAGTTTTTTTAATTTTTTTAAAAAAATTTTTTTAATTCGTGGTTTACCATTGAAAAAGTTCAACTCCCACATATTTCTCACAGTCTGTCGTAAAGAAGAGTTTTGACCGCAGTACGACGCCACGGTGCATGTAAAATCTTCGTGTGGATTTACGCAGGTGGGAATTTTTTTTTCTTTTTTCTTGGTTTCCTTTTGGTTTTTGTGCTACTGTAAGATGATAAATGTACTTTTTTTCTTTTTTTGTTAAGAACATTTTTTTAGAGTTCTAAATGGTGCTAATTAAAGATGTTCATTATGTTATTTTAGGCTTGTTTCTCCTAACTGTAAGTTTAGACGGTTTTTTAACAATTTTCCCACTTTTTTTACTGTTTTTAAAAAGGTTGTTGATTGTATTTCTGATAGATACTGTTAAAATATAACTCGTGAGCTTAGTTTTTTTAAGAAAGTAAGGCGAACAATTTTTTTAAAATCAGTTATGATAAAAAAATTTGACTTTCGAACTTGCATTTTAATGACTCACCAGTTACAACTAAACTTTGAAAATTTCTATTTTAATTTTTTTCATGATTCGCTAAGTTTATCGAAGATTATGTCTTATTTTTAAAAAATATACTATTTTCTTCAAATTTCAAAAAGTTGCATTTTGCGACCCTCTAAAATTTGACCCACTTTTTCATGTTCAAGTGGCGTCATTTTGAACGCGAAACTCGGTGTTTTGCTTTTTCGATTCCATCGATTTCCAACCCATTATATTTTATGTTTTGACCAAGGACGCCCTATGTTTATCTTTTTCTGCTCCGGAACGCGATAATCGACCGTTTTGGCTTGCTTTTTTCCGGGTTTCGGGTCCTTTTTACGTTTTTTTTGGTTTTGAGAGATTTCAGAGTGAACTCGTTTCTTTTCGATGATACATTGGAAATTTTCTCGGGCTTTTTGAAGCTTACAAGATTAATTGACAAGCTTTTCTCGGCCATTTTCCGCCTTTTTCGAAGATTCGAGTACTACTTTGGACTTCCAAATTTATATTTGATGCTTAATTATCGGGTTTTTCAGTTTTGAGCTTTATTTCGAATAATTGATTCATAGTAAGATTCTAAATTTTATACTTTGAATCGAGGGATAAGATTTATTTAAATTATGAAGCGGTATTTTTGATTTGAAGTCCTAAAAACGACACTTTCGATTTTTTTTTTTTGAAGCTTTCAAAGGTATTTGAGAGGCTATTTTTCGTCCTTTTTGAAGTTTTTGGGCTTGCTCGTAAAAATTTAAGAATATTTTTGCAAGTTTTGTTTTTTTCTCGTTTCAAAATTAAAAAAATTGAATATGGAATATGGCAAAATGAAAAAAATCCCGTAAAATTTGCTTTTTCCATTTTATTTTTTTAGGTTATTTATGAATCTTATTTTTATAAAGTAATTCCATTCCAATCACAATTTTTTTGATTGATAAATTATTCAAGATCGTTATAACCAACTTTTTCTGTTTCAAAGCACACATTTCAAAAATAATTCAGGGCTATTATTCATTGTACAAACAATTCACATAATTCACAAAAAAATAGAAAGTTAATTTTTTTATTTAAATCCAGTTATGACAATAAAAAAACCTCGCCTGGAAGATTCTTTCGAAAAAAATCTACTTTTTTTCTTTTTCGACTGATTATTTGAGGCCATTTGATGTGAAAAGCTGTAAAATGATCTTCGGAAAAAATAATAATAATAAATTGCGTAAAAAAATTTGGCCATTTCCGAATATTCTTCATTTTTTTGGTCTCTCCTTCATTTTATTGCTTTTTATTCGATTTTTTTCGCATCCAAGTTTTTGTACTTCATGATTTTTAATGATAATTTTCAAAGAGGTTCAGGCAAAATGTCAAATTTTCATGAGAGTTGTTTAAAAAATAGATATTTAGGCCTTTTTTTCTAAAGTTAATATATTTGCTTCTAGGAAAAAAATCAAGGAAAAAAATTTATGTTTTTTTTTTTTAAATCATTATAACAGACTTAACTGTTCCAAACATCAAATTTTACAAAAATTCAGACCCACCAGTTATTGGAAAATCATTGAATTCATTTTTCGTTTAATTTTGGTCCTTTTCAAGCTTTTTTCCGTTCATCTTTGTTATTCCGCGAAATTCAAAATAGTCGTCAGAGAGAAAAAGATGATTTAATTTCGGAGAGTCAGAGATAATTTTGAATTTCGCGGAAGTTACGTTGGACACGATTTAATATGCAGTTGCGCCCGAAAAAATACAAAAAAAATTTTCTTGACAATATTTTTGAAACTTTCTCAATTTTTAATAACTAATATTTGTCACACACGAGAATTTGAGCTTCCAGAAAAAAACCAGCTTCTGAAAGTTTCGAAAAAATCGAGAAAATCCTTTTTTCCTATCTTTTCTGACGTTTTTGTAGCCACTTTTTTCCAAGAAAAGACCGTAAAATATTCAGAATCGTCTTGACGACGATGGGCGCCGTCGAAGATGTCGACGACGCCAAATGTCTTCTTCTTCCGGCCGCTCAAACTTCGGATAAATGTTTGTTTTCTTCTATTTTTAGAATTTTCAACGATTTCTGATTTTTATCTGGTTTTTTGTGCTCAAAAATAGAAAAAAAAATCGAGTAGAAGTTCGAAATTTATAAAAAAAATTGAGAATATACCTTTTCTGTTTCAAATCGAGCTTTAAGAATCTCAACGTGAAAGTAAAATGCTCGAACAACCTTTTTTATTTAGGAATTTCATAATTTTTGGCTTATTATTTTTTCTGAAGTAAACTCCAAAAAAATTTTTCAATACAAAGCTTGACATTTTTTTATTTTTCATATCTATTTGACTATGGCTAGTTTTTATTTGATCAGACTCTTCTCAAACAGAACATTTTGATCGAAATTTGTTTTTTCAGTGTTTTTCCTTGTTCACTGTTTCATTTTTTCTTATTTCAAACTTTGTTAATCTTTTGTTAATCAATCTTAAATTCTCGTACTGAAGCTGAAATTGACTTAAAATTGAGGCAAAAACGAATAATAGCCGCGTCGCTTCAGCCGAGTCGCGTTTAAAAACGACGCGGCTGTGTGACTCGGCTAAAGAAGTATAACTGACTTCGATGCTCGTAATAAAGCTTAACTAGACTTAATTTCGAGATGAAAAAATCCGAATTTCATAGCCGTCGCTTCAGCCGAGTCACATCTAGGCTGTGTGACTCGGCTAAAAGAAAAACACTGACTATTTCTCGTATTGAAGCTGAACTTGACTTGAAGTCGAGTTAGGAAAGGAAAAAACAGCCGCGTCGCTTTAGCCGAGTCGCACCTTGGAACGACGCGGCTGTGCGACTCGGCTGAAGAAGTACCACTGACTTGAATGCTCGTAGCTTAATTAGACCCAAATTTGAGATGAAAATATTAAAAATTTCATAGCCGTGTCGCTTTAGCCGAGTCGCATCTAGGAACGACGCGGCTGTGTAACTCGGCTAAAGAAGTATAACTGAATTAGTGCTCGAAATGAAGCTTAAGTAGACTTAATTTCGAGATCCAAATTTCATAGTCGCGTCGCTTCAGCCGAGTCACATCTAGCCTGTGTGACTCGGCTAAAAGAAAATCACTGACTATTTCTCGTATTAAAGCTGAACTTGACTTGAAGTCGAGTTAGAGAAGGGAAAAATAGCCGCGTCGCTTCAGCCGAGTCACACTTCATCCCATTTTTTTTACCTGCAGCGGACCTTCCGACGATGGCGTATCCACACCAACCGCGCTCGTCGACCCTCTTCAAGGCCTACGTCATCGCCTCGATGACGTGTCTCTGGACCGCCTACACCCTGACGGTCCGGTACACCAGAAGTACGGTGCCGCCGGATAAGGTTATTATTTATTTCCAGAGGAAGTGCAAAAGGTGATGCTATAAGAATGAAAATTTTTAAGAAGGTACTTTCGGATGTATTGTTTCAGAATTGAGCTGTAAGGAGTCGCGAATTTTTCGCTCTAGTTGAGCTTTGGTTCTTTAAATTTTGGAATCTACTTCAAAATGGAGGTTTTTGTGTATTTTCATCTTCAAAGATCTGAATCCATCGAGAAAGTCCGAATTTTGTGTTCTAAACCGTTTATGGTACTTAGGAACGTCAGAGTGGACCCTACAGGGGCAACCTTCAAGAAGCTCCCCTCTAGGGACAACTAAATCTCGCTATAGGGTCATTAAATATTTTTGACTAGCTAAAAATGGCCCCTATAGGGGTCTCTGCCACATATTAGACTTTCAACCTAATTTCTTGACTAAGTTCGCTCCATCGCTCCTTCTTTTTTTGTTACTTTGACCTCGGTAATCGGACGCGCCCCGGTCCTTTTCAAGCAATCGTAGTGATCACTGTAGGGGCCACAGCATTCTAAAGTCTAACTTAAAGACCCCTATATGGACCACTCAAGCTTTAGGAGCTTATGATTCACACCCAGAAGCTCTATGAAGTTCATCTGAATTTTACCACTCTAGGGACCACTATTTTTTCGTTTTTAGAGGCTTTTTTTCCCCTAACCATTTTAGGGGCCACTTTGGCGTTCCTAAGCACCTCAAAGTTAGGAATTTACCATTTCAAGGAGGAAAGAAGGTCTTGGCGTCTTTTATTTTTCACAACACTTCTAAAAAGCAAAATAAGCACTATTTTTCGATCGATTTTATCTATACGCTCAACAGTAGCTTTTACAAAGCTTTATCAAAAATTGGGAGGCTTATATATTTTTTAGGTTATCTTATGGGGTCCCACTATATTTTGTGCTGTAATTGTGTGGTTCAAAACTATTGATTCATTTTTTATAGCATTTTCGAAGGTTAAAAGACTTGTACTTCAAACCTTTTGCGATTTTTTTTTTGTGAATCGGAGATTTTTCACAGTGTTGTCTAACATTGGTTGATTGGTGCATTTCTTATTTCAAAAGACAATTTTTTAATTAATTAGTTATCCAAATTCCAGATGTACTCGGCGACGACAGTCGTCCTGAGCGCAGAGGCGGTCAAGCTCGTCATCACTTTTCTCATGCTTTTCCGCGATTTGAAGGGCGATTTCGGAGATTTTCAGGCGGTTAGTTATACTCTCTGGATTTTTTTTAGTTGTAGGTGTCTTTTCAGTAGTAATAGGAAACTATTTTTAAGACTTTTATGGAGCTAGAAAAATTTAAAAAAAAACTAGAACCCTCAGGGGCTCACTCTAAACAACTAAGTAAGTTATTAAATTTTTGGACATCCCCAATGAGAGAATGAACATATTTAAACTAGAAAAACGACAAATTTTTTTTAAAAACTCTGATAGTTTATTTTTCTTTAGCCGAAAAGTCAACTGGGACTTTTTGAAAACTATTTTACAAAGAAACTTAAGAAAAACTCGTGAAAAGTAACATTACCTCCCTTCGATTCGAGTTACCAAAGTTCGAGCAGGCTTGTTCGTCAGGCTAGGCGGGCTGACCCGAGCTTCGGTCCCGATTTCCGTGAAGAGGCCTGCGCGAACTTGGGCCAAGCCAAGCTTTAAAAAAATTATCATCCCAACTCAAAACGTCTTAGAAAAGCTTGACATATGGCTCGAAGAAAATTTTGAATTTTTTGAGCTGGGCCGGCTGTTTTTGCTTGAGACCTTCCTGAAGCTTGAGCTTAGAAATTGGGGCCGACGAGCTGACGGGGTGGCCCTCGCACAATTTTGCTACTAAAGTAATTAAAAAATTGTATTCCCCTTGGAAGTTTTCATAACTGATACAATGTTCAGAAATATATAAATAAAATTCTTTAAAGACCCTCTCGAAGCATTACTTCGGAGCTCCGAGAGAGTTGGCCAAGATGAGCGTTCCCTCGATCGCCTACGCCCTTCAAAACAACTTGGACTTTGTCGGCCTGTCGAATTTGGATGCCGGACTTTATCAGGTTGGATAATAGCCCAATATAACTGACTATATCGAAGCGATATAGCAAAGGTTTCTTGCTGCGACCTCGTGTCGCTCCCTCTCGTGTATTTGAGACTTCAAACAAAATTTTTTTGCTTCATTTTCGACTGTAGGATGGGATGAATCAAATTAAAAGGGAGCGATATAGCGCAAGACAATTGCGAGGTCGCAGCAAGAGAAGTGCGAAAAACTCACTGGGAAATAGTGTTTAATATTGAGCGTAATACTAAAGACAGCTGTCTAGTCCTGCGCGAGAGAAAAGCGATGTCGCTGGCGGTACATTAACGACTTCGAAAAAGAACCGCTTTGTCACCTAGCCGAACTCGCATTTCTCTCGCTTTCCGAGAAAATGCAGGCCGGCTCGGCTACAAAGTAACCCTTTGCGATGTCGTCAATGTGCCGCCAAATAACTGGGATATAGTTGAAAGAGTGAAGAAGGTAACCTGAGTAATCATTCCAGGTGACAACTCAGCTGAAAGTCGTCTCGACCGCCCTCTTCATGATGGCTTTCCTGGGCCGCAAGTTTTCCGGAACTCGCTGGGCAGCTATCGTCTTGCTCATGTTAGGAGTTGCTGCTGTTCAGGTAAAAAATAACACCAGAATTCATCAATATTTATTAGCAGAAAAAGAGTCGAGAAAATGATGAACAGAATTACAATTCACTCAATTTTAGAGGAGAGGAGAAAAATTAGGAGGAATCCATTAATTTAGTTACATTAAAAGAGGACATTGAAAATTAGATCAATTGAAAGTTTTATTGAAAGGAAACAAGTTCTATCAAAAAGAAACAGAGAAACAAACAGAAATTGCCAATTTCCGTCAAACTTAGTTACAAAAAAAGAAACAGATCAAAAAATATTATCACAACCCTGAGTGATTAGAGAATCAGAGAATAGAAGAGAGATCACAACATTGTAGTGAAACGGCATGGGAGAGTGCAGAGAAAACAGAACAAACAATTTTTTCAAAACGGATGCAAAGAACGCAACAACGACTGACATGCAGATTAAAAAAGAAAAAAAAACGAGATTTCAGGCCTAATACGAGTACTTTTCTATGAACTCAGAGAACGAGCCTTTTTGGCGCTTTTTGGCTTGAACCGAGTGCGGTCGTGCTGAAATTAGTGGAATTTTGAAATTTTTAATGGGAATTGAGACTCAGAAGTCACGATTTGAGCTTGCAAGTTAAAATTTGAGCTCTAGAAGATTGAAGTTCATTCCTAGATGTCTCAAAAATTAAAGGATCAATTCAAATTTTTTTAAAAAACCGAAAGAGCTTATCACGCTTGTAAACGAGTCTAATCGAACTGAAATCTGAAATATTTGGACTCAGTTAAAGCTCAGAAGCCTGAATTATAAAATAGCCACAGTAAGTCTGATGTAATCGGACTGAAGTCTTGACTAGAAAGACTAGAATCTAGCCTAACCAAGGTGAAATCTAACAAATCCATGGTAAATGCAAAGCTAGCCATGTTAAGGTTTGATCTAGTCATACTAAACCCGGGGACAGATACTCTTATAATTGAGCTTGGCATGCCTAACTGGGTTGAACTCTTAATCAAGCTAAAGCCCGGATCCGGGAACAAGAACTCATTGTAATCCCCGTTTACACGGCCGACCTCGGTGTTTGGTTGGTGCTGGAGGCTTGGGCGCCAGTAAAGCTTGTGGCGAGACCGACTTGGCAGTTGGTGGCACCAGCTTCATTTTCTGAACCTGGCTCTGTGCCTGTGCTTGAGCTAGATGCTGCTGAAACAAAAACATGTGATAGGTGGAGGGGTGCATTGGCTGCGGCGGAGCCATGAGTATCGGCGGGAGGTAGGCCTGGTAGGCATGGTGGTGATTTGGAGGTTGATTGGGTTGCGGATGCGGAAGGATCATGTGAAACGGCTGCATTGGCGGCAGAGGTGAGGTCGGTCGAGAATTGAAGTGCGACGCCATTTGGGGTAGCACAAAGTGCTGATGGGTCGGCGGATGCCAGGCGCTAGGTGATGGCGTCGAGGTCTGGTTCCACGGCGTCGTTACCTGAAAATTTAAAGTTCAGAAATAATTTGGCTTGATTGTCAGAGGAGGAAGGAGCAATAGTTGGGAGCTCTCTGCCAGATGAAGATTCTAAAGTCTCAATCAGGAAAACTCCCTAGTTTGGAAAACCAGTCTGGACTGAAGCCGAAGTTCTGAATCAAGAATTTTTCTAGATTCCGAGAAGCATGTCTAGCATGAAAGGACTTGGTAGTAAAGTTTAGCTGCGATAAGGCCAAACTTAATAGTCGTAGTTATTCGGATTAACAAGGCTGGTATCAAGCCTGTGCGGTTTCAGATCGGTCTAGCTCAACCATTAGCCCGACCTCATCAAACTTTATCGTTTCCCAACCAACCGTAATCTTCGGCTTCTTCGTTGCCGGCGGATGACATACAGCGATGTCGGTCGACGTAACCCGTTGCTGGTCGGGCGAAGGCTGCTCGTCAACGTCGGGCTCGAGATCAATAAGCCCCGGGAATAGAAAGTGGTACTCTGAAGGCACTTTAATTGCCCTGGCCCAGCTCGCCACTGCAGGGTCCGAAAGGAGAAGGGTCCACTCGGACTCTGAATGTTTTCTTTCACTTCGAAGGGCTTTTGTGGAACATACCACAACCGACTTCTTTATTTGTGAAGACAAAAGCGTCCGATTTCAACATTGCTTTGGCCACTTCGGTCGGCACGTTGCTGTCCTTTGAGAAGAAAGGAAAGGACAATTTGATCCATTTGGTGATTTGGGTCACCGTTAAGCTAGACCTGAAATATTGAAAGTCGAAGAACGTGACATATAGAAATCGGAATTGGCATGTAAAAACTAAATAGGGCTGAGTTAGAATCTACTATTGACGTATAACATCTGGTCAGGGTCATGTGGATCAAAAAGGCGGGATTTCGGTCGGGATGGCCGGATACTTACGTTTTTCCTTCGACGTTGAGGAAAGCCAACGCGCAGAGTTTGTCGAACTCGTACAGGAGTGGCGGCTTACGTGATCCTTTCTGAATAATCATCATTACTCAGATTTTAGGTTAGAGAGAATGGAAAAAGAGGAGACAGTAGACAGTTTCGTCGTTTTCTGGACCTCTACCCATCTCGTATACTCTCTAGATTCAAATAATTCACCTTGCTGTACCCCTCGGAGCTCGAGGACTTCCGACTGGTCTGTAAAAGGGAAGTCTGTCAAATGAGATCACTTTGGGAGGGGTACCGCGGAACCGAAGCTCTCGTCATGAGATGATGTGGAGGCTGCCCCGAGGCTGGCGTTGAGCGTCGAGGAATCCAGGCTGGAGTCAGGGTTCACTGTGGAAGACGTCGATGATGTCGACGTCATCGACTCTGAGCAGCACATCGCCGCCAGCTCAGCCAACTCCGGGTGCCGGAGGGCGGCTGGCGTCGTTGTGTAATCAATAGGCGCCTCTGCAAATCGGCATTGTTGAGGTCATGGGTTCGATCCATCGAGCGGTTTTTGCCATTTTTCAAGAATAGATCACTAGAGAGGTCACACGATCGATTCCTATCCTGGCCGAGGTGATTTTTTGCCATTTTTTGAAGTCGGATAAAGAGCTATTTTTCACCGGAAGGGTCACAGGTTCGATTCCCCTTCCGGTCTGGATAGTTTTTGCCATTTTTGGAAAGGCTACATGGAGATCAGGAGATCGTGACCTCATAGTTCTGCGTCGCAAGTTTGTTCGACCTTTGAGACTCTTGGGGTCACAAAAAGGTCAGAGGTTCGATTCCTAATGACGTAGGAGTTTTTTTTTTTGAAAAGGTCGGATCCATTCACTTTTTTATCGATTTGAGTTTATCTTTCCTGAGTCCGTCAACAAAGTTTGTAAGAAAATATTTTCCGAGAGGGAATATAAATATAAATACCTCGGGAATTCCGACGCCTTACGGCATGTGGGCGAGCTGGTTCGAACAGCTCTGGGCATATCTCTCGGATGTTAAATCCGCTCATATTTTATCTCGTCGTATCAGCTGCAAAGAAGATTTTGTCGTTTTTGCGTTTATTTTGGAGTTTTGCGTCAGGAAATGTGAGCCGATTGAAGTGATTATTTCTGGATGTTGAAAGGAAGGAGTGATTTTGAAATGAAAAGGGAGGTTTCAATGTTAGAACATACTTTTTTAAGGAAGCTGAGAATTTTCTGGAAAATGCGGCTCGGATAATCATGATACCTTGGTAATAAAGGGACATCTCGATTTTTGGATTCATAACAGTTTTTCATAATTTTTGGCGCGTGATTCTGGGGGGTTGAATAATTGCGGCACGAAGAGCATATTACTGTTTCAAAAGACTTTTCATTTCGAGACTTGAATGAAACAATTTTTTACCGTCTGCAACATGAAGAAAGGCCTCAATTTTGGATATTTACCGCTTTTTTGATATAAACTAGTGGAAAACTCTATCGTTAACATTGCGAAGCTCATTTTTAAACGATATGAACTAAAAATCTCTCGAAAAATAGGCATTAAAAATGGTATAACTTATACAATAACGAGAAAGGAAGGACCGGATAGAACATAGGATGACAAGAAAAAAAAAGTGAGGTGCCTAGTGATAAAACAGGTGACCTGGCGCATTCCGCGCTCGCGCCTTTTTCAGGGGCCAGTAGGCGGAGTTTCTAGGGATCAACCTAAAAGGGCAAATCTCCGGTTACGGACTCGTTTTCTGTAGTTTTCCTAGGAACGGACTTGGAAATGAGAGAAAAAAAAACTTTACAATTTTTCGTCAACATAGGTTTTTTGGGATATTTTGGGGGTAACGGTGAATGAAGTATTCAGTTTGGTATGGGTTCGAACATTCTGGAAAGGTTATTTCAAAAGAAAAAAAGAAAATAAAATTATCGAGCAAAAAAAAACTACAACTTTAAAAGAATTTCGAAATTTAAATCGGAAAGATGAGATTACTGTTTCGGATAATTATTATTTGTTTTTGATGAGGCAAAAATAAACTGTGGGACTTTGTTATCACTTATGTGGTTGAGATATCTAAAATCAAGACTTTTAATTGAAAAAGTGTCCCAAAACCTAAAATAAAAATAAACTTATATTCATTTGAATTAAATATAATTTACTCAACTTTTATCCATTCTTGTCTTAAATTATATTTCCAAAATTGTTTGTGTGGGTTGAAAAAGGAGCCTCTAGAGCAAAAACTTGAAAAGTAAAATGAAAGATGACGTTCCGAAATGACAGGGCCATTTTCAATTTATTCATTTCTTCTTTTTCCAAATAAAAAAGTTTACATAATATTGCCGTTTCGCTAGGTTTCAAAACATTTGAATTTTTTTGAATCTTTCCAATAAACAATCTGTGGAATTCACGAAAAAGTCGGTCGGTTCGGTTGCTTTTTATGAGGAATATTTTGTCAACTTTTCAAACGTTGAAAAAGTTTTTTTTCGTTTTGTCGAAGTTTTAACAGTTTCAAAGTACGTATTTCTTTATGTTTTTTATTATCATTATTAATCTAACAAAACAATATTTTGCACTTTACATATTTCGATTTCAGTTCAAGTTTTAAAAAAAGGTTGAAAAGAAATGTATTGAAAAAAAAACACAAAATCTCCTTTTTTGAACCCCAAAATCGGTTTTTCAGAACTTAAAATCTAGCCACAATCGGAAAATTTAAGCTTTTTTTGGACACTCAAACAACTTAGAACTAAAAAAACTTTAAAATTTCAAAAAGTGGCCGAAATTACCGACTTTTCCAGCTTGCCACAGTTGATAATAATTATTTTTTTAAATCTTGAAGGTGATGGAAAAAAAGAAAAAAACTTAAATTAAGAAAGATTTTAAAGACTATTTTTGATGTTTCAGAAAATACTTATCAGTATATTCTTGCAGTTATTGTATTGCTACGGCTGCTACGACCACTTTAACTTGTCCTAATTGAGTTAGAAAAATCCCTGTTTTCTACGATTTTTTTCAATATAAAATTCTTAAAAGAACACTTTGAAAAATTTTTCAGGGTTTTTGAAAAAAACTGGTAGGTAGAAACTTTGATATGAATGGTTCTTGTTTTTGAAAAATGTTTCAAGCACATTTTTGATTTAATGGTTAGTAAAAGTATAAAAAAAGCGGTAGGCGATTTTTCCAATAAAATTGATAAAAAGTATTAAGAATTCCTAATGAAAAGGTCTTTTTGAAGCGATTTTTGAAGCTTTCGATACTGTTCTCCTCACAATTATTCTCGTATATCACAAGGAATATCAAGTTTCATTCATTTTTTTAGTTTATTTTTCTTTTTCGTCTTTTTTTATTCGGAACGTTAATCAGTGATTTTTTTCACTCTTAAAAAAATTATCAGTATCTTATTTTTTTAGAATTCCAGAATCTGAAATATTTATTAATAATAATTAATCTTTAATTTTTATATATCAAAATGAATTGCAACGGTATTTTCAATTTCAAGAAAGTCGGAAAAAAAAAATCAAAAATGGTTCGAAAGACGTGAAAAGCGGAGAAGCTTGCAAAAGACGGTTTCGAAATTTGAATTTCCCACAGGGTTTCAGTTCAAAAAAGGTACCGACAGAGCGGTTTTTTCCCCGCCCCATTGTCCTGGCTCTCAATGGCTACCACAATCTTTTGTCTTCCTCTATTCAAAACGCGTTTTCTCACGCTGTAAATGTACAGTTCAATTCGAATTTCGAACGGATTTCCATGGGCGCAGAAAGTTCTTAAGCAAATAAGAGCAGATTTGAAGTCTAACAAGTTTCGAAAAGAAGTTTTTCGACTTTTGAAAATGATGTAAAGAGGCCTAAAAAGGCGGGAATGACGTCAATTTTCACTTTAAATTGAACGTATGATGTCATTTTTCGATTTTTTAAAAAGGCTTACTCTTTATACAATTTAAAAAAAACTTATCCGAAGTCTGACAAGTTTTGAAAAAGCATTTTTTGACTTTTCAAAAGGATCAACGTGCTTTTTCTTACTTAAAAGTGATGGAAAGAGGCTTGAAAATTCGGATTTGACGTCAATTTTCACTTTGAATTAAGCTCATGGCGTCATTTTTTGAATTTTTTTCAACTTGAGTTATTTCTTTGATTTTTTAAGAAGGCTTACGTTTTTACGATGAAGGAAGCTCATTTGAAATCAAAAAAGTTTTGGAAAAGGTTTTTTTTGACTTTTCAGAAGGATCAAAGTGGTTTCTCTCATTTAAAATAACACTTTTTGGAATTTTTCGGCTTGAATTTTTTTTTTTGATTTTTTATGAGATCAGTCGCATTTTTTTCCCAAAATTGAGATTATAGTCACATTTTTCAAAAAAATTACTTGAGAAGGTCAATAAATATTTTTATGGTGTCTTTTTTTCCGATTAGTAATGAAAAACTTAATTTTTCATTGAATTTTTGAAATTTTTTTGAAATTTTTTTCAACTTTTTAAAAAGGTACTGGTTCAAAAAAATCGAAAAAAATGCTTTAATATCAATAAACTCGATAGATTTTTATCTCAAATAGGATTTCTACCTTTAAAAAAACTTGTAAAAAAATTTGAAATCAAAATTTAAAAAAAGGCAAAAACCAAAATTTCGAATAAAAAAATTTCAACACAAAGACAAACGGAAGATCTTTTTCAATGATATTCAACAAAAAAATGAGGAAATGAAAGGCTTTTTTTCTCTATTGAGAGGATTAGTATGAATGAAGATAATCGGAAGAAAGGATTTCTTCTTTTTTGTGAGGCTTTATTTTTGTTAATAAATTGTTCTTTTTATTCCATTTCTTTCAATGATTCAGAGATTAGTTGTAGTTGATTTTGAAGAGATTAATATTAGAGAATTTTTGAAATAAACTTCAGAGTGGTTGAAATTTTTTTAACTATACTACATTGCATTTTTTTCTCAAACATAAAAAAATATTCTTCGTGATTTTTCTCTTTGGAAGCTGAGAAAAAAATGGTCCTTTTCTTGAACTCCGTAATGTTAAGTTGTCATTGTTTTGAAAAAAATATTCAAAATAAAAAGCTTGATTTTGATATAATTACCATGTAAAAGGGCCAAAATTAAACGAAATTATCTTTTCACAACGATTTAATGACTATGAAGTGTTCAGGGAGCTCAAAATTTGAATATCAAATCGAGAAATCAAGAAGAAATATACAATTTTTTTCGCAAAAAGAAGGTTTTTTTAAGAAGGTTTGTCCCTGTTGGAGATAAGAAAAACTTAAAAAGGGTTTTTTCGATTGGAATTTTTTTGTGAGAAGCAATATATTTATTTCCACCAACAAGATATCTATTAATAAATGGGAAACCATGAGGTACACGAAAATCAGATTTTTTCAATAATATCAATAAAATGAAATAATTTTAGAACCTCAAACTCGACCGGTACAGAAAAATATATCCCTCAAGCCTATGAAAGTAAATTTTTGAAAAGAAAAAGTTGTCAAAAGATGGCATTTTTAAAGATTCAACGGATATAAAAAGCGAGAAATTGCAGATGAACAACGTCTCGCCGTCGTCGGCCGGCAAAGAAGGCGTGGAGAACTACGTGATCGGGATTTCGGCGGTTTTGGCGACGTGCGTCACCGCCGGCTTTGCGGGTTCTCCAGCCTTTTTATCATTTTTTTTTCGCATCTTGTTTTTGTTTTCAGATTCATTTATTCTTTTGAAATAGAAGAATTTAGAATTTCATAGAGAAGGTTAGGATTGAAATTGAAGACGTATTCGAAAAATTCTTCAAAAAAAAAGTGGTTCTTGTTAAATTTTGACATTTTTTAACATTTTAAATATTGATTCTATCGTAGGAATAGCTAGAAAAGAGTTTTATGGAATTATTTAATAAGAAGCCCTCAAAAGTACTACTGGTCATAGGTAAAGTCGGAAAGGGTGGAAAAAAGCTTCGAAAATGCTCCTTGTTGCTGCCTTTTTCCGCCAATTTCTCGGCCTTTTTGCACCATTTTTGCTGTCTCTCCCTTTTTTTTCACTATTTATTGAGTCCTTTTGAATTCTGGGATAAATGGAAGGCTCGATAAAGGGAATCGTTTTCCTGCCTTTTTAATGCCATTTTGCTGCCTTTTTGCGGCTTTTTTTTGAGCCTTTTTGCTGTCTTTCTGCGACCTTTTTTGAGCCTTTTTGCTGCCTTTCTGCGACCTTTTTGCGACCTTTTTGCGGCCTTTTTGCGACCTTTTTGCGATCTTTTTTGAGCCTCTCCCTTTTAGCGGCCATTATCCACCATTCCGAGTAGAGAAGTTGGAAAACAGCGGCTTCAAAAGTAGTAGTTTTTTTCGTAACTATAGTTAGAAAATGGAGCCAAGACATTCCTGGATAACAAATATTATTCGAAATCTCGTCTCGAGGTAGGAATTTTCCCGCGAGACATAATCCCTTTTTTCGAAACAAAAATGTCGACTTTTAGGTCAAAGTCGCGATTTTTTGAGCTTTTTTCCCGAAATATCTCGATCTTGATCTCATATCGATTCTAAAAAAAAAGCCCGTCTCGAACGGCCCAGCTTCTAAGATAGATTTTTACGCCTTTTTTCTCAATGAAGCGTCATTTATTATTTCAGGAAAATAGCGAGAGAAAAGGTTTATAAAAAAGTGCTTGAAATAAGAAGGCCAAGAATGTAGGTATTTTTGTGGTATTTCGAATTTTTCCACAATTTAAAATCCTGAAAGAAAAAAATAAGAATTAAATTTATTTTGTTATTTTTGAGGAGGTTAAAAAACTGATTTTAAGGACCAATTTTATGAATTCCCTGGTTGAGAAAAGCGTTAAACTCGAACTCTTTGAAGCCACCAAAAAAAGTTATTGTCTAATATTGCTCATATTGGCACGTGATTTCTATGAATAACCATTTATTTCTCTTTTCATTTCATTAGAAATTTTACCGATGAGAGAAACTTCTCTGCAAAAACTTTGAACTCTAACTTTTAGCTTAATATTTTCATTTTCAGGAGTTTACTTCGAGAAAATGCTCAAAGACGGCGGCTCGACCCCTTTTTGGGTCCGCAACATGCAAATGTACAGCTGTGGGGTTGTGAGTTTCCTTTTTTTGAGTTTTTGAAAAAAATGCAATCCACAAATTCATTGTTTTTTCTATTGTTCAATGACTGAAACGATCCAACTTTATTCTGAAGGTGAGCGCCGCCTTGGCTTGCATGATGGAGAGCGACGATATCGCTGTCCGAGGCTTCTTCCATGGCTACGATGAGAAAGTCTTCGCCATCGTTGGTTAGTTTGAGAAAGTTCGCTCCTTTAATAATGTTAAAAAAAAATTTTTTTTAATTTCGGACATTGGTAACGCGAACGGGACGCGAATCCGACGTGTCGTGGCGATTCTAGTGACCACTTTAGTAGCCTCAGCACCCTTAAGTGATCCCTAGAATCGCCCAGAAACGTCCGATTCGCGTCCCGTTCGCCTTACCAAGGTCCGAGCTGATTTGGCTCGGAAAAGTCGCATTTTGAAGCTTCTGGATGAAGAAAGTTTAGTTCACTGTTTCAAAAAATCATAAAGTTAAGATTTTCTTTTTGAAAGTTACTCAATAGCTCATCTCCAAAAAAATATTAACGAATATTGCTCATGTTTGCTCAGAATTCATATGAATTTCTATAGGAAGCCATTGGTAAAACCAATAAAGAAAATCAAATTCTTTGAATCCAACGAAAAAAGAACTGCTATTGCTCATTTTTGCACAAGATTTCTATTAATAGCAATTTATTCTTCATTTTTGGAACAGTACTGATAGAGGAATACCTATAAGCAATTTGTATTGAACCAGCTTTGTTCTTGGACTTCAATGCGAAGAACTCCGAAATCAACTCATATTGCTCATGTTTGCTCAGGATTACTTTGAATAACCATTTATTCCTCCTCTTGAAAGTTAATTACAATAACAAAAACCTGATTTCCCATACTTGAAGCCTGCATTGCTCATTTTTGCTCAGGGTTCCTCTCGCTGGGCGGAGTCTACATCTCGCTGGTGATGAAGCACCTCGACAACCTCCACAAATCCTTCGCCTCGGCCTTCTCCATCGTCATCGTCGTCGTCGTCTCCCTCTTCATCTTCCCCGACGTCTTCATTGGCGCATACTTCGTCCTTGGCGCGTTTCTCGTCATTTCTGCCATCCTACTGTACAATTCCGTCCCTGAATAGACCTTGGAAACATTTTTCGTAAAATCACTAGGATCTTTGATTTTTCACACAAGCAGTTATTTCTTGGACGTGTGATTTTTAATCTCGATTTTTAGCCTTTTTTCACTTAAGAGGTCACTTTGGGGCTCTTGAAAGTTTCTGGAGCTTTGAAATCTTTCAAGGAACTTCTTAGGTTTCAAAATCTTAGGCGATTTTCGCAAAAAAAAACCCCTTCAGATATCGCGTTGAGTTATTTTAACTCGAGGGATCACTTGCTTAATGAAATTATCAGATTTTCACTTAAGGGATCACTGAGAGATTTTCGCTTGTCGAAATCAAAATTTTGATTTTATCACTTAAGTGGTTACTTGAAAGCCAGTTTTGGCCATTTAAGGTACTACTTCTTAACAGGTTTTCTCACAAACTTTTTTTTTCTTGAGTGACCACTTGACCCTAATTTTCAAACCCTGAAGTGACCTCTTAAAGTCCAATTTTTCTCAATTTGGCTTTATAACCCGATCCTTAATTCTTAATTATTTGTGTATTCCAATTCCTTTCAAAACAATTTATTGCTCATTTTAAGAGAAACAATATTCATTAATTGAATATGGGCGGAGCTTAATATTTGTAGATTTTTAAATGCAATCTCTTTTTTTTTCTATTGAAACAATGTTAAACGTGTTTTTCTTTTTCTGATTCTCCTCGATTTCAATGATGTTTCAGTTAAAATTAGTCATTTTTATGTGCTTTACTTATTTCTTCCAATACTTGTAGCCTTAAATTCGCTTATTTCCGCTTCTTCTTGCCTTCATAGAGTTTTATCGCATTTCTGAACATAAATTGCTTTTTTTAACAAAAATTTTTTATTCTATGATGTTTATCATGAAAAAAGCTCGATTAATCATTTCTTTTCACCAAATTCAAACCCATTTTGCAGAAAACTTTAAATGGAAACCCTTTTTGAAAGCCTTCATTTAAAATATTTGGTGGTACGGTATTGTGAAGGGCCGTGTGCACCGCGTCATCGCGGAAAATACGCCTGTCCTCACGCGCACTTTTCGTCGGTTTACTAGATAATTTAATTTTTTTGTGAACCGACTTCGTGTCATAGATTTTTTAATCTAGATTTTCAACCTTTACAAAAGTTTTTGCCAATTTTACGTCGAAAAAAAGCCGCGTTCAAAGTGATTTTTCTGAAAAAGAAAAAGAAATTGTTTTTTTGTATAGAATGAAGATAATTTCATTTTGTGCTTGTAAATCTGTACATAATTGAGAATACCAAAAATGAAAAGAAAAAATGAGCCCAAAGCCTTTTCGCTTATTTTGATGCGAATTTTTCATCTTTGGCCATGAGGTTCTTCTTTGCTCACTCCCAATCAAGGGGACTGGTCGTATTACGGTTGTAAAATAAAGGCTTTCGGTTATTAAATGGAGATTTTTTTACTCTTTGATACATCATTTTTTTTTACTTCAATGAACAAGTTCCATAAAATTGCATAACAGAAGCGAAAAATTTTCTGGATTTGGAACATACGACCCATATTGAGCGGTTATCTTTGAATTTCCTCAGAAAATGCGTGAAATACGAAATTACCTATCATTTCATTCGCTCAAGGTGATTGGTTTGCAAGGTGTCAAGTGCTGACTTTGCGCCACGCCGACCAGCTGGGGGTATAGCTCAGTGGTAGAGCGCTCCCTTAGCATGGGAGAGGGCTGGGGTTCAATTCCCCATACCTCCATAACGTTTTTGCATTTATTTCTGTCAGTGGGCCTTGGACGCTAGAATTCGAAAAAAGATTTCATCTTTTTTTTTTGGCGAATCAATTAGTTCTGTTTCCTATCGGAATCAATAAAGTTAGATATAAGTGTTGAATGGGCTCGTTAAGTAAAAAAAGGACGTGAGAATGTCGTTACAGAAACACGACGATTTGATGTTGAATTTATTGAATTTTATTTCATTTATGTTGTTGAACTACCCAGATCCGTTTCTCATTCAAAGAGAATAAAGTGAAAGATGATTATTTTCTGTTTTTGGTGAATAGAGTGTCAAAAAAAATTCAAACCTTTAAAATATCAAGCGCCAAAGTTTTTGACCTCTACCGTATCCTTGGCGAGTTCTGACCGAGTTCGGTCGCGCTAAAACAATGTCATCATTTTTGACGTCATCCGATCGATTTCTTCTAGTTTTTTGTACTTTTTTCGAATTTCTTGACGTAATTTGTGCTTTTAATGGACTTTCGATTTTCCTGAGCTCAGTTTAAAAAAGGTTATGCTCAAAAAAGTTATTTAGATATCTGTATCCACAAACTTTGATTTTGTAATGAAATTTCTCGTTTTATTCGCGTTCTCGGCTCTTTTTTTGTATTCAGAATTGTTTTTCAGGAATTCTCCGACGATTCCTTCGCGGAATTACAGAACGTAGCAAGGAAGCAACTTTCAGAAGCAAGTTCGAAGGAAAACATGCTTTATAGAACGAATTCGAGCTGATTTGGATTTTCTTTTCTGAAATTTTGCTTTCTTGCTCAGTTCCGTCTACATTTCGACTTCGACAAACGAAAGGTGATTTTTTTAATTCAAGATTTTGTGGCGCTCGGACAAATCGCGAAAGCTTCTGTTATATATTAGAGCTTTGAAAATCCATAAAATTTATTTTCTCAAGGCTTCGAAGAATTCGCGAATGTAAGAGCGTCAAAATTTCAGTTTAGGTGAAATATTTCCTCTAGTTTTTTATTTTTCAGAGGACATGCACGACGAAAAGACGGAATCGGTCATCTACACTCTTCTTTCCGGCGTTAACATGGCTTCTTTGTTTGGATCGAAGAGTGAAGGCTTCGAGAAAACGCTTAAGGTAATTTTCAAAGAAAAATTGACTGAATTAATAATTTTAACATTTTAAAATGACATCGAAACATCCAAAACGACGATGACGACCATTCCCAGTCGTAATGTGATTCAATTCAAAAGAAAACTAGAACTTCGGACGGATTTTGACGACCGAGAAAGCTTTTTATTTTCTCGTTTTGGATATTTCAGTTTGATTTTTTTTTTCGTTCTGAAAAGCTATTGAAGATTTCTGAGATTGTTATATCTGTCTCGAGAGGGCTGTACCATTTGTCGAATGATCTCTATGTTGCAAATATGTCGATTTCAACAAAAATGTGGATTTTTGCGATTTACGGATGCTAGAATTCTGAAAACGCGTCGGGTAGTTTTCCTCCGACGTCAAATTCAAAAATTATGTTGATTGCTGCAAGGATGTTGCTTCCAGAAGAGCCGTCTGCTGCCCTGCTTTTTGCGATTCCAACTCGATATTAAAACCGGGCCGTTTACAGTGATTTTGGGCTGTTCACTTGGCGAAATTCTCCGACTAAAACAGCCCGAAATAACTTCTAAACGGCGTATTTTTGACGCGAATTTCGAGTTGAAATTGCAAAAAGCAGGGCAGCGGAGGGTACTCCTGGAAGCACCCTCCTTTCAGCAGTTAACATAATTCTTGAAGTTGACGTCGGGGGAAAAATACCCGACGTGCTCCAAGAATTCTGGAATCCGTGGATCCCAGATGGCTGTCTTTTGCGGGAAACGTCTGGCGGACCCGAACGCGGGTTGCCATATTGAGAGCGAGGCCACTCGCCACTCGACCAAACGTCCCTGGTTGGCGAGGGGCAATCGGTCCCACGTACCGTCGCTCGGTCCAGTGTTTGCTTGGGAGGAGAGTCTCGCCGTTTGATCTCCCGACTGTAGTTTGGTTCGCGGCGCCAAAACATTTCGTCATCCTTTCACGGCCTTCTATAGTCTGTTCAGATTTTAAGTGTCAAGTCGGTGCTCAAGCTCCGCCCATAATGGCGCGACAAACCAATCAGAGAGCGAGCCATTCACAGAGTGTTTTTGAAATGACGTCATTGCACTTGACATTAAAAATCTGAACAGACTATAGAACTTCTTTTTGCGTCATTCTTTTCAAATATAAATTGATTTTCACATTATTTTAATTCAATATCAAGCTTTCTCAGGGTGTCATTGGATTTTATTATTAGTTTAGGTGCTTTTATTTTTTTGTTACAGCTATACTTTAATTACGACTTTTTGTTTGCTCAGGTCTCTAATTCATATCGAAATTTTAACATTAAAAAGCAGTTTTCCTTATATTTGATTACTGTAAGTGGTTTTGCCGCATTCAACAATTATCACAGACTTGCACAGAAAGCATCGTGAATGACAAAAATTGCTGGTCCTAAAATTCTCTCACTGTTGTTTGGGTATTTTTTTTCCCGTTAAAAATTTCAAAATGTTTTATACAGTTACATGTCATGAACTGGCGCCTCTTTTCCATATTTAAAGCTATGAAAACGTTCAACTTTTGCCCGTTGAATATTTCGAAATAATTTGTTTTTGAATTTCAGATAGCTCGGAAGGAAGTGCTCAGTGTTGCGACTTTGAAAACAATCAGCCTGTCTTCTCATGAAGTTCGAAGAAACTTCAAATATTTCAAAGATTAGTTCCTATTTTTATTGTTTTCGAATTGATATTGCATTTTTCAGGGAGACACTTCTTCCAAAACGGAACTGGATCTGAAATCAATGTGTTAGAAAACGATCAAAGACAATTTGAAATCTATCGCGAATAGAACTTGACTCTTGAATGTTGTTTTTTGGTTTGATTGTGCCTGACAAATTGACTTCTTTTCTAGCTCTGTAATTTCTTCAACGTCGGAAAAAAAAAACGGTGAGCCATTCAAAACTGTGCGCTATTTATTAATTTGTGATTTTCCAGAACACTAGGTAGACGTCTCCTTCAAGTCACAGAACTGGGCAAGGAGGCAGAAGCCAGGCACGAAATAAACGGGAAAATGACGCGATTTTGAAGATTTGAATATGGTTTTTGGCATTACTTGCTCTCGAGTTTTGCTATCTTGCCCAGTTCTGTGCGCAGATCGTCTTCGAGGTTATTAAGGCTTTTAAATTCTTTAAAATTTTTATTAATGTTCAAATTTTCAGGAAATTTCCCCGGTTATTGTGACATGGACACAGAACTGGGCATAAAAGACGACATGTCAGGATCGAATGAGGACTTGAAAAAATGGATGACGACTTGACAAGGAATTCCGAGGTTTTATGCCCAGTTCTGTCTTCAACGTCGTGTTCAACTTCGGCTGCATTATTTTGTTAGTTTGATTCCATTCTGAGCTTTAGAAATTCAAGGGTATATGACAGAAAATAATTTTTTAATTTTTTTTGCTTTAATTTTCAGAATAGCTCCATGCCGTTTGGACCAAACAGCCACAACGAGCTGCTTCATTTGGAAACAGAATTTCTTTTGATGAATGTTTTCAAATAAATCATTACCCATTGTCCAACTTTTTGTGGTTGTTTCGGTCCGTAGCTTTTTGTCAAATGCCCTTGCAGACCCATGTTAACTTTTACGATTTTTTAAAAGATGGACTGGGATAATTTGAGTTATAGAAATTAGGAATAAAATAACGAAATGCTCACGCGATGCGGATGCATTGCGGTAATTTAATTTTTCTACTTTTTAATTGATATGTCAGAAATTCGAAGCTCTTCTAGTTTGATATGCAGGAAAGTATGAATAACCGCTACGCATCCGCCTCGCGGGCAGCTGGGTCACGATTGTTTTTTTCTTCAATTTATGAGGCCATTCAACTGTAACCTTGAAGTTCGGATAGAAGTTTGCGCTGCATTTTTTTTATCACATGGTTTTTTTACTTTCCATTTTGATTCACCATTTTTTTTGGAAATAAAGGGAAGTGTGGTTTTTTTTTCAATCCAAATTAAAGTTTTTTTTTGATTCAAACTTGAAAAGGAGGCAAACTTTCCTAACATTGATAAGATAAGCAGAAGATAAATGTTGAATGAGCTCATCTGAGGCCGTTCGCATGAATTTTTACGCAGTTTGAATGGGTTTTAAAGCAGGAAAGCTTTTCTTTTCATTAAAAATAAATGTTCTCATTCGCACTGCGTAGGTTTTCATGCACAGGGCCTCGAAGTCTGATCGAAAATCTTTGAAGTGTTTGAAGGAAAACTTTTTAATTCTTTATTTTGTTCTTCAAACGCCCTAGTAAACATTTTTGATCAGACTGACAAATAATTCACTACGGCCAAAGTAGAAATAGCGTGCGAAGAGTGCTGAAAGTCTTGTTCTTCTGAGATTTCCAAGCATTCATTTCGTTCAAAAAGGGTGAGCTTCTTCTTGTCTTCGGTCAGAAAGAAGAAAGGGGGCTTCTAGCCGGCTCTTTGACACGGGGATATTCGTGTCGAGCATGACCTCGGTCACTCTTTCCGGAGGGGAGATCTCAGCCGCTCGGAACCTCTGAGTGGCACTTCGGTCCAACCAAGGAGACTGGTGCACTGTCCCACTCCTCCGTGCTCCTGTACCCAGTTAGTCCTCTGACTCCAACTTTATACAAATCAAATGCTTGGGATTTCGGAAGAACTGACTTTCAAAAATTTTTGAAGGAAAATTTTGCATATTGATTGGTCTAGTAAATCGTCCAGGAGCCAAAAACTTGCATTGGGGCGCCCATGCACAATACTTTTCATAATCGAATCGTCTTGTAAATCCCCCTTCAAGAGCCAAAAGTCTAGCATTAGCGCACCAATGCACATGCCTGGTAAATCTTCTAGCAGCCAAAATGAATGCAACAGTTCACTACTTTGGCCGCAGTGTTAGACTTCTTGTTGTAACATGAACATTAAGCGAATAGAATATTTATTGGTAAATAAAAAACAGTTAATTGAGACATTAGACATAGCTGTAGGATGACTGATGCATCGTTTCTTTGTTTTGCGCTCCGAGGGGTCCAAAGAGTTGTTGCTGAACATCAGAAGCTGTGCTCAATGGAGGCCACGCCATTCTGATGAGAGAGTGCTCATAGAGACTTGCAAAAGTCGAGTCCGGTCAGGTTCTCCCGGCCGATCTCATCACAGCACGGCAGAAGATGCCTCATCAGCATCGCTTTGGGCCTTTCACTGGGAGAATCCAAAGTTTCTGTCTGAAAAATGGACAAGTAGGAGTAGGCGGCTCATTTTTTTATTTCAATACAAAAATTTTTTTCATATTCAAATTGCGATATTAGTACATCATTTTTCATATTCAATTTGCAATATTAATATATTCAAATTGCAATATTAATACAGCATTTATATATTCAAATTGCAATATTAATACAGCATTTATATGTTCAAATTGCAATATTAAGAATGCAATATTAATATATTCAAATTGCAATATTGAGAATGCAATATTAATACAGCATTTATATATTCAAATTGCAATATTAATACAGCATTTATATATTCAAATTGCAATATTAAGAATGCAATATTAATATATTCAAATTGCAATATTGAGAATGCAATATTAATACAGCATTTATGTATTCAAATTGCAATATTAATAATTCTTTTACAGATTGCAAGTTCTTCTACTTATTCATCCTCACCGCCCAATCATGATATTTTTTCTATGCCTCTCAATAAAGTCTTCTTACTTAAAATTTGTTCTCTTCTCACCTACAAATCATGCAATGAAGTCTTCTCCAAATTGGCTGAGATAATATCTGATGTACAAGTCTTTCTCTTCTGATCATCTCCATCAAGTTTGAAGCCTGACAAGTCAAGCTAGTGTACTTGAAGCACGGAAGAGTGGGAAAATCGCCAGTCTCCTTGGTCAGACCGAAGTTGCCACTTGGAGTCCAAGTGGCCGAGAACTCTCTTCCGTGAAGGTTGAAGCCTTCTTTTTCTGACCGAAGTGAGAAAAGCTCTTTTGGAGATGAGAGAAGAAAACGACATCTACAGAGCTAAGTAAAAAATATGAAACTTATTAAATGAAAGCCCATGGATGAACGAAGATTTCGGCTCCTGGAGGATTTAATGAAAAGTCGATATGTGCATTGGTGCGCTAATGCTTTTGGCTCTTGAGAGAGGATTTACATAACCGATCGATTATGAAAAGTTTTTGGCATGGGCGCCCCAATGCAAGTTCTTGGCTCCTGGAGGATTTACTAGACCAATAGATATGGAAAAGTGTCCATCAAATATTGTGCAAAGCTATGTAAAAGCCCAGTTCTTCCGAAATCCCAAGCAGTTGATTTGTATAAAGCTGAAGTCAGAGATACTGACTGGGTACAGGAGCACGGAGGAGTGGGACAGTGCACCAGTCTCCTTGGTTGGACCGAAGTGCCACTCAGAGGTTCCGAGCGGCTGAGATCTCCCCTCCGGAAAGAGTGACCGAGGTCATGCTCGACACGAATATCCCCGCGTCAAAGAGCCGGCTAGAAGCCCCCTTTCTTCTTTCTGACCGAAGCCAAGAAGAAGCTCACCCTTTTTGAATGAAATGTAAGCTTGGAAATCTCAGAAGAACAAGGATTTCAGCACGATTTGCACGATTTTTCTACAACTTCTTTCATCCATGGACTTCTAGCACATCATCGACTATCTCAGCCAGTTTGAGAAGCATTAGGCCTTACTCAAAGCAAAATGAAACACGCGAAGAATTATTACTTTCCCACTGGAAAATCCTACTTCTACGAGTCTTTCTTTCACGTTAAGCAGGACCTTATTCTACGAATTCCTAAAAGTCATCGGCCCTACGACGCGGTCGCGCTGCGGTCACCATCCCATGTTCACTTCGGAAGATTCAAGAAACACTTTATTGAAAATTGAAAAGTTGAAGTTGTAAAGACGATCAGCAGCGTGACCGCGTCGCCCTATACAATCATCGATGCCTAAATTACAAGGTTAATTGAAACATTTGAAAACCTAACTCAGTTCTAGAACGGGCCATTGAGAGTACATGACAAGATTGCTGGACTTATGCGCTTCATGATCAGTCAAATAGAAAATCGAGGTTGAAAACTGCTCAAGAAATATTAACAAGGGAAGTGTTTTTGGTGGCCGGTTGAACTTTTGTTGAAACTTTGCTGAAAGGTACTATAAGACCTCCTCTTTCCAGAACACGAATAAAATTTCTCGCAATAGATCTCGTTTTCGAGTTATGAAGCTTCAAAGTTTGCACGCTGAATAAGTGCTGCAAGGCAAGAGGGAATGTGGCTCGCGTACGATCCCTCCTATCCAGTTGGCAGCGTGGTGTAGTGGCTAGCGTCCTTGCACCGTGGTGTCTATGACCGGGGTTCGAAACTTTTTGAAGAAACTCATTTTGGCCAAAACTTTCCTACGAGGAATTTATACACATTGTTAAAATCAATCAAAATTTTTTTTCCGAATCAACATAGCCTCTCATTTCACTCGATTTAACAAGACTTTCGAAAAACATTTCCCCTCGGCCCATGCACATGATCAATAGATCGCTTTCTGTATTTTTTTTTCAAGAATCCAGAGGAACTCACTCATCTTCCTGTGCCGTAAATTTTTTTATTTCCTTTTAAGTTATCAACTGAACTGAAACGCTGATCAAAATAAACGAAGAGCTTTTTTTCCCCAAAAAGAGACTATTAATCTATTAACCCTTATTATAAGCGGAAGAAAGCTTTTTAATCGGTATACCGAAACAAAATGGAAAAATATGTTAATTCGGAGAAAAAATTTTGATTGATTTTAATAATGTGTATAAATTCCTCCTAGGAAAATTTTGGCAAAAATGAATTTCTTCAAAAAGTTTCGAACCCCGGTCATAGACACCACGGTGCAAGGACGCTAGCCACTACACCACGCTGCCAACTGGGGTAGAGGGATCGTACGCGAGCCACATTCCCTTGCCGTGCAGCACTTAATCAGCGTGCAAACTTTGAAGCTTTATAACTCGAAAACGAGATCTATTGCGAGAAATGTTATTTGTGTTCTGGAAAGAGGAGGTCTTATAGTACCTTTCAGCAAAGTTTCAACAAAAGTTCAACCGGCCACCAAAAACACTTCCCTTGTAAGAGAAGAACTTTTCATGATGCGCGAAGAGGCCAAAAAATATTTGGATATAGAGATGCTCCGGGAATAATCAAAGAAACTTTGCTCGAACACAATTTTTGCCAAAAGGTTAATTTCCAACCCGAAATTATATTTGTCAAGTGAAAAAGTTCCTAAAGCATTGTTCAAGAACAAAAAAAATAAGAGTCGAAAGAATGTACAAGAATGAAATTTTCCCAACCATGAACTAAAAATCGAGCTTCAACTTCTTTTTTCCCTACAAGCTCGAGAAATTTCATTCGAAAGAGCATAGCGATCAACTTATCCATGGTGCGCATACATCTACTTTTGTGAAAAACCTTCAAAATAGTGATGCAATTTTGTCATATACTCTCTCTCTCTCTCTCTTGAACTAAGCTTACAATAAAACCAAAATATACCTCAAAATATTGACGGCGTCTGATTTATCGGTTGTTCTTTTGAATGTCGTATTTTTTTTTTCGCTTCGTTTCCTCTCAATCCAATTCATTCATCCAATCAGCTCCTCTTTCAATCCAGTCCGTCTATAATTTGAAAAAAATCATTAGATTTAATTACTTGAATAATCATAAAGAAGATAAGCTCTGACTTATAACACACTATCATGAGGAAGACCAGCCTCAACCTTCGTTTCATTCAAAATTGATCGCAAAAAGTCATGAAAATGAATCAATTCTATTTATTAAACGCTGGAAATGAATGAAAGAAAGTATGAAGCTTAGAAGTGTACCATACTATCATTCAATACACTAATAAAAGCTTCATATTGAATTAAAATAATTCGAAAAGCCTTATAATTTGTAAAGAATGACGCAAAAAGAAGTTCTAGAAGGCCATGGAAGGATGACGCAATGTTTTGGCGCCGCGGACCAAACTACAGTCGAGGGACCGATTGCCTCTCGCCGACCAGGGACGTTTGGTCGAGTGGCGAGTGGCCTCGCTCTCAATATGGCAACCCGAGTTCGTGTCCGCCAGGCGTTTCCCGCAAAAGACAGCCATCTGGGATTCCAGAATTCTTGGAGCACGTCGGGTATTTTTCCCCCGGCGTCAACTTCAAGAATTATGTTAATTGCTGAAAGGAGGGTGCTTCCAGGAGTACCCTCCGCTGCCCTGCTTTTTGCAATTTCAACTCGAATTCCGCATCAAAAATACGCCGTTTAGAAGTGATTTTGAGCTGTTTCACTCGGAGAAGCTTCTGAAACATGGCTTTTTCAGAATTTCGCCAAGTAAACAGAGTAAAATCACTCTAAACGGCGTGGTTTTAATATCAAGTTGAAATCGGAAAAAGCAGGGCAGCAAAGAGTACTCCTGGATGCAACATCCCTTCAACAATTAACATAATTCTCAAAGTTGACGTCGGAGGAAAAATACTCGACGCGTTTCCAGAATTCAGGCATCCGTGAATCACAGAAACCCAATTTTCTGTTGGAATCGACATATTTGAAACATCGAGATCATTCGAAAAATGGTACATCCCTCTCCAGACAAATATAACAGCCGGAGTAATCTTCAATAGCTCTTCATAACAATACCAGAAATTCACATTGAAACATCCAAAACAAGAAAATAGCTTTCTCGGTCGTCAAAATCCAAGTATTCTTTTGAATTGAATCACATTACGACTGGGAATGGTCGTCATCGTCGTTCTGGATGTTTCGATGTCATTTGAAAATGATAAAATTATCAATTCAATCAATTTTTCTTTGAAAATCACCTAAAGCGGTTTCTTGACGACTTCGAAGTTCCATCCTCTGATCCAAACGAAGAAGCCGTGTTAACGCCGGAAAGAAGAGTGTAGATGGCTGATTTCGTCGTGCATGACCTCTGAAAAGTTAAAACTAGAGGAAACATTTCACGGAATCTCAAAGCTTGACGCTCTGAAATTCGCAAATTATTCGACGCCTTGAGAAAAATAAACTTTATGAGTTTTCAAAGGTTAAATATATAACACAAGCTTTCGCAATTGTCCGAGCGCCAAAAATCTTAAACTAAAAAGAAATTCACCTTTCGTTTGTCGAAGTCGAAATGTAGACAGAACTGAGCAAGAAAGCAACATTTCAGAACAAAAAAAAAACGGGTCCCAAATCAACTCGAATTCGTTCCATAAATCATCTTTTTCCTTGAATTAGCTTCTGAAAGTCGCTTTCTTGCTCAGTTCTGTAATTCCGCGAAGAAATCGCCGGGGAATCCCTGAAAAACAAATTTGAATACAAAAAATGACACGAAAAAGCGAATAAACCGAGAAATATAAGTACAAAATCAAATCTTGTGAACAAACTTTCCTAAATAACTTTTTTGGAGCATACCCTTTTTCAATTTGAACTTAGGAAAACCGAAAGTGTTTTTTAGAGTTCGAAAATGCACGAATTACGTCAGGAAATTCAAAAAAAAGAAAAAAAAAATAAGGAGAAATCGATCGGATGACGCCAAAAATGATGACATTGTTTTGGCGGGACCGCAAACTCGCCGAGGGTTCTGTAGAGGTCAAACATTTCTTCGTATGATCTATTGTTGCTTGGAGTCTGATTTTAGATTGATAGTTCATTTTTTCACAAATTATTACAATTTGAATGTGTTATTCAACTATTTTGGTCTGTTTTAATTTGGATAACACGTGCGTCTTAACGTTATTAAGCTTATGGACATAATTTCAACATGAACGCATTTTTTCCGAAAAAACATACTTGAAAAAGCAAAGCTTTAAGAAAAATAGTTTCCCGAAAAAAAAAACAGGATATATCTAGATATATCTAGATATATCCTGTAAACGGCCAAGGAGCGACATGACACAACCAACTTATATGAAGTCAGAGCTGACGAACAATATAAACACAGCAGTAACACTCAGAAACGAAAATGTAAAAAGTAATAAGGTTTTGAATTCCCAATACAAAACTAAACCACGCCCAGTTTTCTGCAATTGAGGCGCGGTACTTTCTGCCTCATTTTTCTCTACTGCGAGGTTCCCTTTTGGAACGCCGTGATCTGAAATTTTCATTAAAAGAAATAAACTTTTTCGTAATTTCAAACGCTAGCGTATGCAGAGTGTAGTATACGAAATTGCGGTAACGTTGCATACAGTAACCATTTTTCTGAAATATGCTGTACTTATTTTCCGCTTACGGGAAAAAAAAAACAATGAAACGAACATAAAGAAGTTATGCCTGCCAAATGAAATGATATCCTGATTTTTGGCTATTTTTAGGCGGCATTAGGCCACTTTTTTAAGAATTTATTTTTATTAAATACAGTTATGGTAACTCTTTTCATGAATGTTTATTTCAGCGTCTCAATAAGAGGCTCTAGAAACCTATAGATTAACTACGAACTTATAGTTCGCTTCAAGACCCGTAATTTCTGTTCAACACAATCCTGGTCTTTTTTCCTCTTTTGAAATACAGTAAGACATTTAGGAGCCCCTCTTTTTCGCTGCAGGACCTTCTCAAAAGCCTCATTTTTCGTTGGAGTTCGGTGAACCGTGACAAGGAGCCAGCGCGTCGAAAAATTGCACATCCTCTCTTAGATTTCCGGAAGAAAATTCTCTCAAAACGGTCCGTAAATCAGCCTTCTCCCAAAAATTGATGAAAAAAAAGGAAATTCTTCAAAATATTCAAAGTATAACACATTGAAAGAGCACATAAACAATGAGACAACAAAAAAAGTTGAAAATAATATTTATTAATCAATAAATTTTTGATTCTAGAACTGAAGCTTGGAACTTCTATGACGTCATCTTGCTTGCTTTTTTGTTGAAATTTTGTGCTTGAAACAAATTTAATATATAATTTATCATCATGAAAAAATGAAAAAAAATAAAATTGAGAATTCACAGTTAGAACTAGAGAGTCAGAGAGAGAGACAGAGAACACTAAAGAAAAAAAAATTGGATATGTGGGCCAGCACAAAACAAACTGGTCATAATACAGTAATAACTGCAAAATTTACAGATGGAGCAATCACCGAATCGTAGTTAGAATGAGCAACGCTGGTCAAATATGAGCAATACACAGATGAAAGTCAGCCGACCCGTAGCTGCGGAAAGCCGTCAAGTACTCCGTAAGATGAGCAATGAGAGGGGGCGGAGCTTCACATCGTACGGCCGACCAAGCCGAGCAGTTTCTCGGCGGATTCGCCTGAAAAGAAGAAGATGAGTTAACATGAGCAATATGATGTTTTTTCAGGGCTGGATTACTACGAAAAGGAGCCTGAACTTTATGAAGACCTCTCACATGAGCAATAAAAAGCAATAATAAGCAATTTTTCAGGATATTTTTTTTTCTCTAAAATTAGCAATAAAAATATAATATGGCCTATGAAATTACTATAAATGTCCTCAGACAACTTCCTGGCATTAAGATGAGATTCACTGAGCTAACATGAGCAATATGACACTTTGATAAGCGGGGGTTTCCTTAAAGCAAACGTGATCAGTGAAGGTTCTACTCGATCTGTCCGCATTCTAAAAAAGTCCGCGCTAAAATGAGCAATAACCATATAACGTTATTTTCAAAATATCTACGGAATAAGATGTACCAAAACCTACAGAGCTTTCCAAAGTGAAACCTTTGAGGAAAGCCTGTTTTTTAAAGACTTCCAGACCCTTTCAAATATTGTTCGTATTTTACAGAAAACCACGAAAAAACTCACGATATCTGGGATCATTGGCCATGTAGCCGAGGAAGCGGAAGGCGGCCTCATCGGCTCGCACGAATGACGTCATCAGTTGGGCTCTTTCGGCGGATGACGTCAGAAGGCCTGCGACCAGCCTCAGCCATTCCACCAACATCGACTCCTTGACCGTGTACCTCAGCAACGTCAGGGGGTTCGATCCGACCCTGGAAATTGTACTCTTTTGAACATCTCCGCAGGGTCCCGCCGGCATTTCCGCTCGGAAATCGGGCGTGTCCGGACATTTCTAGTGACCACTTTAGTAGCGTCAGCACTCTTAAGTGACCCATAGACGTGCTCAGAAACGTCCGGTTTTTGTCAATGAAGCGCATTTCACCAAAATCGGACATTTCGAACTGAAAAACCCACATCATGGCCTCACAAACGGTGTCGGCGAATCTGGAATTCGTCGCCATCAAACTTTCCAGAAGGCGAATCGCGTGTCGGACAACTTCGTCGTGTTCATTGACCTTCGCCTCCTCCTTGTTTCTTATCTGAAAGTTTTCAAAATCAACAAAAATAGGCTTTTTTTTTCTCAAAATACAAGGGTATAGTCCGTTCAACGCGACTTGGAAAATTCTCAAATGCCTGCGTCTCTCTGTTCCCTCACTTTAAAAACACTTGAGGGCGCCAGAGGGGTCCCTTCAGGGATTAAGGGAAAAACCCTAGCTCTTTGAGAGGTGGTCCTTATAGAAGTGAGTAAAAGTCTGACCCCAAAGCCCCTTAAGCTTAAGTGCTCCCTATAGGGGTCTTACCCGATTTTTTTTTCCGTTCAAAAACGTTAACATATTGAGTTTTTCGAATGAAAATGCTTTTCTCACAGAGATCCCAAAAACATTCGACTAGAATGCCCCCTTCAAGAGCCACTTACTAAAACCCTAAACGGGTCACTTTTGCAAGCTTTAGTGGCCCTCATAAATTAAGAAAATCCCTAGAGGGGCTCCTTCAAGCCCTCGCGCCTCATAAATCCCATTTTGGTGTTTTAAAAATTGGAAGTCAAATTTCGAAAAATTAGACGTTAAAACCTTTTTTTGGAACAAGGATCTAATATATTGAAAAACTGTAATTATCAAGAACCACTACAGTAAAAAAAACCTACCAATAGAGCGCATTTTCTAAGAAAATCCAGTCAAAAACACCCACATAATAACTGCACTTCTCGAACGACTCTCCGATTCGTAAGATGAGCAATTTAGGCAAACTTTCGCCCCGATTATCAACACTGTCGAGAAACAGAGAAGCGTAGCTGGGAACCGTCTCGATGACTCTGGAAAAATTGAAAAATGATGAATTTTCTCCATGTACTTATAGAACACTAAGCGATGAAAAAAAAAATTTTGGCGGGAAAAATAAAAATTCAAAAAAGAGCCGCAATTTGGGAAATTAGGCCTCCAGCTTTTTTTTATTATGTTACTCTTGCTTTTTACCATAAACAACATTGAGACGTCTTTTTTAATTTTTATCTTTGAAAAAAGTTGGAAATTTCAAAAACAAACCTTCTCAAAATTTGCATTGAAAGTCGCCGCAAACGGACCGAGCCCATTCCCGTGAAATTTAAAAAAGTCGAAGGCGACATCAAATTCGTGCTGATCTGAAAAAAAAAGTACTTGAAAAATGATGTAGAGAAACTGAGAGAAAAAACTGGTCCTTAGGTCCTTCAATAACATAGAGACCAGGGAAAATGAGTAGAGTGTCAGACATACAGAGAAAATATTTTAGCTTGAGCATCTTATGATTTGATGGACAATAGCGTTCGTTAAAAGAGTTCGATTTTACAAAATGGATAGTTAGAGACCATTGAAAATCCAGAGAGCGTCAGACGGAAAAATAATTTCTGTGTCTGTCGGCCTCTCCTTTTTCGCTTATCTTTTCTTTCTCGAGAGAGCACTAAAAATAGAGATAATAGAAAATCAAGAGAGGGTAGGACATGATAAAAAAAATTTTTCTACTACAGTAAAAAAGTCAAAATCTCCAGGCTTCTGGAGGAAGTTAGAGACCATAAGAAACCGGGAGAGCGTCAGACAAAAAACAACTTATTTTAGTGCCTGTCGCCCTCCTCTTTCCCCTTATCTCTTTTTCCTCGGAAAATCAATCAAATTACAGATAATAGAAAACCAAGGAGCGTCAGACATATCAAGTAAGTTTTCTACTACAGTCAAAGAGAAAGTTTCAGGCTTCTAGAGATAACAAGAGATAATGGATAACCGAGAGAGCGTCAGACACTCGAGTATTCCTCTGACTGTCTCATCCCTCCTATTTTTTCGTTGTCTCTCTCGAACCAACCATGTTCCTGGCTGCCACGGCGACCTGCTCCTTGTCATCCACACCATACTTCGTCAAGTTGTTCAGGATCATCAGGCAATGCTGGTAAATGTTGGCGACGGTCTTCCTCAGAGGGTCCGGGTTTTCTTGGGTCGCTGGAAAGGGAATTTTGAGCTTTTCGAGCTTTTATTATTTTAGAAATCGGATTATTTCAATATATTAGATCCTTGTTCGTAAAAAAAAAGCTTCAAAGCTTAAATTGTTCAAAATTTTCACTCCAATCTTCAAAAAACCAGAGTGGTCTTTATTAGAGGCAAGGGTCCTTGAAGGAGTCCCTCTAGTGGTCGATAAAGCTTGCAAAAGTGAGCCCTTCAGGGCTTTAGTAAGTGGCCCCTATAAGGTCCATTATCGTTGTGAACTCTATGAGAAAACGCATTTCCACGTGGAAAATTTAATAACTTTGAAGGATCCCCTCTAGGGACCTTTTTAGATCTCCTATAGGGGGCACTAAGCCTGCAAAAGGGACCGCTAACGGGGTTTCAATTAGTGGCCATCCTAGGGTAGCATGTCAGTCGTTTACTGTTACGAAAATCAATAGAGGATATATCGATCAAGTTTCAAATACTTCTTTTCATTTGACAAATCATAACGAAGAAATTTGAAGGTCCCTAAAGGGGCCACTTAAGCTTAGAGGTTAGACGCTAAACCCCTATACGGACCACTTATATTTTACAACTGTGGAGAGCGCTTTTTTCATTAAACAGGCTACTTTTTCGCTTTTTCCCCTAACCCCTAGAGAGACCACTTTGGCGTTCCTAAGACTCCCATGATACCAAAAAAACACCAAACCGCATTTAGAATCACTCAGAGGCGTCGCGGTCGCGTAGCGTTTAAAAAAAAATCTAAGAAATCTGATACATTTTTGTAGAGCGACCATGAGATGTTTAAGAAAGATATAGTCGATTCCGACGCTAAGAGGCGTGGGCTGTCTGGGCTCTCCACGAACCAGGCACTCTCTCTTTTCTTATCGTGCCAGGACCATTTAAAAGATGGCTCAAGTCAGCCGTGAATCAGCTATAAACGAGTTATAAAACAGACTACTGCTTTTAAAATTCGAGCATTTTTCAATAATATTAATTTTTTTACTGCACGCTCTAAAATGTAAGAATGATCGAAACTAGATTTTTTCTTTTCAAGTTCAAAAAAACTGACCTCTCTGCGTCATGGGGTCGAGATGTTGCGGGTGAGGGAAGGGCGACGGTTCCTGGACTCGGACGAAATTGTTCGACATTTTCAAAACGTCGAACATTATGTTGGGGGCTTTGCATTCGACGAGGGTCTCCTGGAAAATGGAACGAAATGAATTTAAAAATTGAAAAACAAAGGAAAATATCATTTTTAAATAAATTCCATGTGGCTAGTCAGAGCCATTTGAAAAAAAATAATGAAAAATCTCCAAAAAAAAATCAAAGAATTCTTCAAAAATAAACCTCAAAATAGCTCAAAGATGCACTCATTTAAATTTAAATTTTGATTGGCCGGCCTTTCCGTGAAAAATTATGGTCGAAAAGTCATAGGAAAAATTGAAAAATGCCTCAAAAATGCTCCAAATTTTCTCTAAATCCCTCAAGTGACACCTTATCCTTCAAACTCAATTTCGCTTGCCAACCCTTGCCCCTTTTTCAAATAGAAAACTCTTTTTAAAAAAATAAATTTTTAAAAAAATTGGGAAAATCTTTGAAAAAAATTCGAGGAAAACAGCTCAAAAACGCTCCAATTTTTCTCCTAGACCCCTTAAGTGATACCTTAGCCTTCGAGCTCAATTTTGCTTGCCGTGCCCTTTGCATTTTCTTAACAAAAAGTTTGCAAAAAGTTGGAAAATCTTTAAAAATTCGAGGAAAACAGCTCAAAATGCTCCAATCTTCCCCTAGATCCCTTAAGTGATACCTTAGCCTTCGAGCTCAATTTCGCTTGCCTACTCTTGCCCTTTTTAAATAGAAAACTCTTCAAAAAAAAATTTTCAAAAACATGAAAAATCTTTGAAAAATTCGAGAAAAAAGGCTTAAAAGGCTCCAATTTCTCCTAGACCCCTTAAGTGACACCTTATCCTTCAAGCTCAATTTTGCTTGCCGTGCTTTTTGCATTTTCTTAACAAAAAGTTTGCAAAAAGTTGGAAAATCTTTGAAAAATTCGAGGAAAACAGCTCAAAATGCTCCGAATTCCCCTAGATCCCTTAAGTGACACCTTAAACTTCAGTCTCACCTCTGACCTGCTCGCCGCGCCTTTTTTAAACAAAAAAACCAAACGCGGAAAAAAAAATCGTTCTAAACGTCTGGCCACGCCCCCTTTTCTCCCAAATCCCTTAAGTGATACCTTGTTCTTCTTGTTGTGGAAGCCAACGTTGACGAGGCATCCGGTGGCTCTTTCAACTATAACCGCATCGGAGGCGCCGAGAAGTTGCATCACTTTTTCGATCGATTCGGCGAGGTCCTGAGAATTGCTCAGTGTTGCTCATGTTACATCATTTTAGGCCCTCACAATTTCACAACTTTCGCCGTGTTTTCCCTATCTCATTCTACTGTTTCTCCAGCTTATTATGAATTTTTTAAAATCTGATTATGGAATTCAGGTCGAGCAATATGATGTCTCTGCTCATATCAAATGTTCAAAGGAAAAATAATTCGTATTGCTCATGTTAACTGATGTTACCTGATCCCGGGTCTGCGGTAAGTCGATGGTCCGTTGCAGACAAAGAAGGACTTCATGTAGGAGTCGGGTCGACGGATGGCACAAAATGTTGCAGAGGGCCTGCAACATGATATTGCCGTTTCATTGAAAGAATGAAAATTGAAGTTTTTTGAAATTTACGATTGTTCTTGTGGGGTATTCCATAAAGTACGGGCGTTTACTAAATGCGATCGGTGTTATTGTCTATAAAATGCGATCGATTTTTTTGTGCTCCACTGAAATTTAATAAAATACGGGCGTTTCTTAATCTTATCTCTTGCACCTTTTCTGGCACTTATTCTCAACTTTTTTCTTTTTTCCAAATTTCTAAAATAAAAAAGACACTACTATACGGATCAGAAAGCTATCGAAAAACTTAGAATTTCGTTTAATTTTAAAAGTAATGGTAATTCAAAAAAACTTTTTTTGAGATGATGTGCCAGAAAAAGGTGCAAGAGATAAGATTAAGAAACGCCCGTATTTTATTAATTCGCAGTGGAGCACCAAAGAAGCGGTCGCATTTTGTAAACGCCCGTGCTTTATAGTATGCCTTCTTGAGGTCAAAAAAGAATGGCAAAAAATTTTTTTTCTTTTGTTTTTCATGAAACTTTGTGCTTTAAAACGCTTGGAATCTCAATTTTCCTTGAAATCATGCGAAAAATTACCTGAATACCGCCGCATTTGACGAAAAGCTCGCCGAAAAGCGGATCGGTCAGGAAAACGCTCAAAGTCTGGGCGGTCGACCAGAGAACCTTCTCATCAACTTCTTGTTTCATGATCTGCGTCAGGGTCTCGATGACGCCAGTCGCGAGGAGCTCCTGAATCGATGACGTGTTGGTTGAGTGGATAAGAGCTTGGGTTAGGGTTGGGAGGGTCGTTGGTTCGGATCCCAAGCATTTTTTGCCGTATGTTTATCCAGATATAAATCATCCTTCTCGCCTCGGAACAATCTTACATGTCTGCACTCTCTTTTCTCTCATAGAGACATGGAAATAGCAGTTGATAATGAGAGAGCGCAGAAATTTTTAATTGCTTACTTTTTGGAATACTTCTTCAGAACTACAACACAAAAAATAATGAAACCTATTTTTGCCATTTCATCTCATTTTACAGCGCTTAAGATCCGAACCAGCGACCCCTCTTATTTACGGCAAGGATCTTAGCCATTCGGCCAACCTTCTGGGCCCTGAGACAAGCTTCAACTACTACAAAACAAAAGAAGAAACTTTATTAGCATTTTCTTCTTCTTTTTTCCGCCGTCAGGATCCAAACCAACGACCCCTCTTGCTTCGTTCAAGACATTCAGCCACTCTCCCACCTGTCGGTCAAAGTTGATGGGTCTCGCCACGCATTCGCCGCCCCGACGTTCTTGTACGATGACCCGCAAGGCTCCGACGGCCAGGTACTTGGCCGTTGATTCCAGTTCTCCGCGGAGCTTTTCAACGAGGAATCGCATGATTTCCGGGCAAATTCGAGGGTCCCTTAAATGATCTTTTTGTGGAATCGTATTAAATCGATAGAGCCTTATATGATGAATGAATCTATACATATTTTTATTCTGCAACTTCTTCAAAAATTCGAGTTACAAGCTAGAAAAAAAATCAGTTCCTCAAAAGGTTTCAATTTTTGAAGAAATATCAAGATTTTTAGGTGAAATTGAGAGCATTTTTCATCATTGTTTAAACAAGAAACTTCCTGGTTTTTATAAAATTTTGGAAACAGGGAAGTCATCCAAATCCATGTTACTCTATTTTTTTCTTTTTTCGTGAACATTTTTCGAAAAAACTCACTCTTGCGCGTCTTTCCTCATCTTGGTCTGGTTCAGCAGTGCGCTCAGCAAGACCCAGGCTTTATTTACGTATCGGGGGTTCATTTGGCTGAAAATTTTCGAAAGTTAGCCATGGAGCGCAAAAGGAAATGTAAAAAGGCTGTTTTTTCAAAAACTTTTTCTTCGTCTTTTTTCTTCTTTTTTTGGCTAATCAACCTGGATTTTTCTGTTTATTCAACAAAAAAGTATTTTTCGATATTTTTATTCTAAAAAAAACCAATAAAAGCAAGAAAATTGAAGATAATTGGATTCAGGCCAAGCTTTGGCTTTTTCCATAAAATTGTAAACTTTTCTTTTTCCCCGTCTTTTAACCACCTACCAGTGAAGAAATTCCTTTGATAACAAAAAAATCAAAAAAAAGCTCTTAAAACCAACTTTTCTTGAAGGAAAACTACTCGAAAACAGCCCAAAAATCTGAAATTTTTTTTGAAAATTTGCTTGGTTTTTTTGTTCATTTAATGTCAATTCTACGCAGGGATTTTCAACTCTGATTCTTTTTTCAGTGTTCTGGTTTTTAACTATTAAAAAAATTCAATAAATGTCCGAAATCCCCCATTCTCGTCCAACATATCATACGTTTCCCCGCATTTTCATAATATAATTGAATCTCATTTCTACAATCAGTCATAGCTCATTTGCAAACTTTATCAGAACAGCCTTTAATAATCCTAAATTATAGCTGATTCACGGCTGGCTTGAGCCATCGAAAAAGGGTCCTGGCACGATTTAAAAAATGAAGAGACAGTGCCTATTTGGTGGAGAGCGCAGACAGGCCACGCCCCCTTTTAGTCGTGAATCGAATATACTCCTATTTCTGATCAGTTAAGCTTTTTTCCCACGACTTTTTTTTGGCGACTGCCCGTGACATTTTTTCCGTAAAGTGTAGTGTGTCGTGTGCATACACAGCGGCGCTCTGGCACAGAAAAATCGCGTTGTTTTAAAAGGAGAAGTATAGTCAGTTCAGATTTCAAATATAAAGTCTTCGCTGAAGCTCCGCCCCCTAATGGCGCGATAAACCAATCAGAGAGCAAGGCACCTACAGAGCGTTTTCGAATGACGTCATTCTACTTGATATTCAAAATCTGAACAGACTATAGATTCGTCTCGTGACCCATTGAACATGCGCCTTCAATATTTTCTGTTGTTTACGCGTTTTTCTCATGACGTCACATGGGGACGGCGGAGGTTTTGACCACGCCCCCTTAATTTTTGGTTTTGCATTTTATTTTCCACTAATAAAACCGCCGTGTTCAAAGCTAAATTCGACTTTAAAATTTAAAAATTTTGAAAAAAATCTTTTTGTCAAATATTTTTCAAACCTCTAACACTTCTAATTTCCTCCTGATTTTATCAATAAAATTAATTTTGAAGTTTCGACTTTTAGCTTTGAAAAAAGTCTTAATAAGGTTCCTAAAATCTCGCAGAACGAGTTGAAAAGACCAACTTGACTCGCTGAACAATCACTGGGAACAGACCGAACACGTTGCTCGATCTTTTGACGTCTCGATTGTGTTTTTCGATGATTGCCCGGCAAGTTCGGCTTTTCGTCGCCGCGTGGTAGAGGACTGTCAGGGTGATGCTGACCACCTGGAATCAACAAAACTAATGAATTTAGTTGAAAAGTGAATAAAATAGGAACAAGAAATGAAAAAAAGGACGAAAATGAAGACAAGTTTGTAACCAAGGGTGTACCCCGTTTAGTTTCAAATGCCTATTAAAGTACTTCTTCCGTACAAGATTTCGAAGTGGCTCGTTTCACAATATCATCATTTCATAAAGTTTCATAAAAAATTGTTTCGGTATTTCCAAGAAAACTTTTTTTTGAACTTTTGTCTCAAGGGTGCCCGCCAGATCTAACCGAAAACAGCGACGTGTATGCAGATGCTTTTTTTTGTCTTCCTATGATTTTCTTCATTTTTTTTTGACGCAATAACCAAACAAGGTTTCGAGAGCTAAACGAAAGGTTTTCTTTTTCGACACCGCCCCTTTCTAGGGTTAAGGTGTGGAAATACCAGAAAACTTTTTTTTCGACCGAAATAAATGAACCATTTTTGAGTACAAAATCCCTTTTGAATAAATTTTTTAAATAGTCGAAAAACACTTGAAAAAAGGTTTCAAGGCATATCTTTGCACTTAAAAAGACTGAAAAGCTTCCATTTTCCACGAGAAAACCGTGATTCCAATAAATTTATTTAAGCTTTGATCATTTCAAAATAAAGTTGATTGACTCCTAAAGAGGTGTCTAAAAAATAGTGATGTAGTAGTACCGCTAAGACTTCTAAAGAGGCCACTAAAACGACTACTATAGTTGCCAATAAACGTCAAAAATCCCTATAGAGGCCACTCAAAATTTCCCAGAAAATGATATGAAAAACTTCATTTGGAAGTGAAACTCAATCAAAATCCTCTGAAAAATGGTGATTGATGAATTTTTCGTTTTAAAAAAAGCAGATTGGATCAGTTATGTTGATCCGTTGACCCCTCAAGTGGCCACTAAATTTTAACCCTTTAAGTGGCCACTAATTTGACTACTATAGTGGCTACTAAAACGTCAAAAATCCCTAAAGTGTGCACTAGAAATTTTCCTAAAAAAAAACTTCATTTGGAAAATAAGTTCAATGAAAAGCCACTAGGAAAAGGGCGTTAAATGAATTTTTTGTCATGAAATTGCTGTAAAAGGCCAAATTTTCCCTTCATATCCTCCTAAAAACGTTCGTAATTTCAAGAAAAGAATTTCCCTTCGTTAACACTTGCAAGTTACAGAAAGAGAAAAACGAACCGCCTCGCTGTGCTCGGTCTCGTTGGGCCGTGGGACGAGCTGCATGAAGAGGCATTTGACGAGATCGAGGAGCTTCTTCTTGGAGGCGTGGCCAATCGCGAACTGTTCCGTTGCCAATGCGCCGCCCGTCCGGCATTTCGTCATTGTTAGGGGGTAGAGGGTCCCTCGGAGGACTTCCAATTTCCGTTCCTGGAAAGGGAGAAGATTTTTTCAAGCATTATCAACTTCCTCTGTATTTTTTTAAGCTCTAAAGGGGGGTGGGGGGGCTTTTTCTGAGAAGCATCCGAGGCCGAATTTGAATGGAAAAAAATTTTTTGATTTTTGCGAAAACGCGACCGCTTTGCACAGATAAAACACCACAATTTTTAATATTTCAAAACTCAATCTCTACTGGAAAATAACAATAGAAACCTGGCAGACAATTTTTTTGGGATTTTTCCTAAAAAAATGGCCAGAACGCTCCTAGATGTACCAAGAAAAGTAAAGAATTGATCGATTCAAATTAACAAATAAAATGAGGTTTCTAATTTTTAAAAAAACCGGTCAAAATTTCAAGGCAAAAAAAATGTTTTTTTCAATGACTTTCCATTTTTTTGATTTCCCCGTTAAGATACGTTTCCTGATTTGTATGAAAATGGTGAGTTTGAGAAATATTCGTTGGGATCGAAATAGTTCCATAATTATATTATTCGAATAATTCAGAAAGAAAGAGAGGAAAAATATAAACAAAATGAGGTTTGAAAGTGAAATCTTGATGAAAAATAAAAACCGTGAAAATGATCATTTTTATCGTTTGTCTTTCTTGATAAGTTGAGTTTCATCATTTGTATGAATAGGCAGAAGTTATAAATATCATCGATTTGAGGGTTTTATTTGCCACAATCCAAAAATTATATCAGTGAGTCTGAAAAGGACATAAATTTAATTAAAGGGTTGGACTTGAAAAAAAAATGAAGGCTGAAACAGAGATTAGCAAGTAGAGAATTGAATTTGTCCGGGCTTCCAAAAATTGACCGAAAAGCCTAGGAAAAGCTATTTCCAAGCTCAGGGAGGTAGTGTCCAACCTCACAAGGGGGGATTTTACTTTGCGGTTGGGATTTCCCTAAACATTGGCCAGAACGCTCCTAGATGTTCCAAGAAAAGATGCTGAAAGTCTCAACTTGCACAGCATCCTCGTTTTCGGAAAAAGACGCTTCAAAGTCAAACAAAACCCTTAAAATCCATTGAAAAAGGCTATTTCGGGCTTTAGGCCCTTATTTTCTCGAAAACTTGAAAGTTTTGCCGGTTAGGACTCCTACATAGGTAAAACGGAAAAGTTCCTTTGAGGATCCTGAGATATAAAGCTTCCTCTAAAAGCTCCTAAAATGATGTAAAAAAGCTTTTGAGCTCCTTTTTCATAGCTTCAGAGGATCCTTTTTGAATCCTCTCGGATCTTTTTAGTTGTTTTCCAGCATCCTTTTTGTCAGAGGATGTGAAAAAGATGCAAAAAAGAAAAGAAACGATATAAAAAAGTTCTGCTGGGGACCCTTTCAAGGTATTTCTTTGAGAAAAGCTTTTTGGGGAGCTTTTCAGTTTTGCCCGAGTAGGATCTTCATCCGGTCCATCAAGAAGGATCCCGGCCAAATTTCAGAAAATTCCCAAACGCAAAGTAAAATGACCATCCTGTGAGACGTACTAAGAGTGCAACAAAATTGATCAAACTAAACAGTCTGATTAAAAAATGTTTTTTGAAACAAGGAAATCGGGGAACTTTTTGATTTATTCTTTTTATGATTTTCCAAGGAAGAGCGGTCTTTTTTTGCTGAAATGTTCCAAATGTTCCAGAAAACGTCTGAAATTTCTCGAATTCGTATGAAAAAAAATCTGGTTTTAACAGAAAAAAACTGGATTTTTTCAGGTTAATTTTTCGTAATTAATTTAATTTTTAAATGTAAAAAAATGAACTAATTCCAAGAATCTGTTTTTTTAGGTTAAACGCCGGAAATGCTTCAAATCTACTATAATTATCTACATTCAACAGTGAAAAAAATATAAAAGTCTTTGAAAAAAAATTTTTTTAAACCTTTAAAATGCTCTGAAATTCGACGTAATAACCAACTTTCAATGGAGAAAAATCAAAAGATCCCCTTTTTTCGGAATTTTCCAACGAACCCAGTTGTTTTCTCGCTGGAGCACCCTAACGGCTCCTTCCACCGCCGATTCGATATCTCTCAACATGTTCGGATTTTCGTTTTCCGTTGAGGACGACGCAGAAACGGTCGACAGAGCGTTGGGCATCTGGAAAAGGGAAAATTCAAGTTGATGAGGTTCCAGTTTCAAAAAAAAATCATATTTATTCGGACGAGAATCTTAAATCAATCAATTCAGGGTCGCATGCTGAATGGCTCAATAAGTTAGCAATTGCGCCCGACCGAAAACGACTTTCGCTTTGGCGACGCTTTGAGCCATTCTACCTGCGACCATCTTCAATTCGATCAACTCAACATGAAAACAAAAATTCTGTCAAATCTTGCAGACTCAAGAAAAAACTCTCTATACTTCAAAAAAAAAACTCTTTATTTTGCCCCTCATTTCACCCCTCAAGTGGTCCCTTAAGTGACACGAACCTGGGCATTCTGAGCGTACATATAAGGATAGTTGGCGACATTCGTGTCCACACTCAAAGTCGACAATCCGGCGATGGAAAATAACGATATTTCCGTGTGACACGATGTCGCGGACGATATCGCTGAGCCGACCTGAAAAATGGAGATTAGTCTTTAAAATTCGGCTCAAAATAAAACTCAGACTTTTCAAAAGCCATGCCACAGTCGGAATGGCTCTTAGTCTAGTTTTACCAAGTTTTGATCAATTTTAGCCATTCCAAATGCGACCATAGTCTCACCGAATGGTGTTCTGGCCAGGAACTTTCAGAACTTCAATTAAAACTTCCCCAGATTTTTCAGAAGTCATGCCACAGTTATAATGGCTCTTAGTTTAGCTTTACGATGTTTTAATCAATTTCAGCCATTCCAAATGCGGTCTTGGCCTTACCAAGTCAATTTCTAGCTAGGAACATCCAGAGCTTCAATTAAAGACTTCCTCAGATTTTTCAGAAATTATGCCACAGTCGGAGTGGCTCTGTCTCATTTCACTAGGTTTTCATCGATTTTAGCCATTCCAAATGCGGTCTTGTTTCACCAGGCTCACTGACATGACTTCCAGGCCTCGAGGGCCTCTGCAAGTACTGCTGTTGGTGGTGATCTTGGAGCCAGCCGTTCGTCATGTTGATCCGGCGCGACTGTTGCTGCAGCTGGGCGACGCGGTCGCCGCCGTTTTGGGCCCGGAATGGCGAATTTTGAGCCTGCTGCATGCCTCCTGAAACATGAGTTTTTCTCAGGTTGTATGAAAAATCTTGGAAAGACCATGCTTTCTGTTTTCAAAAGGCTTTTCTTTAATAAAATAAAAAAAATCCTATGAAGCTAGAAAATACCGGGAAGGTCAAGCCTTGTTTTAAGTACAACTCTTCAAAAAAATTCTTAATAAAATCACGAAATTTTTTTAAAAAAATATCATATAGATCATACTTAATGTAAATAGAAGGCTTCTTGATAATTTTAAAAAAATCAAAAAGAAAAAAATAAAATTATCGAAAAGCCTCAAACTGAAAGTCTTTTTTTGATAATTAGGAAAGTCAGGAGAAGAACTAAAAACTATGGCTTCTTAAAATAAAAATCTTGAAAAATCCTAGAAAAAAAAATCTATTATTTACTTAGAAAAGAGCCTAAATTTTAATATTACAGAATATTTGGAATTTTCTCAAACTTAAAGATAATAAAATCATTTTTGTTCTTGATTCCTATGAGATTCGATAGTATAGAAACAACAACTTGGAGCAAAAAAATCAAAAAATTACTGAAAATAGAGATAAGGAGCTTCTGAAGAGGCTCCAGAGAAAGAAAATAGTTGTCTCGTCTGCCGTCTCTTCAGAAGTCACTTGATCTCTTTTTTCAATTTCGACCCTTCGAAATAAAATAACTAATGCAAGGCTACTAGGTGAAAAATCTTCAAACCGAACATTTTCAAAAATCGCTTTCGATTTCATTCTGGAAACGAAGCGGGAAAGTGAAATAAAAAGAAAATTGATAAAATCGACGGCCAACAGAACGAAAATTGTTATGAGAAAGGAGGAAAAGAGGGATTTTCGATTTAAAAATCTTACGAAACATTTTATTTCTTTTATTTTTAACTTGTTCCTCGTTCATGTTTCATTGATCCCGGAAAAACATAATTTTTCTTGGCCTTTTTTTCCAGACCTTTTTTTCCAAAAATGTTCAAGTTTTTTATATAACTTCTATCAAAAAGACAAAAAAAAGCTTAGAATCGTGACCCAGTTGTATTACCAGAAAGAAAGTTAAATTTAACCTCTGAAAATTGGAGAAAAAAACTTATAAAGCTACAAATAATTGGACGAAAAGCCTGGGAATATGAATAGACATTTGAACTTTTGCGGTGGGAAAAACACTAATTTTATTTCGAGTTCAAAAATAGGCCAAGAAGTCAAAAAACAAGGTCGAGAATTCAATTTTATTATCAAATTATTCCTTTTCGACTGGACTTTTTTTCAGATTTATCAGATTTATTTTTTTCGAAAAAAATGATTAGATTTATGTTACAGAAATACATGTAAAAAGGGTCAAATTTTTTTCAAAAAAATATAGATTTTTCGCATAGAAAAAGCGCTTCAAAATGACAATTTCGAGCAAAAATTTTTTTGAGAAAAAAATCGATTAAAAAAATATTCTTTTTTTGAAAATCTTTATCAATACAACCTTTCAAAGCTTAAACTGGTCTTGCAGATTAACTGAACAAATTTAAAATTCAAAAAAACCCCCTTCTAATGACTTTTATCATCTCATGAATCTATCAAAAGTTCAGAATAGGACGAACCCTGAGGCGTCTGGAGGCGTGACGGAGTCCTGGGAGGGGCGGAGCCGAATCCGATTGGTCCTGGCGTCGACGGCGCCGTCGACGTCGACGGAATCGACGGGTCGAACGAGGCGACAGAAGCGGGCGTCGACGGGGTCACCGCGCCGTCCGCAAAGTCCATCACCTCCATTTTGGCTGGAAATAATGGAAAAATTAATGGGGAGCCTTCTCTTTTTATTTGGAAAAGATTAACACGAACTAAATTGCTGATGAGAGAGTAAAGAGCGCAGACAAGTCAGAAATTGAAAAAAAAGGATAAAAATCGGGAAAAATCGGGCGCACCCATGACCTCCATTTCGGCTGAAAATAATGGGAAAACTGATTGAAAATCCTCGATTTTTATTTTTGAAAATGTTCAGAAGAATTATATGGCTAATGAGAAAGTAGAGAGCGCAGACAAGTCAGAAATTGGAAGAAAGGAGAAAAATCGCTTAAAATTGGGCGCACCCATGAACTTCCTTTTGGCTAAAAAAAAGAAAAATCGATATAAAATAAGCAATTTCCATTTTTGAAAAGTTCAGAAAGGATTGAGAAAAGCTTCTAGGAAATTTGCAAGGAAAAAAAGAAAGTATCAGATTTTTTTACGATTATTCACGAGCAATGCTTTGTATGTAAAAAAAAAAATGAGCTCTAACTTAAAATTTTCCAGCAAAAAAATAAACATTTCGGTCAAGATAATCATTTAGGTGAACATTATTATCATTTGAAACGTTAGAACAAAAAAAAAATCAAAAAAAAGTTTTTTTATTGGAAAAAAAAACAACTTTGCGTAAAACACGCTACACCCTTCACGCGCGCGTAACATTGCACACTTTCATTTCGAAAAAAATCTGAAGTAAAAAGTTTGGAATTGAGATAAAAATATGAAACACTAAAAAAATTAAGAAACCTATAAAACCGTACCATATGCAATTTTTAAATCGCTTAAAAAATTCCAAAAAAAATTCCAAACATTTTCCTTCCGAAAAAAGAGGAAAACCAACAGTAAAATTTAAAAAATGCTCTTAGTCCGTACCATCCGCACTTTAAAAGTGGTCAAAAATGGCGAAAAGACCTGATTTTCTTTTAAAATGAAGCTTGATTTTGTTAATTTTTTGCGGACGGTAGAACACAAAAATGTCAGAAAAAAAAGCAGTATAAACACCAAAATCCCGTACTTTACAATACAAATCAGATTTTTTTCAAGATTCATTTTGAAAAACCGACCAGAAAGCGCACAAAAATCCGTACCGTCCGCACTTTAAAAGTGGTCAAAAAGGCGAAAAGACCTGATTTTTTTTTCACTTGGAAAAAGGACAGACAAATACGAAAAAAGGATTAAAAAAATCGAGAATCTGTACCGTCCGCACTTCAAAAGTCTAATCAAACTTTTCTCAAGATTTATTTTTAAAAACCGACCAGAATGCACAAAAACCCGTACCGTCCGCACTTTAAAAGTGGTCAAAAATGGCGAAAAAACCACCTTTTTATTCAAAATGAAACTCGATATGCTGATTTTTTACTTGGAAAAAAAAAACAGAGAAATCCCAAAAATAGAGTAAAAAAATCCAGAATCTGTAGCGTTCGTATTTCAAAAGTGTAATCAAGATTCATTTTTGAAAAAAACTGATCAGAAAGCACAAAAAAATCCTTACCGTCCGCACTTTAAAAAGTGGTCAAAAATGGCGGAAAAACCACCTTTTTTATTAAAAAATGAAGCTCGATTTTCTAATATTTACTTGGAAAAGAAACAGAAAAATCTGAAAAAAGCATTAAAAAAATCGAGAATCTGTACCGTCCGCACTTTAAAAGTCTTATCAAACTTTTCTCAAGATTTATTTCAAAAAACCGACCAGAAATCACAAAAATCCGTACCGTCCGTACTTTAAAAGTGGTCAAAATGGGAAAGAACCCTAAACATACCCGAGAGACAGGTGTTCTTGTGTGTGTATTGAGTGCGTGCTGATGATGATGTGCCATATTTGGTCAGTGGGGAGAGAAAGAAAAAAAGAGAGGGACGCCTCGATCTCACACATTCGTCCAATTATGGGGTTCACTCATTTGGCCCACTGCCCGAATGATTGATGGCCGTGAAGAGAAGGAGTCACTTAAGGTACCACTTGAAGAGTTCTGGAGTGAGTTATTAGAGAAAATTGGTCTCTTAAGGGAAAGAAGCTTTCTGAACCAGTTTCAAAAAGGTTTGAACGGAAAAATTATTATATAAATTCCTGGCCATGAAGGAAATGAAAGAAATGTCACTTAAGATGCCACTTGAGAAGTTCTAGAGAAGCTTACTAGATAAAAGTGGTCTCTTCAGTGGAAACAGATCTTGAAGCGAGAAAATATGATTTTGAAAGGTTTGACTAGAAAAAATGTATCATTGTTACTATGACCACCATGAAGAGTAAGATGAGCTCACTTAAGGTGCCACTTGAGAAGTTCTAGAGTGAGTTATTAGGAAAAAGTGGTCTCTTAAGAGAAAGAAGCTTTCTAAACCAGTTTTAAAAAGTATGAGCAAAAAAATTACTATTGATATTCCTGGCCATGAAGAGAGAGAAAAAGAGGTCACCTAAAGCGCCACTTTGAGAAGTTCTAGAGCAATTTATTAGACCAAAAAAATGGTCCCTTAAGTGGAAACAGACCTCTGGAGCAAAAAAATAAGATCAAAAAAATTGATTACAACCAACATTTCTGATCATGAAAAAGCGATATACAGAGCTCACTTAAGGTGCCATTTGAGAAGTTCTAGAGTGGCTTACTTGAAAAAAAGTGGTCTCTTGAGGAAAAAAACTCTTGAACGAAAAAATGATTATAATATTACGGCTATGATGAAAAAATAGAGCGATCACTTAAGGTGCCACTAGGAAATTTCTAAGGTGAATCATTCGAGAAAAGGTTTTTAACGAATAAGAAGTGAAGTTCCACTTAAGGGGTCCCTTTTGAAGTTCAGGGGTGATTAATTAGGAGAATCAGTCTCAAATGGAAACAGAGGCCTGGAGCAAAAAGCGGAGATTTAAAAAATTACAAAAATATTCCTGGCCATGGAAGGCGACTTACAGAGGTCACCACTCGAGAAATTCTAGTGAATTATCAGAGAAAAGTTTTTTTCTAGCCTCAAACCAAATTTTTGACTCAAAATGCTTAATTTTGATACATTTCGACCCAAAAAACAGAGTCACTCAAAAGTTAGTCGATTCCCCCTCGAAAACCCTACATTTATTGAGTAATTACCAAATTCTGGTCAGTTCAGTTGCCATGACGATTACGTTTCAACCAACTCATTTTTAAAGGAATTAGTTTTTGTCGAGTTCATCGCATATTATGATTTGGTATATATTCAAATATTTTTTATACTTGGTTCAACTTTAAAATGGGCTATATTCAAGCAGGGAAAATAATTTTTTATCGGATCAAAAAACGTAAAAAATATTAAATTTTATTTGGTCGGGTAGCCGAATTTTTCTTCCTACTCTGGGTCTTTTTGGTTTCTTTTAAAGTGCGGATGGTTTTTTTATTTAAAGCTTACTTTCTTGATTTCCAAATTGTAAGGTAAAAAAACGACACACATTTGAGCTTTTATTTGAGAAAATCAAGAATTTTCAACATTTTTGTTGCATTTTCGATTGATTCCAAGTTTTTTACCTCCGCGCGCAAGTCGGTTTTGGTCCGGCGCTTCAGAAGATATTCCAAGTACGACTAAGTCTCGCTTATTTTTGAAGGAAAAATTTAGAGCAATTTTTTTTTAGGACACTAAAGCGGCCACTTAACCCACCTCTATAGTGGCCACTAAGTTTTAGCCCTTCAAGTGGCCACTAATTTGACTGCTATAGTGGCCACTAAAACGTCTAAACCCTATAGCGGACACTAAAAATTTCCCCAGAAGAAAATAAAAGCTACTTTGACAATACCGGATTATTAAAAAAAATGAAAAAAACCTTTAATTATTCAAAAAAATCTCCAATACAGTTAAGTGATCTTCAACCGGAATTTTTTATTTCAAAACTACTTTAAACAAAAAAAAGTTAATTTTAAAAGTTCTTTGAAAGTATAATAGCGCGAAAAAAGAGAGGAAAGTGTAAAATATCTACCTGAAACATTAATTTTATGAAGATAAATACAAAAAACCGAAAAAATTCGAAAAAATCGAGAATTAGTTCAAATTATAGACCGATTAATGAAAAAAATTTCAAAAACACTGGGAAAATTCTTAGTGGCCACTATAGGGTTGTGACGTTTTTAGTGGCCACTATAGTAGTAAAATTAGTGGCCCCTTAAGGGGTTAAAAAAATTAGTGTCCACTAAAAAAACTTTCCCAGCAAAAATTTTTTTCTTAAATCTTTAAAACTGAAAAAAATTCAAAATAAAGAAGACAACAATTTTTTTGTACGAAAAAAAGTCTCTCGAAATGCAAATAATCGCGGGTAAATGGCCCCATAAAAAGCGGTATCAAAATTCGAATGGCCAATTTCGACGACGGCCGCTACATTTTTTTTTCGATTTCTGTTGACGAATGAAATTTTTTTTAATGTCAGAAAAGGCAGTAAATTTGCTCAAAAAACCAAAAAAAAAGCCTTTTTTTCATGGATATTTTTTGTGGACAGTTATCGAAAAATTTGATGATTTTTGACTACAAAAAAATTTTTTTACGAGAAAAATTCGAAAAAAAGTTTCGTTTAAGCTCTCATGATTGATATGATCCAACAACCAATGAAACTAAAAAAACCAAAAAAAATAATTTTTCGAAAAATCCCATAGGTTTATAACGTCTGAGATTCTAGCAAAAAAATGATTTCTTGAAAAAAATCTTCAAAATTCCACATTTTTTTAAACAGAAAAAAAGGTCAAAATGTTTTTTTCATGTTGAAAGGAGTTCAAGGAAAAAAATGAAAGATGCAGTTCAAAAAAATTCAAAAAAATTTGAAAGCTTTCCAAAATTTCCTTCGAAAAGTTTCAAAATATCGATTTAGAGATTTTTGAGTTCATCAAAATCAAAAAGAAACAGGTTGAATCGGCCCAAAAAGACTGAAAAAAACCTGTAAAACCCTACAAAAAAACCATTTTTCCATCCATAAAAAAATTTTTAAAAAAAAACTATTCTTTGTAGTAAATCCACATTGAATGGTTGACTCGAAATCTCAAAATCTCTCCAAAATCAGGTCTAAGAATCTAATCAAACATGAGAGCACATAGAAAAGCCAAAAAAGGTCCAGAAAAAAAAAACGAGAAAAAAAGGACAACCAACAGAAAAAAAAGGTAGAAGGTCCAAGTGGTCCAAAACGATCCAAAAAAGGGCGCGAAAAAGATAGCAATTGACCTGGGAACTTTTTTCGAGGGTCATTAACACATTTTGCGTTGGAAAATCGTGCAATTTGAGTGACAGACATGTCAAAATCGAATAATTTAACGCATATTATGGGGTAATTCCCTTATATTCGAGTATTCAACAATTTAAAACTCAAAAAACCAAGTTGAATCGAAAAAAAGAGTTATTTCAAGAAATAAACCCTTTCACTGACTTTTAACTCATAAAAACTTGAAGAAACTATGAAAATTCAATAAATAAAAAATGGTCCTGGAACGATTAGCGAAACAGCAGGGGAAAATTAGAAAGTCCTACAGTAATCCTTGATTTTTTTGATCTATTCTCAGGATGCTTTCACTGTATCGAGTATATAAAATTTTAATTACCCGGTACTCTAAAAATCAGGATTTTTTGAACAATTTAAAGGCGCATAGGGTCCGAAAACCTCGAAAACCCGGCACGAAACATTTTACAGGGCTCTCAAAATCTACAGAAACCTGTTTTGAATGGATTTTCTTTTTCAAACTCAAACGTATACTGATTTCCTGGATTTTTAAAGGCGCATAGTGATTTTCAAAAAACCTCTTGCGCCTTTAAAATGTCCAGTACTTCATTAAATAAAATTTTTCGAAAATCAGATTCTTTTTTTCTGGATTTCCTGGTGCAAAACTTTGATTTATAGTTCAAATATTATAATAAGTCGATTTTTACGAAAAATTGAATATAGTTATTCATACATATCGATAAAAGAACTAATGACCGCACTTTACAAGTCGGGGGAAAACAGGAAACTTGAGAGCCGATGACGTCACGCTGAGCACATAAGGTCAAGCGATATTTACATAACTCGACAGGTAATTTGAGAGTCGATGCGCAGCCAATTCTAAGTAAACATTTGGGAAATGATGTGTTTTTCTACACACTTTTACCGTTTCGAAAGCTTGAGAAAATTTTTTTTGGTTTTCGAAGGAAGATTTTCAAGCGAGAAAAAAAGCCACTTTGATACTCGATAACGAAAATTTTGCTCCGGATGCTTCTGGACTATTCAAGGGATCACTTAAGAGTGCTGACGCTACTAGAACGGTCACTAGAAATTTCCGTTCGTTTCGAAGCTTCAAAAATATTTTTCGAAAATTCAAAAATGGTCTTCAAAATTTCAAAAAAATGTCTCTTAAAAAAATTCAAAAATGGTCCGTTTTTGTTGCATTTTGGGATTTTAGGCGTCTTCTTCGTTCTAAAAACAGAATTAGCCCTTTTTAAATGTGTGAATCTTCTCAAAGCAATATCAACTGAGAAAATAGAAAATTTTCCTTACTTTCCCCGAAAATGTTTCTAGATTTTCCAATTTCGAACATTGCCATGACGAAGCCATCAAGAGCCGTTCAAAAAAACCCGGAATATTCTATGAAAAAAAGCGAAAAAAATATCTTTCCGTTTTATTTTTTTCTGAACGAATCTAATACATCCTTACATAACTATGAAAAAAAATCCTGCAAAAACGAAGAAATAGTAAAAACTTGCGGATTATAATTTTTAATTTTTGCGCGGGATGACTAACAAAGGGTGCGACATTGCGTCATTCCGCCGTGATAAGTGTGTTTTTAAGCAAAAAAAAGGCATTTTTTCAGTATTTTACTTCTTTTAAAACTTTTTTTTCCTTTCTAAAACTCCACTTTCGCTTATGTACATAAAGTTGGTAAAATTGAAATTTAAGACAGTTTTAACAAGAAAAATACATTTAATAAGTTCTCTGTGTAATTTATCAATTTTTTCTTCGATTTTTCAGGGTGCTGTAGTTAACAAAAACCCAGGAAACTCCATCGCAAGGACTTACTCAAAATTATTTAAGCTAAAAGGTGTGAGAATATAATGATGACTGTCTTAAAAATGACAAAATACAGCAATTGTGTGGTTTTAAAAATAGTTAAAGTTAAATTTCAATTAATAAAATTTGCGAGAGACCCCATGGCCGCACTGGGAATGGCTCTACAGGCGACGTGGTAGATTCAAAACGCGTCCGACCCAAAACGACTTGCGCGTGGGAGCATCGGAATGCATTCTAGCGAACCAAGGGCTTTCAAAATTCAAAACAAAGCAGAAAAGTATGTCAATAGCACCATTTCCCAAGAAACAAACCAAAACGAGACAATGAGGAAGAAATTGGGGGGATTTTTCAAGATTTACGAGGTGAGTTTCAACAGAAGGGACGCAAGAAATGGGCAAATTTATGGCCCCACGCGCGACGGTCGTAAAAAATCAACACAAAACCCTTTTACATCACTTTAGTGTTTCGAAGATGGGATATCAAATGAAAAGTCTGTTTTTTTACGATAATTTCTGGCTTTTAATTGCGACATGTTATTTTTCTTCCAGGCTTATTTCCATGTTATAAAGTGAAAAAAACCCTCAAGTGCTCACTCATCGAAAAATTTTCAAAAGTATACTCAGGCCCTTATGAATAATAACTACAATAATATTAAAAGCTCGCACTTCAAAAATTGGAAATTTTCAAAAATTCAATGAAATTCATCTTCATAAAAAGCTAGAAATCATATTTTCTTTTCAAAAAACACTCAAGAGACCTCTTGAGACCTTCAACTCCTCCAGTGACCACTTCAAATAATTTTGTTTGGACATGACAAAAATGTTACGACGGTCTTCATGCGCTGGAAGGTTAAAATAACGACCGGTAGAGAGTATGAAAAAGTGAGAGAGCGGCAGACATTAAGCGAGAGAGCATTGTTGACCGCGGAGTGCGACAGACGACGAGACGGTTCGTCACCCGCCGGGAAACGGCAAAAATTTGAATTTTTTGACCTTTTTAATGGGATTCTGTGGGTTCATCTTGCAAAATTGATTGTTTAAGGGATTTCAGATGAGCAGGGAGGTACTGACAAATCTTAAGATTTTTTTAAAGATACAAAAAATTAAAAATTGCTCAAAATTTGAATTTTTTTTTCGTTTTTCAAACTATTTTTTATAAGTCTCCAACCTACAGTAGTTTCAAAAACATTGAGAAATCTTGTCAAAACTGAAAAATATCAGAAACGAGCTTCAGAAGCCTCAAAAATAACCAAAATGGCTCAATAGGATTCGAAGAAGCCTTAAAAGTACTGAAATCCCTCAAAAAGCTGCAATTTTCATGTTTCAAAACTTGCTGATCAAACTAAATCTTCCTACAAAAATCTTAGAAGCATTAACGGATCTTCTAAAAAAAGCTTTAGAATACTGAAAAAAACACAAAAAATGACAAAAAAGCTCAAAAGCTCAAAACTCTGGCTCAAAACTGGCGCTCGTTAAAAAAAAAAATGGAGTTTTCAACTTTAAAAAAATTCCCTAAACTTCTAGTCGGTAATTAAAGATGATAAAATTATTTAAAAACAAGCAATTGGTCAGAAAAAGATAAGGAAGCCTCAAAAAATGACCAAAAACCGCTCTTCAACTGTAAACTTTCTTTAAAAAACGATTCTAAAAGAAAAATAAAAAAAACAAATTAGAACGAAAAAAAAACGTATAAATGAGAGGATGGACGTGAAAATCCCGAAATGCATTGGTTTCAATGAAACCAAATAACCGAATGACGATCAAGGATTAACAATGTCAATTCGAGATCTTCATTCAAAAAAACATAACATTAACCTTTCAAAGGGGACATATTATGAAATTTATTTACATTCCAGTATTATATTCGAAATCGTTCAAAAAAATTGAAATTAAGATCCAAAAAAAATATTTGAGAGAAGTTTTAGATTATAATTTTAACTTTGAGCCTTGATTCATCATCGCAAAAAAATAGAAAATTGCTGGAATAGCGAAAATAATCGATTTTTTTAGACGATGATCACAACTAAAGTTCAAATTATTTTTCACGAAATGATTTAAAAAGAGCTTCTATACTACAAATAGAATGTATCTTGCTCTCAAAAAAATAAATATATCTTCCAAAAAGCTAGAAAAATACAAAGAAAATAGTCGAAGTAGCTTTAAAAAGAGACAAAATTGCTAGCCTTAACGAGTCAAAAATTATTCAAAAAGGAAAAAAAAATTCAAGAACACTTTAATGACAAAAAGTGTTAGAAATATTTAATTTTTAGCAATTTTAAGAATTGAAAGAAAGAAATAATGACACACGAAGCCTGAAAAATCACTAAAAATCGCAATTTTTTTAAATCAAAAATTTTTCTCAAAGTACTTATTGCGAAGAAAAATGACCTCGAAAAATACAAAAAAATGTTTAAAAAAATGTTTCAAACATACAACTAAGGTCATATAAATTTAAAAAAAAACATGAAATTTTTGAAGGAAGTCCATTTTTTTTAAAATAAAAATTTCAAACTCTCTCAATTCGAAATGAGCTTCGAAAAATACAGATGAAGCCTCAGAAAGTCCAAAAAACATGGAGAAAGCCTTTTAAAATTCCAAAAATGCACAAAAACTGCAATTTTTTTGAGATCAACTTTTCTCCAACCACTTCTTCCAACTACAATAGCCTCAAAAACGCGGATTGACTTCAAAAAACCCTCGAAAAGCACTCAAAAACGGATGAAAAGGTAAAAATAGAAGAATCAAATAGACGAAGACGAAGAAGGTGTAGAAAAGAACGACGCGCGGCGGGGACGTCTGGCGCGACAGACGCGCGCGAACGAGACAGCGTGCCGAAGCGAGAGGGCGCCTGCCGTACCGTACGGCAAGACAGGTCGACGGCGCGGCGCGAGAGAGTATTGCTGACCACAGAGGGGGCCAGACGACGAGCCGGTCGACCACCCGCCGCGAAACGCCGAAAATTCGAATTTTTTTTGACCTTCTTCGAGGGATTCGGAGGCTTGACCTGGTGTTAGCGAGTCCGAAAAGTAAGCACTTGAGTTTAAACCGGAAATTGAGGTGGTTAAGTAGAAACTTCTCAACTTTTACTGTAAATCCTGTATTTCCTGATTTTATAAGTTTCCAAGCTTATTGGAAGACAACTTGAGAAAAAAATTTTAAGAAAAATATATATAAATTATTTCAGGAACTTTTTTTGTCAAAAAAACGATCCATTTGAAATCAAGTTGAAAAAAATTAAATTTTTTTCAAGGCCATTTCGAAGAGATGAGTCTTTTTGTTTTTCTTATATGTTGTTTTTTTACAATATTTTTATAATTCCTAAGCAAAAAAAGAGCAGATATTTGCAGTGCCGAAGAAGGAAGAAACTGTTTGAAAAGCAAAAATTGGATAATTTCAAATTTGCGCGTGAGGAAAAACAAAGGGTGCGATATTGCGTCATTCCGATGTGAAAAAGTGTGTTTTTTTAAGCAAAAAAAGTTCTTTCTCGGATTTTTTTAAAATATTTTTTTCTGATATTTAGAAGTTTTAGTTTTACTCAAGTATATAGGATTGATAAAATTGACATTTTTGATAGTTCAAACAAGAAAAAAGGCTTCTTTTTCAATAATTTTAATTTACCAACTTGGCAAGGGTTCTTCAAAAAAATACATGAAAGTTTCAGGCCAAAAAATTTTTTGCAAGTCTCTTTTATGAATATTCCTGACTTATCAACCTGGATCTATGACTTCGACATAAGAAACAGGGAGGAAAAAAAAATGAACGAACCAGATGAAGATGGTCGATTGCGTAACGGAATCTCGCGTGACGATCTTCTCCAACAGATGGCCTTCGTCTGTTGTTCCCCAACAGACACACATTCTTTCAACGGCTAATCGGCCTGAAATGCCTTTCTTTATGATTTCAAACTCCCAAATTTCATCCGAACTGCGATAAAAATAGCAAAGCGAAACATCATTTTCTCGGATTTTCTTGATAAATCTTCGCTCAAATTTTGAAAATTTTCGACAATTTTACACAGCTTACCAATATTCTATAATTTTTATCACTGTACAAGATAATATTTTCTTAACAAGATGAAAAAAAATCTCAAACTTATTTCCGAAAAATCAGTTTTTGGGAACGAATCTCGACTTCGACGATTAAAAAACGATTATGGAATATTTTTTTAAAGCTTTATATGACCCAAAAAAATTGGCAAGAACCGGGGAATAGTTGATCAATCGCCTGCACATCTTACTTATATTCGAAAGAAATCTCGGAAGCGCAAATCTGCCATCGAAATGGATGAGTTTTTCGTAGCAGAAATGGTTTTCGGAGATTAAGAAGGGAAAAAATATCATAGTTCTTGTCAAAATGTGTAAAAAAAATCGATATACAAAATAAAAAACTTTCAAAACTGTGAAATTTTCATAAATTCACATATAAATGAAAAATATCCCAAAAATAGACGAGTTTTTCAAAGCACCCACGTCATAGAAAACTACAAGAAGCACTTTCCTGATATTTAAAAAAATATACTAAATTTGAATACGATGAAGAAAAATCTGACGTTACAAAAAAAACAACAAATTTTTACGAAATTTCAAGAAATTTCGTGCGAGTGTGCGTCGGTGTGTTTGCGTCGAACACACCGACCCGTATTTAAACGTCGCAGGAGCCGTTTTTCGTCATCAGTTTCTACTTTTTACTGTTTTACAAGGATTTTTAAAATTTTTCCGCTTAAAAAGGTGATAATGGTTTTTTCTATTGACAAGAAAGATAAAAACTCGAAATCGAGCCCTTTCTAAGGTGGTTTCAATATTATTTTGCGCTAAAATCGAAGAAAACTGCTCTTCTTTGTCTTTCCTGTCATTCTGAATACACAATTTGTGCAATAGAACTCACAAAATGCTTCAAAATATGGGGAAAAAAAAATAAAAAAACAACGTCTGAACAAAAATGTTTGCCCCGTTGACGTACGTTTTAAAAAATAATTAAAAACAAAAGTGAAGAAAAAGTTTTATTGGATGTTCCAAGCTACAAAAAAATTCGAAAACAATACATATATACAGAATTCCATGATATATACCACTGAAATTTAATTTTAAAAAAAATCTCTTTGAATACTTCTTCATGCCGAAAACTACCTTGAAAAACGTGATACGCAAAAATTTCATTTCTAAAATTTTTATCCTGCACAAAATCTCCAACGTAATCCTTATTAAGGAAGGGCAGATTTGTAGGTAATTATCCGGGTTTACCGTGGGATTATAAAAAGTTGGGTAATTTGACCGTGGCGCGCAGTTGTGTTGCGCAAAAGCAGAGTCTTCCGGTCAGTAGGCCCTTTTTTTTGGGAAAATAGCAGGATTTTTAGGCTTTTTTTGCGAAGAAAAATTATTCTTGTCTAACTTCGACTGTGCATTGCTCTTGCAAAACAGCTTTTAAAATGAATAAAAAAATATTTTCCTAGAATTTGAAGGCAAAAAGTAATGATATTATTGGAATTTTTTCCATAACTCGAAATTATCATCACTTCTTCTCTCGAAAATGATGATCACATTGAAGAATTTAAAAAATTCAAGAAAAAAACTTCAAAATTGAATATTACCGTAAGATGTGCAGTGAGCTTATGAACAAGCAGAAAATGATCAACCTTATCAAAAGCCTTGGCAAAGTCAAAATAAATAACACCGAGAAACTTTTTCGTGGCGATAGATTTTTGCCAAAAGGAGAGGCAAGATAGAAGGTTAAGCTTGCAAGATCGTTTGTTTGAAAAAACCGAACCGAGAATTTGAAAAAAATGAGGAGAATCTCCGGCGAATCATATCACATGTGTTCACTGGAAATTTATTTGTTTATTTTGATCAAAACTGAAAAAAAGAAATTAACGAACTGAACAAAAATGAGTTTTCACGTGAAATGCTTCTGAAAAAGTGGATTAGATAAGTTTCAAAGTGGAGATAATATATAGAGAAATCGAAATTCTCTTGATTTTGTAGCCGTTTCAATAAGGAACTATAATAAGAACTTGGAGAAAAACTGGGTTTTTAGAGAATTTTCTCTCCAGTATTTTTATCGTATTCTTGCACAGTAAGAAATTGAAAGATTTTTCCCCGAACTTGAAATTTTCATCACTTCTCCTAATATAGAAAAATCTCTTTGACCCATTAAAATTTTTTCGAAGAAAACCTCCATATCTGAAATTATCGTAAGATGTGCAGGCACAAAAAATCGATTCCCTCAAACTTTCTCCCGCCGAAAGCCCATAGTAATCTAAAAATCAAAATTTCAACTTACGAATGTTTTTTTTTTCTATAACTAGTGGTTTCAACTACCATTACCCCGGATATCTCGGAGAAAAATTAAGATCACACCGAGAAAACCCAAAAATAAAAGAACTCTCTAGGAAATCTACTACGCAATTCCCGCGCGCCCTTGAAGATTCTATCGAAAAATAATTTAAAACGTAATTATGTAATTAAAATGAGACTATTTATTGGTTTTATCGTATTGCGAAGAATTCGCGGTATGAAGAAACATATAAAAACAGCCATAGCAAAAATATTATAGTTTAAAAAAAAACACAATAAGATTTCTACACCGGTAAGAAAAAATAAATAAATGATTTTTCACTATTTTATTTCGTAATGTATCCCGATCGGTTAGATGAAGATTATTGAACTCGTATCTTCTTAAAATCCAAAAAATAACGCACCATTTCTCAAAATGAGAAAAAAAGACTTGGCTTAAAACACGTTACACACCTCACACGCGCGCAAAATTGCACACTTCTCATTTGAAAAAAAATGTGTTTTTGATATTTCTCGGGGTTTAGTCTTCGAATTTTTTGCTCACATATTCTCCTAAAGAATAAAAAAAAATACGATTTGACACTTCTTTAGAAAATATATTTAAAAAATATTTCGCATGCGGTCAGTTTTCTCACTATTCCCATTGTTTAGTCTCTATAAGGCGGTAGAAAAAAGAACATTTTCTTTTAATTAGCATCAAAAAGTCATTCAAACTAATTAAAATCAAGAATAAATCATAGAATATTCCTAAAATCTGATGAAAAATTATAATTGGTTTATCTTTTCTCAATTACAAAACAAGATCATAAATATCATTTTTCCCTATTTCGGCTTACATTTCCCAAAAGTCGTTTCCCAATAACTTAAATAAAAAATATTGCGCACTAAACAATCAAAACAATAAAAAATGCATTATATTTTGAAATGAAAAGAAAAATTTGCTTAAAACACGCCAAACACTTCACGCGCGCGCAGAATTGCACACTTTTCATTATTATTATGGATTTTACACTTTTTATTTCAGGAAATTACTTGCATGTTTTATCTCACTACTATTGATGTTAAATTAGAAAGAAGATTTTTTTAGTTTTTCCGTTCATTTTGCTGAAAAAAAAATTTATTTTTGACCATAATAGTTGAAAAGTCGTCGCTTTGGTGGCTTTTTCGAAAAGTTGGCATTATTTATTTCAATGCAAGCTTTTTTTCGAATTTTTTTCTCCATTAATCTTTTTTTGAATACATTCAATTGAACTAATGGTCAGAACAGAAAAAAATCTTATAAAAAAATGAGAAAAAGTGTCAATAATTATGACGCATGATACATTGCAAATTTCTCGCTTCTATTTTTGATTTTTTTTTTCTCTCTTTTTTTTCTAAATTTTCACATATTTACGTCAGTTTTTCCTAAACAGAAGTAATTTATTCAAAGTTAAAAACATTTTTTAGTTAAATAAATTAAAAATTAAAAGTATCAAGGATGATTAGTTGACTAAATTGGCGAAAAATGGTTTTTCAAAATTTCAAATTCTCAAAAGTTTTCTCAGGTTTCTTTTTGATTGAATGATTTCACTAGGAACTTTGTTTCGATCAAAACTGAGGAAAAGAAATTAACGACCGGAACAAAAATGAGTTTTCACGTGAAAAGCTTCTGAAAAAGTGGATTGAATAAGTTTCAACGAGGAGATAATGAATCTAGAAATCGAAATTCCCTTGATTCTGAGCGGTTTCAATGAAGAACTAAAATAAGAACTTGGAGAGAAACCCAGGGCTTCGAAATATTTACTCTCCATTATGTTTTATCGAGTTCCTGTACTTTAATCAGAAGCAAAAAAAAATATTAAGTTTTTTTGTTGGTGTTAAGAACGTTTCAGCTTACAAAAAAGCATCTAAACCTTTGCAAAAAAAGTTGATTAGTACGGCCTTCTTATCATTAAAAAACCCAAAGAATATTGAACTATTCATACCTTTCTTCGAAAATAACCAGTATTCTATTTAAATAAAGATAAAAATCCGAAATATTCAACAGGGATAGTAAGAAAAACTTCATTAAATCGCATCATAAACCTCCATATGTAGTATATGTCAAATAGAGAAAATATATATATATTCGCAAGAATCGAGCGAGAAAAAGAAGAAGAAAAATAATAAGAGAGATCCAGAGCAAGCGGTTTTTTTCAATTGAAATAATCGATACAATCAATCAATCAATAGTGAAATAATATGCGTAAACTGATGAATACAAGAATGAATTTTTCGACTAGATTCGTTTGGCCTGAATAAATTGAATCTTCTTGGGACGGAAACAAAAAAGAAATATTAAGTGAAAGCCTTTTTTTGTGAAATTTTTTTGAAAAATTCGAAACAATGAGACGAAAAAAAAAACCGGCAAAGTTTTTTTGGGTAGTAGCGAGAGGAAATAGGAGAAATGTACACGGCTAGAAAATTTGGAATTTCGAAGAGCGTTTGGAAAAAGAAATGGGGACTGAAATTTGGAAATTAGCGGTGGAGCATACTTCACTTTTCTCAACATTCTTGTTTAAAAAAAAAAAAAAATTCAAAAAAACTATCAGAGTGATCTTGAAGCATGAAAAAGCTGAAAATTTATAGGAAGTTCTCATTGGAGCACATTTTCTGCCTAGTAGCTGCCAAAACGCTAAAATTATCACTAGAGCGCATTTTCTAAGTCATACACCGCCAAAACGGTGGCAATGTTCGACAGAGCACATTTCAGCTCGAAAAAAGTTGGCAAGGCTTTTTTCCACTCAAAAATCAGCAAAAGGCTGAAAATTATCAATAGAGCATACTTTCCGCGTAAAAACAGCCACAAAGCTAGAATTTATCAATGACCTTCTATTAATTACTAAGCTGTCTATAATTATTTCTAAAAAAAGCCTCCAAAACTCGAATATATCAATAGAGCAGATATTGCACCCAAAAACAGTCTCATATCTATTCCAAACACTCATCAATCCCGAAAATCGATAAAAATGGAAGGAAGATCACCGAAAAAAGAAGGATAGGAGAAACATATATATATATAACAGTGTCAAATGATGCTCGCGGGGAGCATTTCGAACTGAGCGCCATTATTGGTATTTTGTCGTTTTTGGAGGTGGGGCGGGGGTTGAGGCCTCGGTCTGCCAGCTCCTCCTCGGGCCATCGTCGTTTCGACGTCACCCACGTAGGTTGCATACTCTCTTGACGACATCGAGCCCATGATCATGCCCTGAAACGTTTGAAAATAAGCTTCTGGCTTTCAAGCGGACAATAAAGAGGTTTCAAGCACCTTAAGTTATCCCTAAATGGTCAAGGATCATCCAAAAGCCCTTGAGTGATCACTGAATGGTCTAGGGTCATCCAAAAGCCCTTCAGTGGTCACTAAATGGTCAAGATTCACCCAAAAGCCCTTAAGTGATCACTGAATGGTCGAGGGTCATCCAAAAGCCCTTCAGTGGTCACTAAATGGTCAAGATTCACCCAAAAGCCCTTAAGTGATCACTGAATGGTGGAGGGTCATCCAAAAGCCCTTCAGTGGTCACTAAATGGTCAAGATTCACCCAAAAGCCCTTAAGTGATCACTGAATGGTCGAGGGTCATCCAAAAGCCCTTCAGTGGTCACTAAATGGTCAAGATTCACCCAAAAGCCCTTAAGTGATCACTGAATGGTCGAGGGTCATCCAAAAGCCCTTCAGTGGTCACTAAATGGTCAAGTTTCACCCAAAAGCCCTTAAGTGATCACTGAATGGTCGAGGGTCATCCAAAAGCCCTTCAGTGGTCACTAAATGGTCAAGATTCACCCAAAAGCTCTTAAGTGATCACTGAATGGTCAGGGATCATCAAAAAGCCCTTGAGTGACCACTAAATGCTCTAGGATCATCCAAAAGCACTTCTTCTGAAATTTCCCTTCTCAGGCAACAGGAAAAACATTTTTCTGACAGTCTAGACTGACAAACATTGAAGAAATTGATCTAAACATATTTTGTTGAACAGCTGAAACAGCGATTAGATCGAATCGGAAAATCATGAAATTGATCCCGATTTTCGCTCTCACAATGACTCAGTCGAGGTCGCGGTTCGTTTAAGATCAACAGCCTTGTTTTAACACTTATGGCTTCATGCGCAAGCCGTTTTGGGTCAGGTGCAGCTTAAAGTAAGCGCTAAGGATCAAGCCATTCCAAACGCGTCAGAACACTTAACAATTTCAGGTTTTTTCTCATTTTCCTATTGAATAAATGCCGAAAAACCATATTTAACGATATCAATCTTTGAACTATCGGAAATTCTTGGAAAAACTCGAATTTCTCATCTAGATGAACTTTGTTCGATTTCAAGCCAAACACCGCAACGCTCGGAGCCATTCCAAATGCGACCATGAACTTCAAAGACCTTCCTGACCTCCGGCATGTGCTGCTGATAGTGATAGGCAGCGGCAGAGCCGTTACTCGTCGTCGGCGGGATACCGTAATCCGGGGCAAGTCCAGCCGTGAGAAGGACCTCGGCGCAGTCGTTGAAGCCGTTGTGCTGGGCGTACCAGAGGCAGGATCGGCCTTGTTCGTCGAGGGCTCTCACGTCGGCGTTGTTCTACAAGAAATCACTTTTCCAAGCTCTCTAGTTCAATCTTCCCTTGTGGGAAGGCACAAAATTCAATTTACCGACCCAGAGAAGTAGTTGGACAATTTCCAAGCTGCCGATGCTGCAGGCGAGGTGCAGGGGCGTCCGTCGGTCCTTCGCAGAGACCGGGGCGTTGACGTCATCAGCCGAGGATCGTGCCAGAAGAAGTGACGTCGTCGCGACGTCCCTGGCAATGACGGATGAGACTAATTGACCGCCGATGGATTCTTCGGGTCTTAGGGAGGGTAGGAACCGCTTCGCTTCGTACTTGCTTCGGATCCACGCTTCTTTGGTTTCTCTGGAAGAAAAAGGGTAGGTTTTCATGTTTTGAAGTAGGTCAAGGCCAGCTTTATTAAAATAACCTCTATTGCAACCTTGGATCTGACTTGAAAACTTTCAGAGAAGGTTCAAAAAAAAGTACAGCCGGAGACTTCGAAATTCCTATCAAAGCTTCCGAAACACTTCAGACGCCACTACCAAGCTCTTAAAAAGCCTGATCTTAACCAAATTTTCCTCAAAAAAGTCATACTAAAAAATCTCCAAAAGACCTTCTTGACTCTTAAAACTAATCTCGCCTAACCAGAACTTTGTGAAGTAGTACTTCTTTGGTTTCTCTGGAAGATTAAGAAATTTGAAACTCTCCTGGATCTAATTTAAAAAACTCGTGGAAGCTCGAAAATGTTCTGAAGTTCAGCAGAACTTAGTGACAAGACCTTGAAGTTTCTATATAACCTTATCAAAAGTTTGGAATCTACCTAAGCTTGAGCAGAACCCAGTACCGCCTCAAAAATCTAGGAAAATCAGTCAACTCCTCACTAAGTATAGTTGATTCACGGCTAGCTTGAGACGCAAAAAGGCGTGGCCTGTCTGCACTCTCCACCAACCAGGGCACTGTCTCGTCTCTTTTCGTGGCAGGACCCTTTTCTCGATGGCTCAAGCCAGCCGTGAATCAGCTATAGTACCAGCAGCCTAGCCAGAATTACCTTGAGTAGAACTAGAACCATTAAGGCAACCGAGTAGCTACTCCGGAAAAAAAAACCTCACTAAACCTTGTCGGAGTCATGTAATAATCTATACCAAATTCTGAAGAACTCCAGACTTCTTCCCTTCTAGAAAAAGCCTCACCACCTGGTTTTCAAGAAGCAGTTCTCCAAAACCTTCAAAACGTGCTCACCTCGGACTATCCGGCGCCGGCCTCGTCTCCGTCGTGCAAGAGTGCTGCCAGAGTCGATTCGCCGCCTCGTTTCCGATGGCCTGCATCACTGCGAGGAACTCGACGGGCCAGTCGTCGAGCTCCAGAGATCGAACTCGCGAGATGTGAGATCCGAGGTTGCGATGGATGCCCGAGCATTCGATGCAGATCAAGGTGCCGAGGTTCAGAGAGGCCCAATCGGGGTTGGTTTGGCCGCAGTCGGCACAGCGGTCGTTACCCGGTAGTTGCTTCAAGGCTTGCACCTAAAATGGCCATTTTCTTCCTGGGTTTTTTTTTCTTTATCTGGCTAGTTTTCGAAGTTTTTCCGATTCCCTACTTTCTAAGCTGCCTATCAGCACTTTTCTCTGACCCATCTTTTTAACGGCCATTCAACCAACTGTCAGCCTTAATCTTTTGAAAAAGGTTCATTATGTAAACTATTTTATCCGCGGCTATTTTCTCCACCCCATATTCGCTAAAAAAAAAACCTGATGCTTGTTCCCGGTGGCTCTAGACGTCGGCTGAGTCATCTGGCTGGTGAGGGCGATCTCGATCTGCTCCTCGATCGCCGCCACCCATTCGTCTCGTTCTTCGGTCGACGCCGCGCAGAACTCCCAACGTTGTTGGGTGTGAGTGACGATCTTTAAAGAAATCTTATCTTTTTGTCAAAATCAACCTTTCAACGCGCTCGTTCAATGTTTCTTCTTTCAGTATTCAAAAACTTGGATTAAGAAAGTTCAGATTGAAGTTCAGTATTTGAAAGCTTGGATAGGAAAATGTTTGTTAAGAAAAGCTTATTTCTAGGTTCAATATTCGAAAGCTTGTTTCAAGATAGTTGGGGTGTTTAATTTTCAGAATTTTGATTTCAAATAAGTCAATTTTGCCGTTCAGAACTTGAAAAATGTTCGTTTCTGACGACATCAGATGACTTCGATCTAAAAAATCTATGCATATTGGATCTAAGTTGCTCTACCGAACTACTGTCTTACTGTATCTTATTTCGCTGGTTCCTTTTCCTTTCGGAATATCTTTTGAATTGACTCGATCTCATTCTTCCATTTGTTTCTATTAACGTATATTTATATTCATCACGCTTCCTGTTCTACAAAAAGTCGCGAAAAGGGCACTGCGGCCTGAAAATGAAGACGTGACGTACCTCGAAGCACTCGTCGTCCTCGTCGGTGTGCTTCCCACTGGAGCCAAGGCGTCGATGGGCGCTGGCGCCGCCTCGTTTCTTCTTCGGATTGATTCCGGCGACCGTCTGAGGCATCGCCGGCGGAGTGAAGTCCTTGGCGTCGTCGCTACCGCCGCCAGAAGTGCCTTCGCCCGAGTTGTGCATTCCTGGAATCGTTTTCTTGTTGAAATTTGAAGGACTATTCTCAATATCTACAAGACCAATCCGATTTCCTAGCTCGGCCCTAAAGGGCAGAGGTTCTCTAAAGCCTCAGCAATTTCACTAGGTTTCAAAATAACCTAGATCTACTCCTAACTTTCTTGCAAGTCTAGAAATTCCTCCTGGACTTACTCATAACTATCTATCAACTATTCCAATAAATTTTCTAAATAAAACGTTTTTTTGGATCCACTTCTTCGAAGTAAAAAGGTTTCTTTCAGACCTATTCCAATCAATCTTCAAGTCAAAATTCCTATTTCAGACCTACTCCTCAAGTTCTGCCAAGCTTGAAGCTCTTGCTCAGGACCTACTCCAGAAAACTCACCAGCATCACTTCGCCTCGACTCGTAGCTCTGCAGAGTTGGAGTACCGCTGCTGCCGGCGTCGGCCGGATTCCCAGTGACGACGGCGCTGGCCCTCTGGGTGTTCCGCGGCCTTTGTCGTCCAGCAACCTTGACGGTGGCGAGGCCGAGAAAGACCTGAAAAAACGATTTGAAGTTCACATGCTGATCGAATGGATCCAGATCAATCTTTGTGAGCTACTCCAGGACATTTTCAATGAATCCCTGCGAACATTTAGAGACACTTGAAAAAGCCTAAGATCTTCAAAAATCCATTAAAGAAGCCACTCCTAGTATTCCTTTCCTAAGTGATACCTAGAGCCATTTCCCATGGGGTCTTTGAGACCTTCTGAGGAATTTCGAGAGCTCTTCAAGCAAATTCAGGAAGAATAAGCTTTGATAAAGTGCTATGAAAGATTAAAGAAGCTTGGATTATACTGAAAATCGTAAAAAGACCCTAAAGAGGTCACTTCTACTCATCCCTCCTTAAGTGATCCCTTTACCTCCTTTCCATGCGTGCTCTTGTCCATGTAGTCTTTGAGGTTCTGATGGTACGTCAGCCGGCCGTCGTTGTACAAACATACGTACTTTTTCTTCCATTCTCTGGAAAAAGATAAATTTTTATCAATGGAGCAGAAACGACTCGAGAAAACAGCTTTTATGAATTTCAATAGAATAGAGCTAAAGTTTTCACGACGTATATTTGAAAAAAAAAGCTTCAAAGGAAAATCATCAGAGAACGAACATCAAAGAAAAACTTCAAAAATTGATTTTATCACTGGAGCAAACTTTCAACGAAAAAATCGCTCGAAGAATATTTTAATCCACGATAGAGCAATCTTCTTGAAATTCCCTTCAAAACCAACCGATTCAAGGCCGATTTCGTGCTCTTCTTGTACAATTGTCCCTGTTTGACAGGAATCGCCCGGCCGACTCCCAAATTCAGGGCCTCGATCGCCTTGGTCTTCTCATCGTGGTGATCTTTCGGTCGTTGCTGGAAAAATGAACTTGTCAAAATTACCTTTTTTTCGCGTTTTAACTCTAATGTCTCGGAAAATGCCTGATTTCTCTGCGCTTTTCATTTCTAAGAAATCCCTAAATCCCTCAAAAAGTCCTTTGACTTAAACACGCCTTGAAAAAGACGCACTGGCGCACAATTGCTTTGTGGTACTTCTCGGATTATTACCAATTTTTTAAAACTTCCGAGAATTAAAATCATTCTTATAAAGAGCTTCAATTTCAAGTTTGGAAAAAATCAGAAAATTCAATTTCAAAAACACGCCCCAGAAAAAGACGCTCTGGCGCACAACTGCTTTGTGGTCCTTCTCAGATTATTACCGTTTCTTTTTCAAACTTTAGATAGTTGAAATTATTCTCATGAAGAGCTTGAATTTTAAAAGAAAAGTCAAAAACTCAATTTCAAAAAACACGCCCTAAAAAAGACGCTCCGGCGCAAACCTTCCTGTTTCTTTATGCTTTCCCAAATTGTCCACATACTTTTGGGAGATATAAAAATGACCTCATAAGTAGCTTCCAAGGGAAAAAATCTGAACCCGGTCCTTTTCCTACTCTTCTTCTTAAAGGATAGAACTTCCTAGACCAAACTAAATCCTCACAAAGATATTCGAGATCCTTCTGTTTTTCCGCTGAGTGTTGGGAGTGGATGAGGGCGTCGGCAGGTGTGAGGTCGAGGCTGAGACGGCGTTGGCGCCGAGGTTTCCGGCGTTCGTCGACGCGATCGAGTCGATCGAGTAGGTCATGCCGCCGTCAGAGTCAAGAAGGGCAGCCGAGGAACGGGAATGGACTCCTGGAAATTGAAATTTAACTGTATTCTCTAGTTTGTGAAGAAAGGTCTTCGGGGGGAAGCTTGGAACTTTCGGAAAAATTGCTCAAACAATCTCTGAGGGCCTCGTAGTGACCACTTAAGCAGAATTTTGGTTATCGCTTTTTAAAACTTTGAATTAAGCGTGAAGAAACTCCAGGAAGAATATTTCAATAGACCTTGAGATAAAACCCCAAACTTCGCCCTAGAATGACCGATTCAGGTCTTTCTTCAAACTCACCATTACTGATCGAGTGTACCGACTTTTGGCTGGACGACGGAGAGATGGCGCCTCCGCCACGGTACATCCCGCCTCTCTCGCCGCCGTAGGGCATCGGCGTGCCCAGCATCGCCGACATTGATCTTTCGCTGCCGCCTCGGCCGTCTGTAAATTGCAAAAAGTTAGAAAAGGTTGTGACCCTTTTGAGAAGGTCTTTATAACTCCTTAAGCATTAAAATACTCAAAAATATCTCTCTAAAGAAAAATAATTGCAAAATTTGTTTAGAAGAGGTGAAGGAGCATCAGAAGAAAAAAAAAATTCGAAAAAGTCTTCAAAAAAATTTTAGCCATGGAGCAAACTTTGAGCAGATGAACGGCTCAAAAACTTTTAATCATGGAGCAAACTTTCAACAAAAAAAATGCTTCAAAAACTAGTTTATCCATGGAGCGCAATCGAGTCTAAAGAAAATTTTTCGAATTACGTTCATAATCCAAAAAACGAAGGTGCTGGGAAACCAAATCTTATCATCAGAGAACACAAAAAAGAGTAAAAAAAAGACCCTCAGACCAACTTTATCCATGGAGCAGACTTGAATCAAAAAATCGCTTCAAAAACTCATTTTATCCATGGAGCGCGTTTTAACGGGAATTTTGAGCTTTTTCGCAAGTTTTCTGAGTTTTCTTTGTTTCTTCATCTTCTGAGACACTGTAGATTAGTAAAAATCAGAAAAAAAGTTTTCTAGTAACCATCTTTCCAATCGATCATGAAGCAGGCTCAGGCTCACAAAACTATATAAAAAGGGCCGACTTTACACATGTTCGCCCTCTTTTATTTGCTCAGAATTTTCGGAGGGACCTTACGTGGTGAACGTAAGCCTTGTTTGCGTGTGTCGCTGTGTGTGTGTGAGCAGAAGAGATCCATCAAAGAATATTTATATTTGGAATATATGTTTGGGCACACATCGACCCATGCAAATTTGACGCGTGTTTCCTCTCGAGTTCGGTTGAAAATTCAAGAAGAAAAGTTCAAAATTGACTTCGAATATTCATATTTCAATTTCTGTGGAGCTCTTATATGAGAAAATAAAAAATTTAATGGCCTAGTAGTAGCACTTAGATCTCTATAGTGGCCACTAATTTTTTTAACTCCTAAAGTGGGCACTAATTTGACTACTATAGTGGCCACTAAAACGTCGAAACCCTATAGTGGCCACTAAAAAATTTTAGTATTGTAAAGAATTTATCACTCCGAAAACTCTCTAGGACTCTGAGGATCTTTTCAAAGACATGACCATTCTCTAAGACTTTCCTAACCCTTACAGTAACCTCCAAAACTACAGTAAACTTACAAATCATTTATAGTGTGAGGACCTTTTCAAGGAGATGGCCAATTTTCGAGACTTATTAAAACTGCCATTTCCTTACAGTAATCTCCAAAACTACAGTACCTATTCACGGACTCACTAACAAATTTTCCAGCCATTCTAGAGTGTCGGAACCAGAGCAACTGAAAATTCTTTTGAAGAGCACGAGCTTTAAAAACCATACCAACCTACTCAAAACTACAGTAACCCTACAGAAAACCCAGTATTGAGCGATTGAGGATCCTATCAAGGATCAGGCCTATTTCTGAGTCTTTCCAGAACTTCTTCCTACCTACAGTGACCTTCGATACTACACTATCCTTTACAGTACTGGCTAATAAGAGTTTGAGGATCTTTTGAAAGGCATAAACCTCATTTGTAAGCCATTCTAGAAAGCCAAAACTACAGTAACCCCACAGGAAACTCACTGTCAATCATTCCAAAGACATTACCAATTTATAAAACTTTATCGGATTTCTCTCGTCCTACAGTAACCTCCAAAACTACAATAACCCTTCATAAACCACCTAATAAAAATATGAGAACATGACACCCTTCCAAGCCATTCTAGAAAGCCAAAACTACAGTGACCCTACAGGAAACTCACTGTTGAGGGTGTGAGGATCGCGATGATGAACGACGGATCTTCTGGAGGCGGCGTGCGGCGTCTGCTGGTAGGGTCCGTCGATGAGCACGTGGGACATGGAGGAGGGTCCGCCTCTCGACTGCCCGTAGGACTTGCCGGCACCTGGGCCCGTCGGCGCCGCGAACACTGCCGTCGACATGTACCGAGTGTCCTGAATGTAGGGATTTCGATTGGATGATTAAGATAAAGAGCGTGAAACGTCTAGCAGATCTTCTAAAGTTCATTTCTGAAGTTCGTAGCGCTGCTGGATGGTTCTATCATCTTTTTTCAAACTTCGGGAAATTGAGAATTCGTTTTTCAAAGCCTCTATCATGACTTCTTTTTTAAAAACTCGATTTTCCTCGATCTAACTTCAAAAATTGATGAAACAATTTTTTCCCTTGTTAGAGGCTTCTTCTTAAAAATTCTACATCTATTTTTAGCTTTACAAAGTCCCAATTTGTCCCAGGTCTTCCAGACCCAATTTTTACTGATTACACTCAAAGACCAGGTAAAATTCCAATTTTAAAACATTCCTTATAAAATAAATAATTTTTCTTTTAATAAACTGAAAATTCCTACTTTTTCTAAGGGAATAACCCTACCTGACAGGTTTTTCTATCTTGAAACGCATAAGTTTCTATTTTTGAGCATTTTTACCAAAAATTGATGGATTAACAAGTCTTTGAAAACTTTTAAACTGTTTCTAACTCTATTCTCATGAGCCTAATCTGAAAAACTAGGTAAAACCATTATTTTTCATCACCTCCATTGAAAAAATCTTCTGCGATTTTTGCTTCTAGAGCTCAAAAAATCCAAAAACTTTAGCACTTTTTTTTCTTTCTTTTTTCACCAGAGCATTCCTGAAATATTTTTGTTTCCTAAGCCTCTCTTACTCTGATTTCCCTCATCCTAACCTGAAAAAATCAAGTAAACACCCCACCTGATAGTCTTTTTTGTCTTGATGCGTGGGAGTTGGCGTTCGATTGGTCGACAAGCCGAGGGAGTGCCGTATCCGGTGTTGGATGATCTTACAGCAGGCTGCAAAAAAACGAGACTAATTATCACACACACTCAACTTTCTTATCAAATTAATTAACGGAACGGTGCGATTTTTTCTTCTTGGTTGGGTGACTTGCAAGCTGGAAAATGAATCTAGAAAGGTTTAGAAAAGTTGGTTTTTCTACTAAATATTTGTAAATCTTTTCATCGAACTTAAAAAATTGAGGTAATTGATCTTTGAAACCATTGAAATCCTCTATACAAAAGGATTTGTCTAATCTTGCAATTTTTTTCCTTTTCGGAGATGTAAAAGGAGACAGATGCGTTTCGAAACCAAAAAAAGTATAAAAAAAGGAGAAAAGTTCAGGAGAAGACAGATGTTTCGCATCTGTTATATATATAATATTATTTATTTACAGGCAGAACAAAATAATATGTACAGAAAAAAAAGAGAAAAAAATTTGGCATTAAGCCTGAAATAAATAAATAAAAAGGCACTTGAGGCCCTCACGAGCCTCTGAGCCAGTAATGAAAGAATAAGAGGTGAGGATTTCACAAAGGTAAAAAAAGTAAATAGAAAAGAAAGTATAAGTTATGACACAGTGTAGCACAGGTGAGTGGGGAATTTAATCGTTTGTAATGATATAGACGCGCATAAGATGGATTAGAGTAGGGCTGAAGCACGGGTGCCTGGTTCAACGGAGTCTGCTGGGAATAGATCCAAAAAAAGGAAATTGTTATCGAGGGATAGTAACAAAGACCTGAAACGTTCTGGAGAAACATTGAGGTTTCCCAATGTAGCCAGTTTATTCCAAAGAGGGATGAACGTCTCAAAGAAATTTTTCGAAACGAATCCCTACTCTGATAAGACGTGATGGAGCACGTACCGAATTCGATCTCCTGAAAACACTGTGAGCAACTGGCAAATGACTCTCCTTAATATAAATTTTATGTAGTGTTCTTAGACAAAATTCGACTCGTCTTCTAAAAAGAGAGTTTGTGTTAATCTGAGCTAACCTGTCTTCATAACTAGAAAACCTAATGTTTGATCTCATGAATGTTTGGCGAGTAAATTGACGGAAGATGTTTTTCGAGGGTGTAAGATAGTTCTGAAGCTAGGGGGGACTGAACAACTCACAACAGTAGTCCATATAGGGAGCAACGTAAGTAAGAAAAAAATCCGGCTCATTAGAGCGGGAGACAGGGCGCGGAACGCTCTGATGATTTGTTTACTTTTTAGTTTGCATAAGGCTATAACTTTGCGAAGGTGAGGCTCAAATGTTAGTTTGTTATCAATAAGAATGCCTAGATCGCGAACAGCTTCCGCGGAAGAGATAGTTATATTATTTATAGTATACAGAACATGAGGGTTGCTACGGCCTAGATGGAGAAGGGTGGTTTTTGTGTTCGGCCAGGGGAAGACCCCATTGACTAGACCATTGGAAAACGTCGTTGAGACCTTGCTGAAGCGCTATAGGATCGTCAGAAAAAAAATTTTAAGATCATCAGCAAAAAGATAAGCCTTTACATTTATCAGATAAGTTGCTGATAATGTCATTAATGAATATTATAAATAAGAGTGGGCCGCAGACTGTTCCTTGCAAAACTCCAGATGTAATGTTAAAAGCCGAGCTAGATATGATACCTTCACTAATGACAAATGATTTTTCTGTTGGATATGAAGGATGCAAACCAGCTAATAAGTTTTTTTGGTCGAAACCGAAATCTTGGAGCTTGGCGAGCAGAAGGTTATGGGGGAGCATGTCGAAGGCTTTGAGAAAAATCAATATATACTACGTCTACGTTATTACCAAGAGCTAGGGATCTCTTCCAGTGAGTGATGCAATCGAGAAGAGCTAGTTTACAAGAACGATGATTTAAAAAGCCGAATTGAGAATTAGAAAAAGTGTTTTTGAATTTAGATCTAATAGAGATAGCTATTATTTTTTCCATTAAACGAGCAATGTGAGACGTCAATCCGATAGGTCGGTAGTTATTAGGATCGCTTTTATCGCCTTTTTTGAAGATAGGGACTATATGAGAAGTGGACCAAGTTTTGGGGATAGAGCCCGTGCAATAAGATTCGTTAAATAGGAGTGAGAGTGGAATAGCTAACGAATCACGACAATTCTTGAGAACAAAAAAAGTTGATAAAGTCAGTCGAAAAAGCCAATTTTTTTGATGGGCATTTGCCTAAGGCTTTGAAGATGGCGTAAGGGCTGAAATCAGGTTCAACAGTCAAAGGTTTCCTACTTGGAAAGAGAGTGGGTGTATCATAACTATGCAAATTACGATTTTTTTGGAGAAAGTGTCCACAAATAAATTAGCTTTTTTTCGGATGGTAGAATGAAAGACCTGCCATTGGAGATAAAGGGGTGGAATATCATGACGAAGTTTTTAACCTAGAACTAATGTACTTGGAAATACTGGCATTTGAGCCAGCGGCAATTTTTCTTTCATGATTAATGAACCAACGTAGAGTTTTACGACGAAATTTAGAGGTACTGATTTTGAAATTTACGCGACCGAAGGAGGTGCGCAGATTGAAGCGTTTAAGACGCTTGAGAATTTTGGAAGAGAAGTTGCGTAAAAAGTTGGAACCGCGATGATTGCGTGGTTTGAGAACTGGGCAGTTGTCCCGTATGAGTTCGTTGAAAATTTTGTTGAAATGATTAAATTTGGAGTCGATGCTAGAAAAATATGAAAACTGTCTATCCCAATTGTAATTGATCATACTTAGGTTGAGACGTGCAAAGTTGCATCGACGGTAGTCAAGACGAAAAGGTCTACCGTTTTTTTTGCGTGCGGAACAATTGATTTTGAAGAAAATGGCTAAATGGTCTGTGTAGATAGGGAGGATTTTTTTGGAACAAAGATCAAAAAAAATAAGTCAGGGCGGTCAGTGAAGATTAAGTCGAGTAATGATGGGTTGCCGTTGGAAGATAACCTGGTTGGGAAGTTGATGATTTGATTGAGCGAGATTTTTGCGTGCAGAAGTTGATTAAAGGATGAGTTGAGGTGGATATGTCAAGATCCCAGTTAATATGAGGAGCATTAATGTCGCCTAGTACGACATTGTTAGAAAAAAAGCTAAGTTTCTACTCAAAGTGTCAACAAGGTTTTGGGTCTCTGCAATATTGCAGTCAGGGTGGTCTGTAGGTTAATAAAAAAATCTAATTTTTAGTAGAGGCGGAGGAACTATTGACGTTAGTAAGGAGGTCAAAAGCCAGTAACTCACAAAAGTGTCTGCAGTGACCAACCTCGGTGCCGCAGTCCACCTCGCTAACCAGCATGGATTTCCGGTACATCAGGAGAACCCCGCCGCCGCCAGTTCGTCGGTGGTCATTGCGACAGTCCGCTCGAAAGAAATTGTAAGAGTTGTTAGTTAGAAAATGAGTCTAGGTGAACTTCGTTGAAAAAGGTTTCCGTGCAAAAACAGAGGTCAATTTGATTGGCAGTGAGATAATCTAATAAATTGAGAAATTTAGTATTGGAAACCAGTGACCTACAGTTAATTAGAATACATTTAATAAAGTTTGAGGACTCACACACGGAGAAGGAAGAGGAAGTAGAATTGAGAGGCAATTGGCGAGGGCAAACGACCTAGGCGGAAACAGGTTATCAACGACGACAGCAACGGCAGGAAGGACGGGAACTGGCTGTTGACCAGCGGCTGGCTGTTGACCAGCTTGAGATGGCTGTTGGCCGCGAATGCCATTGGGCTGTTGACCCGCAGCTGACACTGGCTGTTGACCAGACTGAGCTGTCGCTGGCTGTCGACCAGACTGTACTGAAGCTGGCTGTTGACCAGACGGGGCTCGCGCTGGCTGTCGACCAGACTGTACTGCGGCTGGCTGTTGACCAGATTGAGTAGTTCGGCGTGGGCGGCTGGTGTTTGACGGCTGTGGAACAGATTGGATGTTCGGTTGTTGACCGATTCTGTTTGGACGAAGAACAGACGAGAAGAGACGAGGACCACGAGGGCGACCACGACCACGACCACGACCGCGACCACGAACACGACCGCGAGGTGCGGCCGGAGCTGAGACATTCGAGTGGAGTGTATCGGCAGAGATATTGCTATCGATCTGCATATGTGTCGGCGCTGGACTGATGTTGATGTTGGTGTGTCGAGGCCTCTTTGCCAAGGGCGAGGTCATAGGTGTTAGTGTTTGTTTAGGGTGACCTTGGAAAGGCTTGGGATTCTTCAACTCGATGATAGTGAGATCCCTGACGACGTATTTATGAAGACCGATTGCCGCGTTATTTTCGTAGGCTGTACGACGGAGAGAGTATAAAAGATTCAGCTCCATTTGTGTCATGTCTCTTCTAATTCTGGGATTAGGTTGACCCGAAAAGAGCGGAGAAGATGGGTGTGAGGAGGCAAAAAATGCACTGTAGAAGCCCTCAATGAAACGATCTCTGTCTTTGGAGGTAGGAAAGGAGACTTTCAAGGGACGGCAGTGATTTTGACAGTCGTGACGGAAGACCGAGATCGCGTCGGGTAGGTTGAGTGTTCGAGTTATATCGTTTACGAACTGCCTGTCGAAATCGTCCTGGTTATGATTGTGAGAATCCGGCACGCGCTCGATGACAGAGTAGCAGCTTTTTGCAGCCATCTGAGAAGCAGTTCTGGCGATGAGGATGTCGCGAGAGGCTTCGTGATACCCAGGGACAGTATCGAGGATGTTTCGAACCGAGTCGTCAAATCGAGATGAGGCGCCGGAACGGTTGTACTGACGATTTGCGTGAGGATGGGCCATCGAGGATGAGTTCGGAGAGCCAAGTAATTGAGCAAGAAGAGCTTCAATGGAAGAAAGACGATCACTGAGTGACGCGACTGATTGATAGATGTCGTTGGAAGGCTCGGGCGGTTGAGCAGGCGAATTCGAGTTATAGTGATTGCCACTGGATGAATAAAATTGATGAGAATCAGCATCACGTGGACGTTTGGCCATAGCGCCAGATAACCGACCGCTCGCCGTGAGGAAAGGGCGCGGAGTGAGGAAAGGGCGCGGAGTAGGAAAGGGCGCGGAGTGAGGAAAGGGCGCGGAGTGAAAAATTGAGGTAATTGATCTTTGAAACCATTGAAATCCTCTATACAAAAGGATTTGTCTAATCTTGCAATTTTTCCTTTTCGGAGATGTAAAAGGAGACAGATGCGTTTCGAAACCAAAAAAAAAAGTATAAAAAAGGAGAAAAGTTCAGGAGAAGACAGATGTTTCGCATCTGTTCCTTTTTTGTCGTTTACAATTCAACGAAAAAAAAGGAAAGGAAAGGAACGAATAATTGAATTAGTTTTCTTTTTTTTTGTTGAATCTTTAATGCAATAGAATTGTTGAAAAGTTCAACGGAACAAGGTTGGAAAATTTTTTTCGAATTTTGGCTGGGTGAGGAACTTCCAGAGACGCTTCAAAATTCGAAAAATCACTTTGGAAATTGATAAAAGTTTCTAAATAAAGGTGAAAATTCACTCAAAAACCTCATTTCTTTGTTTTGAACGAGAAAATGACTTTTTCCAAATTTTTTGAAGCCTCTGGCCATAAGATAAACCTTCGAAAAAGCTTCAAAATCTCGAAAGTCACCTTGAGAAGTGCTAAAAGTCAATGAGAATAATAAAAAAAGCCTAATTATCAAGCTATTTTTGAAACCAAAAAGGCATTGAAAATCGACAAAAAAATATTTTTTTATCATTTTTCAGTATAGATAATTCCTAAAAAAACACTTTTAGAAATCCGAAAATGGAAGAAAAAAATATCCAATGACCTTCCGTAAACACCTTTAAGCTTGCCAGGATTAAAAAAGGAAAAAAACGATAATTTTTTTGAATTTAAACCCGATTTTCAACTACAAAAAGGTTCAACAAATTCTACATTCAAGGAAAAATTTCTCAAAAACATTCCACCTCGCTTTCCAAGCTAAAAAATGCATTAAACTTCTAATAAAACGTCATTTTCTTCCTATTTTCTTCAGGAAAGCCCAAAGCCCAAAAGTGAACAAAACAACTTCTTTTTTTCTTTCATTTCTCTTCTCTACTGACTCATTCAATTGTGTGTTCCCAGTGGGCAAATTTATCGTCGCACGGAGGAATATAAATGCGAAAAAAACGGCTCGAAAAAAGAGCTTTCTGGAAGAAAAATGATGAGAAACCAGGAAATATCTTTTGAAAAGGCGAAAAATTGAGAAAAGGAGAGAGAGAATATATTGGAAATTGTCCAAAAAAATAACCTATTCTCGAGTTTCAATTGTTTTTTTTTGTCGGCCAAGGAATTATGAAATGTTCCATTTGCATGACGAAAATAGTCATGATTCATTTTCAAGGAAATAATAAAATAAATTCACTTTTTGGCCAAAAAAAACTTGAAAAAAACTCCATTTTTTTCGATAAAAAGAAGAATATTTTTTTAAACTAACTAATTATCCTGGTCAACTACTAAATAACAAATTCAAAAAAAGTCTACAAAATAAAATCATCTTTTTTCGAAATTCTAATCGAAAAAGCCTTCAAAAAAGTGAATTTCACTCAAAAACATCAAAAAATCTCAGAAAAGCGCATTAAAAACGCTTAAAAAAGGATTGAAACCTCTAACCTGAGCAATAATAAGCAACATAGTCAAAAATAGTCTCGTAAATCGTGCGAAATATATACTAAACTTCAACATAAGATCAAAAAAGATGAGAAAACTCATTAGAAGCCACGAAAAAAATTGAAAAAAATTGAAAAAAAATCAATTTTCATGAAGAAAACCCAAAAAACTATCTACAAAACCACAGAGAAGCTTCTTTTTTACTTTTCTTCTGACGTCAAATGAGAAAAGTAGATGTGTGGGTTCAAGGCGAGGCCCTCGAAACGTGAAGAGAAATGCTCAAACAGAGAAGAATGGGGGCGGGGCCGACCGAATTCGGCTCTCAACGGAGCAGCTTTTCACGGTCACGTGTGAGAGCTCTATTCAATTTCCATCAAAAGGTGTCGCCAGGGGCAACCGTCTCTTGTTATTATTATTGTTCCCAATGTTATTGGGTCTCATTGTTTCCGGGCCGGTTGATGGGGAGGATATCCTTCTCAAACAAGAGGAAATTTGAATTCTTCTGAAGCTTTGATGAAGCTCGAAAAGCTCTAAAATGACTAATATTTGTTTTTTTCCGATGGGTAATGAGAAAAAAATATCCGCTTGTACAAAGAGAAAATTGAATTTTTCTGAAGCTCAAAATATCAACCTTGATAACTCCATTATTTTTCTTTCTGACAGTGAATGGGAAGGTTATCAGATTAAACAAGAAGAAGATAGAATTTTTTGGCCTTGGTGAAGCTTAAAAAATAATTTTCAAGGAGCTAATTCATGTAATGAAGCTTGAAATTTTTTTCAACAACTGAAGTGAAAAAGTATTCGTTTGAACGAGGGAATTAGGGTTTTCAATCTTGACGGGTTTTTAAAATCTCTTCGGATTGGGCTTTAAAATGAGCAAGAAGGTGAGAAAAATTCCAAAAATTCAACATATTTTAGTTATAAAATGAGCAACATGTAAGGTAACCTGAGCAATCGAAAATTCTTGATTTTTGGATTTTTTCTGAAACTTTAAAGCTTTCAGGCTTCCGAAAAAAAGACGTATTGCTCATTTTACTTGTCTAATCAAGCCAAATTAAGGACAAATCTGAAGAATAAGCACTGAACTTACTTTTTAAAAAAAAGTTTAAGAATCTAAAAAAATTACATTTTTTTCGAGTCTTTTTCAGAGCGATTTTTGATCTAGAATTTGTTCAAAATTTGGAAACACAGTTCAGAGAAAAAAACCTTTATCATATTATCATGTTAGGAACGAAATACCCAGTTTCAGTTGACTCTAATTTCGATTTGTCGAATTCTTTCAACAACTTCCGAGAAGTCGTTCGAGTTCAAAGATTCGAAAAAGAGAACCTGTATTTATTGAAGATGGAATTGAACACTTTTGAAGTGGAGAAGAGGAAAGCAATTGAATGAAAAAACTGGTCAGTCAGTCAATTGGAAGGAAATCAGCCGATTTTATTTGAGGGGGCTTTGTACAGCTTTGAATGATGGATCTGATTTTTTTCTGATAATATTTTTCTAGATTCATTTTTTTCTCAACTTTTCAAGAGAAATTCGAAGTTTTTTTCACTTATAAAGATTCAAAAAAATCGGTCGGAAAACCAGAAAATTTAGAAAAAAATATCCTGCTAACCTTAATTACCTCACCTGGCCGGCCAGGTAATTTGAGACCTCAATAACAAGTCCCGATGTCAGAAAATAGTTCAAGGAATTTATATTTAAGATTTTTTTAAAGGCTTTTTGGAGCCATTTTTTTCAATTTAATAAAGCCCTCAAGCTCAGAGAACTTGTGAAAAAATGAAAAAATGTAGCGAAACCGCAAAAAATTGCTACTTTTTCTGATCCAATACATTAAAAATCAAAAATATCAGCTTAAAATATTTCCAAATTGAACAAGGCCTGTATTTTTTCTTTAAAATGCGATCACTTACAGAACAAAAAAAATGAAAAAAGTCGAAAAATCTCCAACTTTGATGGCAATAGCTCCACTACAAAAAAAAAATTGAAGAAATTTTAATAGTTTCTGGTCGACTAATCCGATAATGGTAATGAAAATTGGTGAACACGCGGTTCTCTTCCCACACGCCTCTTTTTTTATCAATTGAACAAACAGGTTGATTATCAGGCCTTCGTAGTGAGTTAAAAGACAGAAAAAGAGCCATTTCCGGCAATAAAAAACGTCAAAAATGTTTTTTTTTTCGATTTTTAATGAGCTACGGTATTTATTTGGTACGCAACGGAGCCAATTTTAAATTTTTTCATTGAAAAATAGACAAAAAAAGCTTATAATCTAGAAGAGATCGATTTTTTTTAAATCCAAGATTACGGTAGCCAAAACTACCGTAATCTTTTTTTTACAACATACCCAGTAACATTGAAATAAAGTTCGTGGTAGCTTTAAATGAACCTTTTTTCTACAACAAGCTAAAAAAACTACCGTAATCTCAAGTTTATCAGAAGTACAGTAATCCCACCGCGGTGTAGCCCTTGAAACCTATGGAAAAAGCTCAAAAGGGGCAGAAAAAACTCGGGCAAAAAGCGCAACATATAGTTGATCTTCCCAACTTGGATGGGGGGATATGGGACGGACCCCACGACGAAAATGCGAACATAAACCAGTTTCGTGTTTCAACTGCCAGCACTTGTCGGCCACTTTTGGCCGTGTATCCAAATGTGGAGAGAGAGAGCGTAGTTGTTGGCGGTAGAGTCCACTTGACAATTTTGGCTTTTTTTCATTCATTGTGATGTCATGAAGTTGGGAAAAATAATTGTGAAGTCATAGAAGAAAAAAAAACTCAATACGAAAATGAGGGTTTTTAATTTATAAGATGAATTTTAATGATTTGGTCTGGTCCTATTCGGTCTAAAAAGACGACTTCCGTTCAAAAATGAACTTTAAAAATTCCTTCAAGTTACCGTAGACCCTTGAGGGTTACGGTAGCCGTAAAACTAAATAAAAACTGTTAATCAATCTCTCATCCACTTCAAAAATAACTTTGATTTTTTTAAAAAAATGAATTTATTTCGAAAAAAACCATCGATGGAAAAGGTTCAACGTTAACTTTATTGCGCTCCAGGGCTAAAAATTGAAAAAAAACCTTCATTGTGTGAAATAATAGAAGAAGGAGCCGGATAATGGAAATTCGGAAGAAATAAAATAAAAAGCGATTATTATCCATGGAGCGCAGAAGTTATGAATTTTCGCGGCTATTTTTGTCGGCCAATTATTTTCCAATCTAACTCCATTATGTGCATGAGAATTTCTATTGGTATTTTATTCGAAGATGGAAACCTAATAATCAATAAATATCCAGCCTTGCAAAGCCACCAAACCCAAATTCCAATTTAAAAAAAAATAAAAATTCCAATTTCTCCTTTTATCTCACTAGAAAATATGAACTTTTCCTCATTGTTCAATCCAAATTCCTAATTTCTCTTCATTCTCCACTAGAGTGTTCAGATTTCTGTTGTATTTTCCATGGATGGTTACCTTCCTTGAAGACCCGCTCAACGTTGGTGCCGTAGGTGGAACTTGTCTCGTAGTAGGCGCAACGTTTGAGGTGCGCCGCCATCTGTCGGCCTTCCTCCTCGCTGATCACTCGCGCCTTCTTCTCCGACACGTTTTCCTGGACAAAAAAGGGTAACTTCCGTCTGTCAAGTCTTGTTGATCACTAAAATCGCGTAGTGCATCCGACCAAGAACTACTACCGCGCTTTAGCATTCTTCAACAGAGAGGACAGGTCAGCAAGTTTCTGGTGGCATGTGCCTTCTTCTCCGAGCAGACTACAACCCGTTAAATTCTTTTAAAAAAGTTATGAGAGCAAACATTTGATAAGAGGACAGCTACGGTCACTGAACCATTCGAAAAATTAGATCTCGACCCGAAAAATCTCATTTTAAAGCGCCAAAAACATGCGTCGGCTGGATCCCACCCCGGGGTGCGGCCTAGCAAAGAGTTCAGAATATCACCTTCGTGCCGACGAGAATCAGGGGCAACTCGTTGATATTTCTCAGTTTGCCCAAGTCGTGGTAGAGCCTCCGGATGCTGTCGAAGCTGTTCTCGTTGGTCACGCTGAACACGAAAACTACCGCGTCGATCCACTGGCAGAACTGGAAGAAATTTCATTTGAATGGTGCGTCATAAGTATTGAAACACGTTTGAAGCACTATAACTTTTGCGAGTAAGCTCGAAACTTCTTCAAACTTTTTTTTTTGCTAATGGTAGTAAAAATGATTCAGGATCTTAGTTAAGACGGAAACGCAAATGGTGAACTTATTAAAGTCAATGAAGCTTTGTAAAGAGCTACTTTAATAAGTGCTGATTCGAAAAATTGGGAAATTATTTTTTCTATTCGAATTATGATACCTAAAAATGGGAGAAACTATCAAAAATCTTCTAATCAGAGAAAAAGAAGCTTTCAGAGTCTTTGAGGACTTCCTTAAAAGGAAAAAGCGGCAAAATTTGGATAAATTTAAAACCAGTGGGTCCGAAAGCACCCCCTTGTACAAAACCTCATCAAATTCTGATACCAACTTTATCTTCAACTTTCGAAAAATGTTATTTTAAAGGAAAAAATTAATAAATTCTCACGATATGACGTCATTTTAATCAATTAATCAATATAATTTTTATTAATCAATCAACTATTCATACCTGAACATCCAACGGGGCCTGTCCCTCGTCTCGAATGAGCAGCAGGTGGCTTTGCCCTTCGATAACCACTTCCTTTTTGAACCGGCCTCCTGCAAATGACGTCATTCTCGTTATTCATAGGTAATTGCCTAATTACAGGTTGCAGTTTGTATCGGTAAGAGTCAGTGAATGGACTAGTCTTGGGTCTGTTCAATAATATATCGAAATAGGGAAATTCTCTCCAAGATCAAAAAATGGAGACGTGCTCCAATAAGTTTATGCTTCTTTCAGAGCTTCCTCAGATCGAAAAAGACCCAAAACAACTCCTATAAACTAATTTTATCCATAGAGCGCAGAAGTTCCCAAAAAAGGGCTGAATCTTAATTGATCTATTTCGGTGAATTTTGATGAATTTATCAACAAAGATCAACCTTCTCAAAATTATATTTTCAGGCCGCTTCGTTCAGAAACAGGAAAAAGCTCCTAAATATTCTAGAGCTTCAAAAAAGCTATGGAAAGTGGAGAAAAGTCGTGTAGGAAGCTCAAAAAATCAAAAAACGAGACATCAACTTTCACATAACTTTAAAAAATTCATATCCCTTTCAAATTTGATCAAGTAAAAAGAGCTTCAAAAACAGCCTACGAAAAGCTAGTTTTCTCCGTAGAGCGCAAAAGCTCAAAAACATTAATATAAGTCTTTTAATGCTTTCTAATCGGAGTTTCATAGCAGCAAAAAATTTTGAAAGCTTCATTTTCATTTTAGAACGTTCAGTATCACGAAATAGCTTTGAAAAAAACGGTCTGGAGCCGCAAAAAGCCAAAACTAAGCGTAGAAAATCCGAAAATGAGACATCGACTTTGAACCCTGTTTTTAAAGCTTTCAGAACTCCATCACATCAAAAATAGTCAAAAAAAAGCTCATTCTATCCTTAGAGCGCAAAAGCTCTTTAGAGAGCGGCCAAACATTAATTTATCATTTTTCTTACCTGTCTACACAATTTTTCCAAAACCAAGCAACTAGAATAGGTCCAAAAAGAGTCGAGAACCCGCAAAAATTCAATAAAAGAAGCCAAGTGGAGGAAAGCCTGCGTCGCAAATAGCACATACTAAGTCCTCAAATTTACAATTTGATTTTAAAGATTTTATATTTCTTTCAGAACCTATACAGATCAAAAATAGCTCCAAAAAAGAGTCAAGAGCCCGCCAAAAGCCAATAAAAGTGGAGGAAAGTCGACCTTGCAGGAGGCAAATGGCGAGGGGCGGCTCGGCTCAAATGAGCAACATATCTCGGAGCTCATAAAACACCGACTCGGCAAGACAAGGAATGTGACCGAGGGAAGTCTGTCCGCCAGACCTCCCAGCCAGTCGATTTCGGTGGAGATCAAAGGGATGTATGATGAGGAAAGGGATAAAAAAATGTAGATCATATCAGGTGTTAATCCACAATCTGTTAGAAAAATTTTTAGTTGGTATTATTTTCGATTGGGATCTCTAAGAACATGAAAAATAGTTATAACTTTTAGAAGACCTGAAAATTAATCTGGGAGACCAGTCAAACATCAAGAAATCTTTCAAAAAATCGTGTTAACCCAAAAAAAACTCAGAGATTGGTAACGCGAAACGGACGTTTCTGGCAATTCTAGGGATCAGTTAAGAGGGCTGACGCTACTAAAGTGGTCCCTAGAAATGCCCAGAAACGTCCGGAGCACGTCCGTTTCGCGTAACCAATCTTGGACCTTGATAACGCAAACGGGACGCGAATCGGGGCATTTCTAGTGACCACTTTAGTAGCCTCAACGCTCTTAAGTGATCCCTAGAATCGCCCAGAAACGTCCCAATTTCCGAGATGTCCGAGAAAACGAAAATTGTCATTAGAGCGCATAAGCTCATGAAAAAATGGATTTCACCTTTGATTTTCCATTTTTCCTGTTTAGCTCCAAATATGGACTGTGAATTGATTTCAATAAGAACTTAAAAATGTTTGATTATTGTATAATTATCATTGGAGCGCAAAAATCAAGAAAATTGAGATCATTCTCCAGTTTTCTTGAGCTCTAAATTATTTACTTCTCATCACTAAAACTTTTTTCTTGGAAAATCGAATTTACAAAATTTTTTTTATGAATCTCTGTACAATTGTCTGATGGATATACGGCGAAAAATTCAGGAAGTAGTTTTTTTAAAGTCCAAAAAGTACCTTCAGGACTCTCGTCGGCGGTGAAAGTTCCCGTCAAGTATCGATGGACCAGCGAAGTTTTCCCGGAATTCGTCGTCCCAACGATGCCCTGAACATGATTAAATCAATAAAATAATAAATCGCAGAAATAAGTAATAGATTGATCGGTTTCAAAATTTAACTGGAAAAAAAGCAAAGGAAGACCCAAAAAAAGCTCCTGAACTACTACCAAGCCTTTAGAACCTTAGCCATCGTCCTCAGAACCTACAGTAACCTCAAAGATCTTTACAAAAAATCGTGTCAAAAGCCTGCGCGATGAGGATGACGTCACAACGGGGGATGAGAGGTGCGCAAATTGGCGGTTGTTTCTTTTTTCCCCAAAAGGAGGATTAGTACAACAGGGCAATCGCAACACCGAAAATGAATAGAAGAAGAAAGGAAATGAGCGATGACGTCATATCGGCGCTCGAAAAGGTGCGAAAAGTCGGGCCAATGATGATTTTTGGTCTAGTTATTTTTTGAGGACAGGTGGCCGGAAAATGGGCTCAAATGTAAGAATTAGTAGGTCTCTAGAAAGTAGAAAATGAATTTTTAATTAAAAAAACTATTGAAAATGAAAATCTGAATTTTTTTAAGAAATCATACCCCCCGCCCCCCATCAAGGACGCTAAAGCCTCAAGATTTATTTATAAGACTTCTAGAAATAAGTTTTTCAATTTTTTTAATGCAGTAAAAATTGCACAAAACTAAAAAAATTATGCTTATAAGTTCATTTTTCAACGGCCCACGTTCTTAAAATCAAAAATTGAAGTCCTTTTTAAGCCGTTTTTCAAATACAAAAAAACGCAAAGAAGCAAAAATTTGAAAATGAATAAGATCAAAATGTTCATAAACTGAGTGGAAAAAAACTAAGTACTAAAAAAACTTAAGTAAAAAAATTCAATTAAGACTCTTGGAGTGTTTTAAAATCACATTAATAACAAGCATCAAAAGAAAAACTAAGTATTCCACTTTTTGATATATTTTTACAGCACCAAATGAAGTAAAAAAAGTTCACAGAATTGAAAAATTGGACGTTAAAATTAAAATCTTAAAGTTCTAGAAGCTTTAGCCAGAAAAATTCAAAGGGAAGTTGAAGTACTTTCCTAGTTTTTTTATTATTTTTTTATTTAATTGATAATCTATAATATGAAAATTTAAAGTAAAAAAAATCAGTTAAACTCTTAGAAGTGATCAAAAAAACCACAACCATAAAAAGCATGCAAGACAAATAGAACAAAAAAGGACAGACGAAAAAGTGTTAGAAATGGGAAAGAAGAAAGGTTCCCGACACGGTTGGGCGTCTCGGCGCGGACGTCCCGGTGATCTCAGATCAAAGAAGATCAAATAGAAAAGTCTCGAGTCTGGTTCAGGAAACGAGTCAAACATGAAGGAATTCATAAAATAGTGTAGTTTCTATTAAAGTATTTTCAAAACTGACCCAAAATACCGAGAAACGGCGGTAGTCCGATCTTATAAAAAACCAGTACAAGCAGTGTTTTTGTTTAGGCAATCTAATGTAAACGAATCTATTCTGCGCCTTTTCAATTCAATTTGGGACGTATCTCTACTTGTTCATTTATCAATTCAAAAGAAAATGAAGTGTGTAAAAATTATATTGTCGTGAAAAAAGAAACTACAGATAAAGTTAATGATATTTCATTTTAAAAGTTTTCTGAAGGACAAGGAAAATAATAGCGTGAAGAGTTACAAATTGGGTCTTACTGGGAAAATTTTTAAGGGCTGCTGTAGGGTTTTTACGTTTTAGTGGCCACTATAATAGTCAAATTAGTGACCGCTTAAGGGTAAAAATTAGTGGCGACTATAGAGGTATAAGTGCTACTATTAAACCACTAAAAATTTTAGTGGACACTTTAGGGGTCAATGGATCAACATAACTGGTCCAATCTGTGTGTTTCAAAAATATCAGAGTTACTGGATTAAAAACTACTGAAGAGGCCACTAAATAGAGAGCCTCTATAGTGACCACTAAAACGGAAAATAGTGGCCACTATAGAGGTGGGTTTAGTGGCCACTTTAGTGTCCTCTCCAAGTAGTCTTTGGCGAGCCTCTATAGTGGCCACTAAACATTTTCCCAGTATGGAAAAAGAGGCCTTCCGTGGAAAATAGACCCAAATTTTCAACCTAAATTCTGAAAATGACGTCGTGAATTTGTCAATAAGTTCTAAAAAGTGGGGTAAAACTGAAATTTAAAAATATCTAAGCCTATTTTCATACAAAAAAAGCTTCTCTGATAGCAAATCTCAAATGTCCTAACAAAAAAAACAACAATGAAAATTGAATTTTTAAGGCTTTTTTTCTTTACTTTTTTTCATAGTCAGGCAATCCTAAAATGGCATAAATTTTTAGAAAAAAATCTCATTAAATTTTTGTAAAAAAATCAATTTGAAGCGCTAAAAAGTCCAAAAACTCAAAAAGAACAGTTCTAAAACACATAAATGAATCGAAAACTCTACCTCCCCCCTTCCTTCTTGATAGAATCCAGTCAAGCCCAATAAAATCTCCAAAAAAAGAGCGGCAAGACCAAAAAAGGGAAAAAAAAGAAGGAAAAACGACGCAAAGAGTGAGGAGGGGTCATCGTCATATAATTAGCGGGATAGGTTAGAAGGAGGGAGAGCGGCGGGCGTCTGTCGGTCGTCCCCCTGCCTACACTCTTTCTTGGTTCCTTGCCAACTCCTCCTACTTTTTGTTTGATCTCTGGTAAGTTATGAGAGGGATAGTAACGTCATATCGAGTGAAACCATGAACCCGGAAAATTATCAGGCTCTGGGAGAGATATTTTTTGAAAAAACTATTTAAAAAGTACTAAAATATATTAAAATGATGTCAAATGGACAGAAAATGAAGAAAAAAAACTACTCAATGAGAAAAAAGCGATTTTCGTCCCTGATGAAGTTTAAAATGAAGAGTGAGCGGTAAAATTCGAGAAAATATGCTCCAGTGATAATTCCTCGTTTTTATTTTCTTGTTTTTACTCATCTTACCTTTTTACTATCTTCTTTAGAAACTCATGAGGGAGGTGAGCGTGGGAAAAAGACGTCATACAGGTAAAAATTGGTCCAAAAAAAGTGAAATCCTTTGAACAAATTGGAAATTTTTTGATCATTTTGAGCTTTTTCTACTCGTTCAAAAATCTAAAACCGCATAGAGCTGAAAAATCTAATGACGTCATTTTACAAGTTTAGCATGAAAAATGACGTCATAGACCTGTAAAGTGACGTCAAATTTAACTGGACTTGGTAGAAAGTCAGAAAAAAAAAATCTATTCTTTCATAACTCCATAGTTAACGTCATACTATATACAAGTTGTTCAACTGGAAACAAAATGACGTCATTTTTCCTTTTTTTGTGACGTCACGAATGCCAGAAAAAAAAATTTTTTTTTTGAAGATAAAACTTAATTTTTAGCAACTCCAAACCAATTTTTGAAAATGAAAACTGTTAAATTCACAGAAAATACTAGATTTCCTGTCAAAAAACGCCTGAACCTTTCCTCGAGTTCAAATTTCTCCTCCACAAACAGTATCACAGCTCTAACGTAATATATCTGACCCAGTGCAAATAAAACGAGTTGCACACCAAGAAAAGAGCCAAATTCCCACGAGAGCGCGCAATTACGCGCTTCCGATCAAGATCCGCCTCATTGATAAGAACAGGCAAAAAATTATTAAAGGATCAATTTTTGAGGTGGCGGAAACGTTAATCGTCTTCTTAATGAGATAATTGATGGAAAAATGTGAGAAAAAGTAGCTATTCGAGGTTTGGCTGCTCAATGGGTCGATAATTCTTTTTTCCGTTGTTCCTATCTTTTTCCTATCTTCCTGAGAAATCCCACGTTCTAAAGTTCAAATTGAAAGAAGTTTGTGTAAAATTAATGAAACTGTATCTAAAAATATGCTACATTTGTAACTTCTGTGAAAACTATAAAAAAACGCTTCAAACAGCTTAGAAACTTCATCGGAATATTTTTCAAGATGAAGTTATTGGACCAGTCAATGTTATTTCGTTCTGCCTGTAAATAAATTATATTATTATTAATGAGGAAAACGTGCTCTATTAATTGTTGGAAAAAGGGTGCAAAAATTATGAAACTGGAAAATAACCGTGAAGATTCCAGAAAATGTGCTCCAACGAACAATTTTCGGAAAAACTGCAAAATCTACATCGAAAATATTTCGTTCAAAAAAATAACTGTGAAGATTTCAGAAAATGCGCTCCAACGAACAACTTTTGAAAAACTGCAAAACCTTCATCGAAAAGTTTTCATCCAAAAACAGACGTTGAAGTCCGAGAAAACATGCTCCAGTGATAAATCTTCGGAAATGTATTGAAAATAGCCTAGTGGTGCATTTGGAGGCTATTTCTACATCCTATCTTGACTAGAAAATTTTCTTAAATCTAAATTCTCAATGGAGCTCAAAATCTGCTCAATCAGCGGCTATTTTCTCACCTCCAACCGTTTTGCGTCACCAAAATATTGAGATCAAATGCAAAAAAGATAATCCCAGATCCGAAAGGAAAAAAAAGAGCCGCGCTGGAAAAAAGCCGCAATTAGCCGCATCAAATGAGCGCCGCCCCGATACTGTATCATGCGCAACACGGCTAATGGGCCAGAAGATTTCCAACTGCTCAGAGAAAAAAAAACGGCCGGTCTTTTTTCTTTGATCTCTTCTTTTCTTCAATGCTTTATCCGCTTATCTAGTTCTTGCTGGCGGAAGTGTACGAGATCTCAGGTAACCGAAAAAGGTTAAGCTGGTCGGTAAACTTGGTGGTTTTTCTTTTCAAAGAAGCCGCCGGAAGTATAATCTTACCTAATGGGATATCTAGGTTTGTCTGTTTTGAGGAGTACGAGAAATACCTTTGATCTTAATTTACATAGCAAAAGGTTAAAAAAAAAGTTTTTTCCGTAAATACTTCGAGAAAATGTGCTCCACCGAACATTCTTTCAAAAGCTTTTGCCGTGTTCAAAGTAATTTCCGCGAAATGCAAAATGGTCTCTGACCCTCCAAAATTTAGTTATCTTTCTCTTTCTCTGACGGCTATTTTGAATTTCGCGGAAATTACTTCGAACACGGCATTTGAAAATTCCATTTCGAATTTTTTTTTCGCTGAACTCAGTCGAGTGCCGTTGTAGGAGCTTAAAGAAGCTCGGAGCCATTTTCTGAATTTTTAAAAACTTTAAAAGTACCTTAAGCCTTTTAGGTTACTCTGAATCGATAAAAAGTTCTCCTTGACAGTTTTTAGGATTTTCGGTACCTCTCTACCGTCAAATAAACAAAATTAAAAAAATACTATCGGCTGTAAATTATCAAGAAAGTGTGCTCCACCGAAAGTTATTTTTCAGAAAGCTTCAAAAGTTCCATTTTGAGCTTTTTCTTCGCGGAAATCAGTTTAGAGCCAAATTCAAAAACTCAGAGAAACTCACAGGCTCAGAAAAGACACCGTAAGAATTTTAGGTTACTGTGAACTGGTAAAAGGTCTCCGTTAATAGCTTTTTTGTTAACCTGTAAAATTTAAGATTATTGGTGCTTCTTTTGGTACCGTAAACTTTTGAAACAAATAAAACACAATCGGCCGTTAAATATCAAGAAAACGTGCTCCACTGAAACTTCTTTTAGAATGCTTTTAAAAACACCTTTCATGGCTAGTTCTCCTCAGAAGTCAGTTCAGAGCAATTTCTGATCTTTCAAAGGCTCAAAGAAGGTACCGTAAGTCTGTTAGGTTGCTTTGAACCCAAAAAATGACAGGTGCTCTGGGAGCTCTCAAGTGCCAGCTCAGTGTCCAGCGGAGCCAACTCCATCTGCCCACAAGTACCTATTAATCTTCTCTACGAGTCCACATGTCACTCAGTCAGATACTTTTCGGACAAGGTAGGTATGTGCAAAGAATTCGTGACTTTAACTTAAGAATCACTTGGACCTCTTTTCAGATGTTCCAGTGTTATCTACAACGGTTTCGTAGTGGATTCTTTTCCTCATAAAAAAGTTTACCCGAAAACTTTTATGCTAGCCACAAAATTATTTCAACTAGAATCAATTATTTCAGTTCTTCTCGATTCATTCCAACCTACAGTAACCGAGTGCATTCCAAAGTATGCTCAGAACTCTCTACTACCGTAACCTCAAAGTATCAAGCCAAAAAACACTTCAAGACCTTCCCACCGCCAGAAAAAAAGTTGAAATAACAAATGAGAATGAAAAACTACCGTAATCTACAGTATCCTCAAACTAAAGCAAAAATGAAGTGAAAACCTACAGTCCCTTCTCTGGCCATCTACATCGACCATTGAGCATTCCTTTCTCTAAAAAAAAAACTCCTGGAGCTGACATACAGTAATCCTCTAGACCTACCGTAATCTACAACAGTTCAATTTTTCAGACTCTAAATTATAATAGTCTACAAGTTCTATTTCTTTTGAAAGCTGGATAGTTCCACTTTTGGCGGTTCTTCTCGATCCATTCCCACCTACAGTAACCATCAAGCCCAAAAAGCACTTCAAGACCCGGAACCATCTTCATTGACAGAATGAAGAAGTTAAGTTAAGCATAATAAAATAGCAAACTACCGTAATCCTTGAAGCCTACAGTATCACCGAGTTAAAATATTCAGAACTTCATCACGATCCGTTCAAGGAGCAACTCTAAGAAGTTGAATAACCCCACTTTTGGCGATTCTTCTCAATCCATTCCTACCTACAGTAACCACCAAGAATCAGCCCAAAAAGCACCTCAAGACGAGGGACTATCTTCATTGACAGAATGAAGAAATAAAGATAAATCATAGTAAAATAACAAACTACCGTAACCTTTAGAGCCTACAGTATCACGCAGCTGAATACTTCAAAAGTTCATCACGATTATCCGTTCAAGAAGCAACTCTGATAAGTTGAATAACTCTGGCAATTCTTCTCGATTCATTCCCACCTACAGTAACCCCCAAGTATCAGCCCAAAAAGCCCTTCAAGACCCGGGACCATCTCCATTACCTGAGCAAATAAAAAGAAAAGAAGAAAAAGTTGAGCAACCGGAAGGGAGGTCGCACCTACGCGACAGTTGTGCAACAGTGGCCTATGAAGACGTCAAGTGCTCGGATGACGTCATATCCAGCAGCACCCGTCTGGTGACGTCATGATCCAAGTGGCGCAATTATCAACGACGACAAGAGTTATTGGGGTTCAATGAGGTGGTGGCACTTCTTGAGAGGAGTCATTAATTATCTTCTTGGCTACTGTAACTGTAATAAAAAGCTTCTGATCGAATTTCGGTTACAGTAAGCTCAGAAATCAATCAGAATCTTAGAAAAACTTCATTTGGTGTGTTAAACTTTCACACAGACAGCATTACTGTGATACTTGAAAATAATTTGTATGATTACGGTATATATTGCTACAGTAAGCCTAAGAAAAGCCAATGATTTACTGAAAGACAGCTTCTTATTGAAAAAATCTATTATAAAATTCGAAATTCCGACTTATTAGCCTGAAATTCATGCCGCCAGCTAGGAAGGTCCAAAAAAACCTTTCATCAACAAGAATTTTTAAAATTCATTTCAAACTATCAAAATAACTAAGGTGGCGTCGCGGTTCGATCAAGGTCTACAGACTCTAAAAATTTCCCATGCTTCATGCTTTTCTGCGCAAGCCGTTTCAGGTCAGATGCAGCTTCAAAAAAGACTCAGGTGGCGTTGCGGTTTGTTCAAGGGTCACACCCTTACTTTAAAATTTTCTGCGCACTATGCTTTTCCGCGCAAGCCGTTTCGGGTCGGGTGCAGCTTCAAAAAAGACTCAGGTGGCGTTACTGTTTGATCAAGGTCTACAGACTTACTTTAACTATTTCCCATGTCCTATGCTTTTCCGCGCAAGCCGTTTCAGGTCGGATGCAGCTTCAAAAAAGACTAAGGTGGCATTGCGGTTCGATCAAGGTCTACAGCTTTACTTTAACATTTTCACATGCTTCTCCGCGCAAGCCGTTCCGGGTCGGATGCAGTTTAAAGATGGCGCTAAACATTGAGCCATTCAGCGCCCACACAGTTCAAATTCTAGGTAAGTCTATTCTCAAGCTCAACTTCTCTCTTGGTCCAAAATTGATCTGGAATCTTTTTTGAATTTCAAGAAACTTTCAAAAATGTCAATTAAGCCTACAGTAACCCAAAATTTCCTACAATAACCATTTAGAAGAAAGAAAGCACCCCGCAGAGCACTCGAAAGACCTCGATAAATTGGCTGGTTACGCAAAAAGGGCTCGAGACAAAGGGAGGAAGACACGTGTGCTGCCGGGTCTAATCCTCACTTGGGACCAAAAAAGGAAGAAACCAACACACAAATCAGGGTTGCGCAACGGTGGCAGACAGATATAAATCAACGGGTCAATTGGGTGAGACTTTTCTTTGGCACCTTTAAGGTGGGAGAGTGGGATGGAATTATCACTTATGGACTTAAAAGCTAGGGGCTGTGAAAAATTAGAGATTAAGGATTCCTGACCGATATCTTCAAAAATTGAATGAAGGAAGCTTATTTCAAGTTGAAAAGTGCCTTTGGACCGTAAAATAACCTTTTTAGCATCTTCAAGGTTTTAAAGTGTAATGAAATAATCACTTATGGACTTACAGGCTTAAAAAAGAGTCAAATGGAAATTACAGGCTATCTAGTTTGTGCCGTCCAATACTTGATTAAAATAAGCCTCGAGTTGATAAGCATCTTCAAACCGTAAAAAAACCTTTTTAGCACCTTCTCGGTAGGAAAGTAGGATGGAGTTATCCCTTGTAGACTTAAAAGAAGCTGAGAACAGAGAAAAATTAGAATTTCAAGCTTTCTGATTACCTTTGTACCTTCAAATAGGCTGATTTTAACTCAATAGGCCTATTTAAATGAAAATAACCTTCAGCACCTTCTAGGTGTGAAAGTCTAATGGAATTATCACTGATGGACTTCAAAGCTAAGAAAAAGGGTAATTACCGTTTCTAGGCTTACTAGCGCCTTTAAATCTTCGATAAAATAGGCTTATTTTAAGTTGATAAGTACCTTAAAACCTCGATAAAAGGCCTTCTAGTCGGGTAAAAGAAGTTCTGGTCTTAAGCTTCTTATAGCTAATTAGCTCTTCTAACTCGAAACGCGTACCCGAGTCCGAGTAGTTCCCTCGTAGTAGACAAATTTCTTAATCTTTCCACTTCGTTTATCATTGAAACTTTTCTTAGAGTTTAGGGAAATCATTTTGGAGTGAAATTAATTTTTAAAAAAACTGACCAATCGCATTTCGCTGATCGTCCGACTCAACGTCCACTCGTGGCTATTTACGAAGGCATCTGGAATAATTCAAAATGAACTCGATGAAAAAAATATAACGGGATTATTTATTCCATGTTTCTATTGGAGAAAACTTTTCTTTGATTGCCAAGGGCCTGAAAACTTAATTTTTATGAGAAACTTTCAAAAAATCTTTCAATCAAGTTATCGGACTAAATCTTGAGCTGGACATGACCAAAATTTTGAAAGTCAAATTCTTTCCAAAAAGTGAAAGTCAAAAGTGATTATTTCACATGATTTGAAGTCTGAGAATCAATATCATATCAGATAAAATCGAAGTAATACTTGTTTTACTTGAAAAATTATTTCAATCCCATCCAAAGTCTGAATTGAGGATGATTAAGGTTTTAAAAAAAAAACTTTGAAATGATAGAAAATGTTCTAGAGCTCCGAAGATTAAACGCAGATCCGAAGTTGAACCAATGAAAGCCCGAGAAATGGTTGAAATTAGAAAAAATCAGCTCAAAAGAAATAAAAGTCCAACCAAAGTCTGGTGGATCTGGCTTAAACCTCACTTATTTCTAAAGAAACCTGGCTTCAGCTAGGCTGAGACCCTACAATTGAGCTCGAAAAGAATAGAATTCATGAGAAAGATTCAATTTTGAGCCATTTGAAGCCAAATCAAAATTAAAATCGAACACAGTTTGACCGAGATTAGAGCAGTTCTAGAGCTACTAGAACTATAAGCGAATCTCCTCAATCCCTTCCAAAAGCCAAACCGAATCTAGGCGGATGCACGAATCGCATGGGTTCAGCCCGACGTGAGATCCTCGGACGGCTTCTCTCCGGCTGGAAGACGTAGAAAGAAGGCGGCGCATTTTCATAGTCGGTCGACGGAGAGGACGACGACGTGTCCGAGTAGATCATCGACGTGGACATCATCTTCGGATCGCCTTTTTCATTTCGCATCGAGACGGACAAGCTCCGATTGGCCTTTCTGGAGCTTCTACCGAGGAGCTCCCTCCAGCTTTTCTTCTTCTTTTTCTTCTCCTGGACTTCCTCTTCCTGGTTCTGGTAGTCGTCAAAGGAGGCGTCGCGAAAGTCCGAAGGGTCATGAATCGTGGAGTTCATGCGATGCGATATCCTTATCGCGTTCTTCTCATCATTGGAGTAGTGGTAATGGCGATCGCGGGAGCGCGACAGCGACATCGCTTGGTAGCGTCGTCGTTGGTTCTTCTGATGGTGCCAGTCAAGGTCGTGGGTGTTGGCGAAGACATAATGGCCGCTGGTCATCGGCCGGATCGCCGCGACATCGACGTAGTCGTAGTCGTAGTATCGAGTCAGGGGCATTATTCTCGAGGTTCCATTAAATGGGGTAAGGTTCTTCTGAAACGCTACTTGTTGATTGGTTTTGGAGAAAAACGATTCGAAACGGAAGTACGAGAAGAGAATTCGTTGTAGAAATATAAAAAAGTAGTTTGAGAATGGGACAAACTGTCGTTGAACTCTGGTGAAATCAAAAAAATTTTCAAGAAAGGTAGAGAATTCATAAAGAACTCCGAAGACAAGGCATTTCAAGTAAATCAAGAACTTTTGTATTATTTTTGAAAGATAAATGCATCTGGAAAGAACTATTTAAAATCTTTTGAAATTAGAAAGTTTTCTTTATTCATTCTTGCAAAAACCGTGATCAATGAGTGAATAAATTAATCACGAGTTATTATCATTCCGATAAAACGTGAAGTAATCAGGAAAAAAATGCTTTTCCAATTTGTTGAAACTCGATTTTTCGCAGGATATTCGTCTCGATATTGCGAAACTGTATGAAATTTTTCATCCAACCTTATGAAAAAAATTACGCCTAAAAATATTTTTTTCATATTTTATCATAATTTATTAAATAAAAAAATATAGGCCAAAAAGAAAAAAATTGCAATGAAATCAAGGCTAACTTATTAAAATTTTTCAATTTTTCTGAAAAAAATACCTGGGAAAGCCGCAAAAAAATAAAAAAATATGTAAGCTTTTATGTCCAAAAAAAGTGGAGGGTCTTGGGACGAGGATGCGAGGAGAAAATTGGCTGTAAAACATGAAAAAAATGGTCTGAAAATGGAAAAAACAGTCGTTGAATTCAGGTGAATATGGAAAGTTTTATGAGGAAAAAAAAAACGGTAAAGCTCAGTTTGACGCAAAGAATCTTCCAACTCAACTCAAGGTAGCTCTACAGATAAAAATTAGAAAGGAACATTAAGCCGTTTCATTTTGTAATATTGTGCTCTACGGACAAAAATACCCAAATCTACTAACAGAGCGCATTTGAAACCAAAAAAAGGCTCCCTCCCTCTTTCAGTACTTGGAAACTCTTTGAAGAAATTCATTAAAATCAATCCAACAAAAAAAGTTGGAAAAAATAGCCGTCTCTTCTGACAAAACAGTGCTCCACGGAGAAAAATACCTAAACTTATCAACAGAGCGCATTTGGAGCAAAAAAACCACCTTTTTCGCACTAAAAACTACAAACTTTTGACATTTCAATCCAATGTCCGGCAGTTTGAAACGTCCTTGGCTAATTGATTTCGCATTTGGGAAAGAGCAGTGGCGGCCAAGTTCAAAGCCAAAAACAAATTGCACATGTCACTGTAGCGTTCGTAGTTTCAAGGTCTGCTGTTTAGGTCTATTGGAGGAAGAAGAACGGTGGAAAGAAGGAATAAATGGACCGGAATTGTAAAAATGATATGAAGAACAGAAAATAGAGATCCGAAAAATGATTCTTGGGGAGCCTGGAGATGTTTTATTTTTTTTTTTGGCAACAGAAACCAGGCCTAAATTCGGAGAAAAATAGATAACATGCAAAAAAGGAGATTTCAGACAGACAAAAATCTCAAAAAAAAAAACGAGAGAGCATGATAAAAATAGAGGTCAAAGACACGAAAAATGATCTCCAAGCTTTTCTGAAGCTTCGAATCCCCAGAAAACTCCACTTTTCTAACTTCAAAAGTCCTAAAAATCCAAAAAGTCAAAAGATTCGAAAATTTATCACCGTCTTTTCTAATTTCCTTCTTCATAAAAGCTTCCAAAACCAACTTTAAAAAAGTAAAAATTCAATTCAAAAAGATGCTATTGAAAACTAAAAAAAATGACCTTCCGGTCAAAAAGAAATAAATATATCCGGTCCAGCACGTTCGGTGCTAATTTCCAATGGGTCATTGAACTTGGAGGAAGTGACCAAAAAAGTTGGGTTTTCCAGTTTCCACAGCGCTTAGAGAGAATGGAAAATTGAGAGACAATAGAGAAGCAGAAAATAGGCAAAAAAGGGATTTTTGAGCTTTATTTTTGTAGAAAATCAATTTTTCTAGTTTCCAGCTGAATTATCTAGACAGCGTGGAAAATCAAAAGACAAAGCAGAAGCTTTGAAAAATTTACTATTTTAGCTAATTAAGCTATAGAGTGAGTAAAAATGAGAGAGAATAGAGAAGCAGGAAATTTTCAAGGCTTTCTTTTTTCAATTACTGAGAAAATGTTTATTTTGACAGCTATTTTCAACTGTCCTCATTCAATTTCCAGTCTTAAAGTCAATATTTTTTCTTTTCCAACAACTTTTGTTTACTTGAAAATAATGGAGTCAAGTCAAAAACTCGTTATTTTTTTATGACTGACAATTTTTTTGAAATGCATTTTTTTCACAGAAGCTAGAACGCGAAAAAAATTGAGAGACGCCAGAGAAGTGAATTTCGGCGATTTTTTTCCGTTCAAAAAGTACTGAAGAAAAGAAAGTCCGAAAAAAATCAAAAAAATTTTTTTAATTTTTTTCGAATAATAAAACAAATCTGCAAGAATTATTCGAAAACCTTCGAAATAAGAAAAACTTTTTCTCAATTAATTATTGTGAAAGGAGAAACGTTAACGAACTTGAAAATTATTCACGAGTTATCATAAATTCGATGAAACGTAGAGTAATGAGGAAAAAAACCTTATAATTTCCATAAACTTGAAAAATTTCAGGTAATCTTTGAGAAATTCCAAAAAAATGGACGAATTTTTCTTCAAATCTCATAATAAATTACTTCTTAAAAAAATTTCTTAGCAAGTTTTTTTCTTAGTTTTTTTGAATGTAATCAAATATTAATGAAATCGTTTCATTGAAATTTTTGATTTTCTGGAAAATAGGTGGAGAATTCGAATGAATGACAAAATGTTTCCTGGATTCTTAGAGAAACACAGAAATTCCTTTCGCGTCTGGAGACCTGCATTTTTTCAGCGCTTTCTCGAAACTTGGATTTTTAAGCTTTAGAACGGTCAGAGAGAAAGCGTAAAGATTAGTTTAAAAATTGAAACGCAGAGAGATATGTTTTGTCTGAAAATCTCCAACTTTTCCGTGCTCTCTCGAACGTTTCAAAAAAAGCTATAGACCAATAAAAAACTGGAGATTTAGAGAAATACCAAAATTACTTTCTTTTCTGGGGAGCTCTATTTTTGAAGAAATCACCTGCTTTTCGAGAGGTATTTGATTAGATATCGAGAAAAAGGTGGAGACTTTTTGTCTCGTCTGGGGATCTCTGATTTTTCCATACTCTCTAGATCTTTCTATACAGTCGAGAGATCATAGAAAATAGGAGCTACAGAGGCATTTAGAGGATATTTTCCTCTCTAGGACTCTCTAATTGTATCCTATTCTCTAGAAAATGATGAAAACCTATCTCTAGCTTCATCAGAAGGAGCCAACTCCTCATTTCGTTCAATTTTAAAACGTAATCACACAAAGATCAATCAGATGACTCAACTTTTGACTAACTAATCAATCCCTTAAGCCTACAACGGTCAGGGAACTTTTCCAAAATGTAAAAAAACAGAAAAAGAAAAATGAGGGCGTTCAAGTTCAATGGAATCGAGGCCATATAAGGAGGGTCGGCAAAGAGATTCCATCAAAAGACAAAAAAAAAACCGACGACGAGCGAGAAGAAAAGGCGTGAAAAATGTTTCGCGCGAACTTCGTTCCGATTAAAACCAATGAGAATTGAAAAAAGTATTAAATAAAGCTTAAATACGGTCGATTTTGGCATGGATTTGAGAACTTAAAACTACAATGTATTTATAATGTACTCTTTAAGAGCAGTAATAATCGTTAAAAATCGATAAAAAGTTTCGAAAAAAATGCTAGATTTCAACTTCTACCCGTGCTTTGAAGGTTAACACTGGTAAAAAAGAAAAGTTTCCTTTAAAAAGTATTTCTTTTAACTTCCGCAACATATTCCAATCACATACAAAAAAAATATTGAACAATTTACAAAATGAGAAAAAAACGCAAATTTTTTTTTAGAAATGAAAAATGACTTTGCTTAAAACCCACTACACGCTGCACGCGCGCAACATTGCACACTTTTTTTAATCGGGAAAATAAAAAAAGTGAGTGTTTTTTCATTTGGGTGCAAATTTCGATTTCATTATGTTATAAAAAAACGTTATTAATTAAGGTAGAATTTAAGCTTCAAAATCTCAGATTTTATCTTTAATCTTTGAGTCAAGGCATAAAAAGTCAATAAAATTTGATCAAAACCTGCAAAAAAAAATCTCTGAAAACCGTCTTATTCGATTTCAAACTACAAAAAGAAGAGCACCAGGTTCCTTCAAAGAGATTTTTTTGATAAATTTAGAGCCAAAAAATCAGAAAATATATTCAGAAGACAGTTCAAGCAAAATCCTTAACTCATAGCCTTCGAAACCACTAAAAAACGCTGGAAACTTGCAAAAAATCGCCGAAAAACCACAAGAAAGCGGGAAAAAAAAGTGGGATCGTAAAGAAGAACAGGTAAAGAAATGGAAAAAGAACGTCTCAAGTGCGTGGAAAGAAACGACGGGGGACAATAGATCATTAGAAAACGGCCACGACGGCGCCTTGTTACACTTGAAAATGAGAAGAAGCTATCGAAATTATGATTTATCAATATGTATACAGTACCGCTCAAAAGTCTATTAAGTTTTGGTTTTTTGGGGATATCTCAGCGAGTACTTATCCGATTTATATATAACTTTCAGGGATAATGTAAAAATATACTTTGAAACATATACGGTATACAAAGACATGTCCGCAATGACTGTGACGCGTTTTAGGCATTTTTTTATTGAATTCCATTTTTTGTTTTTTTATGCTTTTATTTTTTTATTTATTTTTTTATTAAATTTTTTTAAAATTAATAATGTTGCCATATGATTTTTTTCATGTTTTTTCAGACATGGGAAGAACCTTTGGAAATAAGAATTTGACTGATAACGACAAAAGAGCCATCGTTGTGGGTCGTCAAAATGGACTGACCATGATGAGGTTGGCAGGAATGTTCGGCGTGACAGAGGCG